ATAAGTTTCTTAAAATTCTTTTTTTAGCTTTAAATAAAAAAGAATAAATAATTTTTAAGGTTTAAAAATACTTTTAAAATAAAAATAAATTTAAAAGAGCTTTAAGCTTAAAAATATAATATATATGCTATAATAATTTTTATTAAAATAATAGCAAAATAAAGAAATTTAAAAGTAATAATATTTTTAATTAAAGTAATTGCTTTTAAAGAATTTATTTTTAATATTATTATAAAATACTTAAATTAAAATTTAAAAGATAAAGGTATTAATAAATATAATAAATAAAATAAATTTAATAAAAAAATATTTTATTAAGAAATAAGAATTATAAAGCTATAATAAAGAAAGTTTTTTAAATTTATATTTAATACTTTACTTAATAATATTATATTAAATATTTAATAAATTAAATTTAAGTTTAATTAAAGCTTAAGTAAGATTATATTTTAAGTTTAAGTTTTTTATATAATTTAATTAATATAAAAATATATAATATAATATTATTTATTAAACTTATAAATAAGTAAAATAAGCGCTTTAATTTTATATTATATCCTTTTTTATTTTAAACTTAAAGTTATAATAATAATAGTAAATATTAATTAAGAATTTAAAGTATTTTTAATTAATATTAAATAATATTTATAAAGTTTAAATTTATTATTTTAATCTTAAATTTATATTATTATTATATTTTAAGCATAATTTTTAGCAAGAAATTTAAAATAAGTTTAAAGCTTAATAATATATTAATATAAGATTAAGATAATATTTTATTTAAATATTAAAAATATAAAAAGTACTTTAAAATTAAAAAATAATTTTAAAGCATTTATAATATTATTATAAGTTTAATTATACTTAACTTTTTTTTATAATAAGTTAAAGATAAATATACGCTTTAATTAAAGCTTTAAGTTAATATATAAAATATTTTAGCAATATTTAATATAAAAATAAAAAAAAATAAAATTAATAAATAATTAGCTTATAATTAATTTCCTATTTTTCTTATTATTAATTAAAAATGCATAAAATTAAAATTATAGCTTAGGTTAAATTATTAGTGAAAATAAGCTATTTAAATAATAAGGGATAAGTTTTGCTAAATCTTTTTAAGAATAACTTAAGGAGGAGCTTTAATATAATAAAAAAGGAAAATAAAAATAAAAGGGAATTAAAAAAAGGGAAAAGATAAATATTTTAAAAATTCTTAAAAATAAGAAGAGCTTAATTAAAGCATTAAATATATAAGAAAAGAAAAGAGTTAATTTCTTAAAAGAATGTTTAAAATAAGCATAAAAGCTAGCTTTTTATAGCTAGCTGGAATTTAACGCGGTACCATTTTTTACATAATTCCCTGTACCTGCCAATAATATATATATAAATATTATAGGAAATGTTACTTAGTTTATTTAATCTTTATAATGTTTACTTAGGGAGTTTAATAATATAGAAAGGCCTAAAGAAGCAATCATTGCTATATAATGCTTGCTAATAAGGAGAATATAATTTTTAGGTTAGGGAAATCCTTATAAGGTTGCCTTTTTTATTTTATTAATTTATAATGCCTATAATTATTAATTAGTATTAATAGATTTCTCGTATATATAATAATTATATGGAAAGCAATTATATATTGGTGTTGTTCTGTTTAAGTTCTGAGAGGCTACGTACCCTAGAGGGGATAACTAAAGTAGCCTTCCAAGTGCGAGGGTCGTACTTGCCAATAGAAACACTATTGTGGTGTGCCCCGAAACCCGACCTTTCGCTGCTTCTGCGCGATGGACACACCACCTGGACCCAATCAATCAGGGACTTTTTAACACCGCTCGATCATTTTCACAATTGACAACAAATGAGTTTCGTTAGCCCGAGGTCCCATCTAGGATCAAGACGGCATGGTGTCAGTTCCACCTCCCTGATCCAGAACATAGGGCTGCCAGTATTTCGTATGTATCTCTCGGAACCTGCCATTAATTCTCGCTCAGCCCCCCACCTCAGCCCCCAGCAGACGCATGCTGTGCAACCACCTTGGAGGGGTTCATGCTACGCCAATATGGAAGGCAAAAGCCGGGCAACAAAATGGAACGTGCTCTTTAATTATTCGATATTCGAGAGCGAAGCTGACAATGTGAATCGATCTGCACGCATGCCCTATTTTCTAACGTAAATAGGTGGGCTTCCATCCCAGCTCCACCATCCCAAGTGAGGCTGCCGCTCACCCTCTCTGTAAACTACCAGTGGCCGCATCACCAATCTCACTGCCCCTCGGCCATTGCCGCATTTGCAGGAAGTACAAGGCCGCCATGCGCGCTTCTGTGGCTGTTAAAGCACCCGTGGCACGCCAGCAATCTAGCCAAAGTGGAAAAAATTTCTCTATTCTTGTGCAACCTCCGGATCGAGGGCCAAGCGATCCCAAGAGAACACGTGTCTGTTGAAGGTCGATCCCAGTCGCGTCTCCCACGTAGGGGCCACAACTCGCATTAGCCACCGCTAAGTCGTGATCTCGCCCCAGTTTAGTCCGAATGGTTGCTACTGCCGGGATAGATCTCGGCCCGTCTGTTGAGAGGAGTATGATCAGCGTCCGGCGGGTCGACGACCCGCCCGAGCTGTGGGAGACCCGTAGCGGCTGAGCGGCAGCTCCTCCTGATGCGCGCTGGTGGTGGAATTTGCCGCGATGATCCTGCACTGCGTCCAGATTTACAAATCAAATACGTCAGCGCGGAGCCCGACTCAAGAATGAATGATCTGCAAAGCTCAGGAACCCGGGATGAGAAAGGCATTGGTGAATGAGTCCGGGATACCCTCACAGAAATAGACAATTCCTATACGCAACGCGTTGGGCAAGCGAGGAACTGTTGTGTGTAAAGGCTCCGTGGAGTGACAAATCCCAGGTCCTGCGGGAAAGAGCTCGATAGTCCGACTTGAAGAAAGGGCAGGCATATTTCTGAGTATATTTGTAGGTTAATGCTTCCAGTCATATTGCAGTGCTAGAACAGCCTTTAAAAGACTCACTTCACTTTGATTATCTATTGAGAAGGCTAGGCATCTACGTTATTCAGATTCCCCCGGATATTCTGCACTTTGATTAACATGGCAGCAATTACAGCAATTACAGCAATTCTCGACGGTTTCCTGATTATCAACACATTGGTCCTTTGGCTGCAGACCCGATAGGCTTGCCATATGCTAAATAACCCAGCGACTACGCACCAAGGAGACTCCTCAGTAATTAGTCCGAGTGTCCTCTTCCTCCCTTGATCAAATCCACTCCGGACATACATGCACTGGCAAGACCGGATCCTGCCATGCGCTTGTAAACATCGGATCCCTGCGGGGCGGCTATGGTCCATACACTAGAAGCGACGGTTCGCCATCGTGGGCCATGAGCAGGAGTGAACACAGCGGGGTAGTAAGCTCATCTTTGAGACGGAGGCGCCAGAGCTCCTAGCTCTAGGTGGCGTTGAGGGACAATATGATGCCACTTAAACTATGTTGTAAGTCTGAAGTGGTAGGTTCGATCCGTGCCTAGAGCCGAGGGAAGGTAGTTCGACGGATCTGCTCTAAGGCTTTGCAAAGGTACAGGCCGACAGGTGCTCTCGAGATCAGGCATCCTGAAATGTGTAGAAAGCACGTGCGCATCTTTCGTAAAGGCGGCTGGCACGTGGACGGTCATTCTAAACTACAAGGGTAGTTGTTTAGGATTGACAGGATCTAATATGACACTGCCACCAGCTATATTATGCGTCTCTTGGGGTATTTTAAAGGTGTACAGACTTGATGCCCAGCCTCGTAAGTGATCACTTGGCGTTCCATTCGAGTCGCCTTAGAGAAGTGGGTGGTCAATATATGCTTCTTAAGCAGCATGCATGCGATCCCTTCATACTGTGGTAAACGCTTCAACACCCAGCAATTAAAACAAAAACGATGCTGATAACAGTAGATTTTGAACATGGTCATGGCACATGGCCTAGAAAATAGTGACAGCCTTGTGACAACCGCACAGATGAGGCTAGCGAGAACCGCTTCTGGCGGCGCCATAGACTAGAAAGTCAGGCAATTGGTCATACGGCGAAGACCAAAATAGTCTTGACGCGAACCCTCAGAGAAAAACTATAAAGACAGCCTCAAGTCTCAATGTCCGTCCAAAAATGTCTTAACAGGTCGACCCTACCAAGCCCAAACAATAAACTGAAGCCCAACCCCGCCTTTTCCTTTCAATACACCACTATCGTATTTTCATCAAAATGCGTTTCTCCATCGCTGCTATTACCTCTGCCCTCCTGGCCACTGCTGTCGCACTTCCTCATGGCGCCGAGAAACCAGCCGGTGTGTTCTCCATTTACATAAAGAATTACCTCTAATTCGCATCTTGGTTTGCCCAATAACGGATTGTTTGGTTGCTAACATTGATTTCTAGAGCTTGGCGATCGCTGTGATTATGAGGCGTACAAGAATTGTGCTGGTCCCTGCTTTTTAACGTCAGAACTCAGACAAATTTCGCCAGAGCCCTGCCTCAAGGAATGTCAACTTGAGTTTCTGTCTGACTGTTAAACGTAGACTGTCGTTCATCCTGGTAGACGACGGTTGGTATATAGAGGCTTTAGTATTTAGAAATCTTCACCTTGACAGCAAACATTTCCCATGTGCATGAGTACGGCAGGCATTATGTAAACTTAACGCCATTCCTTCGGCTCTGTGCTCCCGGGCCGCAATTCCGTCTTGCATTTACAGCTACTGTAAATTGCCTCGTATTCCCCCTCTCTAGGCAGCTACATTCCATTCGGTGAGGAAAACGCCGGGGATGCGAGGTGAGGAGAGGGCCTTTTGGGTATTAATTTCAGTATCGTACGCTCTTTCCTATATACGCATGTATAAAGCGGCTTTGTCCCGGTTCATTTATCACCAATAATTCGGGCTGTTGAGAATCCGTTGTCTCTCACACGTCTTGGTCAGCCTGTTGTCCTACGTCATCGTGAAAGCCACTGCCCAGCATGCCGCCAACGTCGCTCATCTCCATCTTTCTTCCTTTCCTATCACTCGCCAGGGGTGCTGCCGTTCTCAACGCGAGGCAGTCTCTCACTCCACCTGCAGAATGCGATGTGATTCCAGCATGGGAGGTGACCTCGTTCAATTGGTTCAACTCTAGCAGCAACCTGGACTGTGTCACCCAGGCCAACGCTCGTAAGTTTTGGAAACAACGTTTCTCCGTATCGGAATAAAAGAAAAGAAAAGGACTGCTCACACCATCACGCACCAGCGCCCGAGGGCGTCTGCTTCAACTCAACATCCACACCTGGAGTCCTGGTACCCTGCGACGGCAACCTCGGGCCCTGCGACAGGTGCGGCGTCGGTGCCTGCTACACCGGACTCCCGCTGCAGCCAGCCGGGTTCGGGCCCCCGGACACGATTTCCATCGGCACCAACGTCCCCGGGTACGGGTCGTGCCTCGAGTCCAACCCGCAGAGCATCCGGCGCTACGAGGTCGGCAACGGCATGCTATTCTGCGGCGGTGTCGCGTACCGCATTAACTTTGCTGGGGACAGCAACACCGACGTCAGCACCGGCCACATCGACTTCAGCCCTCTCCAGTCGTGGAACTGCAACAATGGCAGCACCATCCGCGCCAGTGGAAGCGTGGACTTCGAGATTGCCTGCTCTCGGGACTCGGGGAACAATGCCACCTGTGTAATCCCCGATGGCCAGAACGTCGTGATCCCGGTTTTGTCGTACACGATCACTTAAGCAAAACAGATGGGGCTGTGCAGTGGCTGGACTGGGTGGCATCCATCAAGGTCTTGGGCAAGACTTTGTGGAGTATCGCCTTGTGGGACATGTGCACGAGTCCGGACACGAATAAAGGCTAGAGCTACTCCCACTTCAGTACCATCTGCGATACATATGCATCTGAGGTCGGGCTATGCTAAACTGAGAAAACCAGAAGGCTCTGCAGTCTGAGAATACGCGTGTACCCTGGCATCATCCCGAGTGGCTCTTGAATCAGTGCTGTTCGATTTTGCCAGGGAATTCCTACAGCCCAATAATTATGCGCTGGTTGTGAGATTGTCATTCTATACCTGTGCTCCCGAAGCCCGCTATCGGCAGTTGGAATAGTGCAACGATTGCACCACAAGCCTGCATTCGTTGGCCATCTCAATATGGCCGCATCCTCCACCGCGGTTGAACTAATTGTGAACCGTTGTTCCCACTTACACTGGTATGAGCAAAAAGGTCTGCCCTAATTTCTTCGAGCTTGAAGTACCATCAGAATTCTAGCATTGCTATAGTCGGCCGATACCGGCTTGCTTAATCTACTTCGAAAGGGACTGCTTGTAATGCATTCTACCTCCTGTTGACAGCTGACTTACTCACTCGCTTGGGTCGTGAAGGCAAAGTGTAATTAGCTTTGGACCTGATACACCAGGTCAATGGGGACCAAGTCTCTAAACTCTCTGAACGCCATTGTCTGTCAAGGCCTCGTACCCCAGCGGCGAGATCTTGGGCGGCCGGTTGTAATCCATCGGATCGTCCAAGCGGAGGTCATGTAGGGCCTCATACTTGCAACCCAGCCCATTCGTATCCACACACTCCCATCCCACATAACCGCATGTCCGTCCGTCTACGGCGGGGAACTGACCTCGCTCGTCCGGGGCAGCGCGAGGCCCACCGCGTACATACTGGCTCTCGTCGAAGTCACCGTCAATCAACGCGGCAACCAAGGGTGGCGGTTCTGGCGCGGAGCGATTTGGCCGCGGAAATGACTGGGCGGAGGCATTGACGGTGTTCAGACACTTCTGGTCGACGTAGAGGCAGTATGTGAAACGCGGCAGACGCATGGGTGGATCTCTCGCCATGGGAGGGACCAGCCGCCTCGCCCAGTGCGGCTTGCGTTCCACGCCGTGCTCGTCGCGCCACTGGACAAACATGCTGCGGACCGCGTCGATGCTCGCGCCGTCGAGAGCCTCGCGGTCTTCTTTGACTGTCCATTTGGCGTATTGCGGCAGCTTTATGCAGGAATGGTCCATTAGCTTAATGCATCAGCTGGCTGTGCGCGAGGGAATCACCTACCACCCAGTCTCCGCCATGGTGCTCTAGACCGTCAAGGACATTTTCCTCGAAATACTTCATGTACCGTTGCCATGCCTCATCGTCGCCATAGGCGCAGCGGTAGATGACAAATCCCCATTCATGGAAATCTGTGTCTATCATGCTTTTGGTTGTGCGAGCGAATGGCTGGCTCGACCAGTTGAATTCGCTGCCCTGGGCGATGAACCATTCAAGCTTGGAAGACGACATGTTTCAGGATCATGTGTAAAATTCCACACGAAGAGCGCAGGTCTTTTTGATAGGTGATGAATTGAGAGATAGTGGTCAAGTCCAAGGTGAGAATCCATTGCAAAATAAATAACAGAGGGCCAGGCAGTCAGGTGGGATGACTTGCTTCCCCCTGTCACCCTGCCTAATGTTCGTGAAGTTTTCGGCACACTAAGCTTAGTACGGCAAAGCCAAGCCACAAGACGTGAGATTCTTCTAGGCTGAGAATGACGATCTCCCGATACGGTTCAATGCACGTGTGTGAGACAGTTCACCTTAGAATGTTTAATTCCGTTCGAAGAATTTCAGTCAAGGTCTGCCTCCAGCAGTTCTGAGAAAGGACAGCCCTTCATGACGACAGCAACTCGTCCGGAACAACTTCGACCGGTCCATGGAGAAGCCAGGTCGAGACACCGATTTTTTTTTTTAAAAAAAAAATTGAAAGGCGGCGTAATTGCGCTATCAATCTTTCTGAGGGATAGAAACGAGGAAGGAGGTATGTGAGAAGTAGAGGTGAGTTTCAGGGGCGAGCAAATGCACGATCTTAGCGAGTTTGGAGCCTTTTCTGGGCAACCAGTGCGCAGTGGGACATCCGAACAACGACGACTCATCGACGCCTGGCCCAAGATATGATTGTGATCGTGATGTATGAAGGCACTGGCATGGAGTTGTCCTCCACCGGTGCGTAAGTGGTCTCGTTCTTCTTTAGTCTGTTCACATATGCTTCTTAAGCAGTATGCACTGGTGCATAAATAGCTCGTCTCACCTGTGACTCCGTTTGATGGAATAATAGGTCTGAGCGACATCAAACGTCTGTAACGTGGAAGCGAGACTATCTGAGGATTATGCTTGGTTAGAGGCTTGCACAAGTGCAGGCTGTGCTATTAGTCAACTCAAGCATTCAATGCAAATAGCAATTAGAAGCAGTTCCAGAATGGTCAAAGCGGAACATACATGACATTGTCGAGAACCAGGAAAGCAGACACGGCACCACAGCTAAAACAATTTTGGCCTCCAACCAGCCAAAGTTCAACAGTAAGACGCCGTGGATCTCCTACCACTGAAGGCTGCCATCGAGGGCCTAGTTTCGTTCACGATGGCCTGGTTTAAGACCTAATTGCCGATGACTGTTTACAGAAATTGGACCACTTGTTATCACTCATTACCAAGCCCCACAAATCAGAAGGTTGACCTGGTCGGGCTTGCCTGGTCTCCTAGCTCAGAGACATCATGCTAGGTATAAAGTTGAGGTGAAGATGCCCAGCAGTTTTCCCTCCACTTCGCCACCGTACCAGCACATCTCGACTCGCAGGTCATGGAGCAACAGATGGAAGAATGGTCACGTAACGAAGAGACTTTGATGCAGCACTGGTGAGTTCTGATTCCCTCTGCCGAGCCCACTCCAGGTTTCGGACGACCCCAGCAGCATGTGAAACCCTTGAGGGTCGAGACGTCAACGATTGAGCCTCGACCATTTATGATAGCACTTAGCAGTGTACAGTTACCAACTCGTTGGCGATGCTGGTGCCGACATCCACGTCGAAGCCCGGGCGACGATGGATCTGCAGTCACACCATAACCTGATTTTCATCGCCCGGTTCTCCCAGTGATCTGTTTCAATCGCTGACGGCCATAATCAGGAACTCCAGGATGGCGGTAGACGCCATCCTTCATTTTCTGGTCCACCACGATAGCCACCGGGCAGCGGAGCGATTCCCCGTCCCCAATGCTTGCTGCCCACGCCAATTTAACACGTAGGACGGTGGGTCTTCCACTGACGATTGCAATCCCGTTGAAGGTACACATCGGAAGCAGCAGGAGCGATGGCTTCCCAACAGCCGTTGGTGATGCCCTGGTCGCGCATACAAGCCTGTACCGCCATTGGCGGCTCATCTCGTCATCGCCGGTCCCTGTCGTCGGCGCACTGGACAAGGGGCCTCATCCCAACGGGGCCCAGCTGCAGCAGAGCATGGTTGAAGCTGTCTCCTGCCTCGATCCACAGTATGTATTCCTCCCTGTTATTCCGGGTATGTATCATACCCGCACAACTAGGAGACATGGATGATGCGGTCCAGCCGTCGCCGTCGCCGCTAGTTCAGCTGAGCGAGCCGCCAGTATCTCGAACACGAAAGCTGTGACAAGCATAAAATCGGTCATGCATGCTGAAAGGCGAGACCCCGAGACAGATACGCGTTCTCCCCGGACTCCGCCCCTTGGCAAGGCTGCCCTACTGCACATCCTCCAGCCTGTATACCCCACAAGTCAAGGCAGCTAAGCCGCTGACGTCCTGAGCGACGTCGATGTCTCGGATACTTCCTTTCGTGGTATCTGCGGAGCGTCCTTTTTCATCGTCGGCCAAGGGGAGCAGGATGGCAGCAGGCCGAGAACGGTCTTCTAGGGATCGTCGAGTGCGTTGGCTTCCAGCCCGTTGGCAGCCAAGAGTCCTATCACGGCGGATACACGTAGTACCACAGGGTTCGAGAGGCCTGCACGTCGTCCCAAGGGGTTGGAATTAAGTTCCAAGAGCTTGTCGGCGCCGAAAATCGGAATTTCCCTCACAGAAACGAAGGCTGACAGATTGGAGTTTAATCATTCCCCGCACAGCCCATGTGCTACCATCGCGATCCCAAGGCAGACCAAACCGGGTGCGGACTCTTCCAACGGAACAGATTCGGGATCTGAGAAAGAGGAAGCTGGTGATCACTCAAGTTGCAGCTCAAAACGTGGCCAGCGTGCCTGGCTTGTCAACAGCCTGAGGGACGGCAGACATGGGCGTCTAGGCCCGCCAAAGCCGGCTGCGCTATCAGCGCGCAAGTGGCTCCGGCCATGCAGCGACGTCGCGTCCGGGTCCGGATCCCCATCTCGTAGCACCCTTGGAGGAAGTTCTGGGGCGAGTGATAGCCAAGCGATTTCCAAGCTTTTCTTCAAAGGGCACACATCGCGATGACTGGGCGGAGGACTAGGGAGAGAATCAGAGGGCTTTCAAGAGGACATGTCGATGACAACGTACAGCTGTAGTGAATTTGAGGCTGTCATTCCAGGAACACAGAAAGATCATGTTCATGTAGAAATGTCTGTGCGCCCCCACACATTGAACCTGCTGCAGGTGGTGCATCTTGTATCGATCTAGACGTATATACTCCAACCACGGGAGCTAATGGCATCGGCCCTTGATACGCATAAGCTTTCCGAGGTAGTTAATTTGTGACCAATTTGAGAAAAGTCTGGGGCAATTCTGCCTCGTCATAAACCCGGCGTTTCTGTGCTGATACATCGGATCTTGCCTTGTCTCATGGCAGTGCAAGCTTTGGATGGTCATCATTGATCGACAGGCTCGTGGAAGGCAAAAGATTGCAGGTCATGTGCTCTTCCTGCAGCAACGCTTAGTCTACATGCGATGTCGATCGCTTCTGCGCAGTATCAGGAGGCAGTGTACGGAACTGCCTGGCATTTGTCCATCCCCAAGAAAATCGCACCCGAGTAGAGACTGTGGTACGGCATCCACGCGTGATTATGGCTTTTTGCCGAGGCAAAGTCAGTTCGAGGATTCATGATCCTTTCATCGAGCCAGGATTACGAATATGCCTTGGCAAAAGGTGCAAAATATTTCACTCTTGGCCTTTTATGTAAGAGGCGAGCGGTGGCATCAGGCTATCTAAACAGTTTGTGGCTATGGTTGTTAGAGCATCTGCTAGCAAGGCTCTCACGCGCCGCCCACACGCCCCGACTTCTCGAACCCACCCTTTGTCTGCAGGTCCGCCTTTAGGAATGATCGCCGTGCGCCTGGTCAGGGACGGCCCCAGTTAAACCCGAGTCAGCGTACGCCCACCCAGCTTCTACAGTACGCCCACCCAGCTTCCAGCGTTGACCCACCCAGTACAAGGAAATTGATTGCATGCGCTATAAAATATTAATACTGCGGGGTTATTAATAAAGCATAGCTATAGTTATCTTAAAGAGGTCCTATAGCTACCCTAAAGGGGTCCCATAGCTACCTCTCTATTTACAACTTAAAAGTTATTTCTACCCTTTGCCGCCCTCTGCTGCCCTTTGCGGCCCTCTGCGCCCTCTGCGCCCTCTAAGCGCTCTACGGCCCTTTGGGCGCTCTGCAGCCCTCTGGGCGCTCTAGGGGCTCTGGGGGCTCTGGGCGCTCTGCAGCCCTCTAGGCGCTCTGGGGGCTCTGGGCGCTCTGGGGCCCTCTGGGCGCTCTGGGGCCCTCTGGGGGCTCTGAGGGCTCTGGGGGCTCTGGGGGCTCTGGGGGCTCTGGGGGCTCTGGGCGCTTTGGGCGCTCTGGGCGCTCTGGGCGCTCTGGGGCCCTCTGGGCTTTTTAGGCTTGTATTTTTAAAGTATTGCTTAAATTGGAAAATAGCTACCCTGGCTTATTAAAAACCCCGCAGTACTTGCATTTTAATGCGGATGCAGCTAATTTTCCTTATACTGGGTGGGCCAACGCTGGAAGCTGGGTGGGCGTACTGTAGAAGCTGGGTGGGCGTACGCTGACTCGTTAAACCCGCAGCCAACCCCACATAGACTTCTGTCGTCCACAGATACGGCTGGAGACCTGACTGGGCCTGAACCTGTGATGCAATAATCACGCCGTCTAATTGAGCGACCGACTCATTACTAACAGTATTACTGCAAAAATCTGCACTAATGTCTTCTTGCACATGGCTGCGCACTGGCGCATCCATGACCAATACGTACTCGATTGTACCTGTGGGCTGCTTGGCCAAACTTGAACTTTTTTTCTTTTGCCTCCTCCCACTCTTGAAGCCCACCCAAGCCCCCACTCTTCGTGTACGGTGTGTTTGTATCCTTCCCAGCAAACCAGGGCGGTGGTATAAGACTGCGCAGAGCTGCGACTTGGAAAAGCCACTTCCAAGTTTTTCCTGCATCCTTTCTCAGTCCCACCGTTCGTGAGCAAAAAAAAAAAAAATTCTCCTACGCTGTCCCACATGCAATCTGTGGTGCAGTACCTCGTCCTTACCTTCGCCATCGCCGGGAGATTCTGAGTGAACCACCCCGTCCGTTCAACGGAGTGGATCAGATCCCTACGGTATCCCTCTCACGATGTCTTCCCCCGACCTCAAGGCCTCCAAGGAGGCTCCCGCCAGCCAGCGCGTCTCCACCAGCTCCAGCGATGACCGCCCCGTGTGGCACAACTCGGACGGCCTGCACCGGCGGCTGGACAACCGGCAGATCCAGCTCATCGCCATCGGCGGCACCATCGGCACCGGCCTGTTCGTGACCATCGGCGAGGGCCTCGTCAAGGGCGGGCCCGGCAACCTGCTCCTCGCCTACACGCTGTACGCCTGCGTCGTGGCGCTCGTCAACAACTCCATCGCGGAAATGTGCACCTACATGCCCGTGTCGGGCGGCTTCATCCGCCTCGCGGGCGTGTGGGTCGACGAGGCCCTCGGCTTCATGGTCGGCTGGAACTACTTCTTCTACGAGGCGCTGCTGATCCCGTTCGAGGTGACCGCGCTCAACCTCGTGCTCTCGTTCTGGAGCGACAAGGTCACCGAGCCCGGTCCCACGGCGGGTATCTGCGCGGCCATCATCATCGCATATGGGTAAGGCATCACCGAGCGCCACGTGCGCCGTGTCTTGGGTCGACCCTAATCCTGCTCCGACTTTTTCTCTCCCAGGGCCCGAAAGCCAACTAGACCGTCCGGAATCCTCTAGAGCTCTCCGCGCCCGCCCTCTCTCCCCGGGTGACCCCGTCTTTTTGCCCCATCTCTTGCCCCGCGTGTATCTGTGCGTGTTGTGTTGTTGTGTGTGTGTGTGTATGCTAAACTATTCGTGTGTGACTTCTAGTATCATGAATGTGGCTGCTGTGAGCGTGTTTGGTGAAGCGGAATTCTGGCTGTCCGGCGGCAAGGTGATACTCATCTTCATCCTGTTCCTGTTCACGTTCATCACTATGGTCGGAGGCAACCCGGCCCACGATGCCTACGGCTTCCGGTACTTTACCAATCCCGGATCCTTTGCGACGTATCTTACTGCCGGTGACACGGGCCGCATGGAAGGCTTCATGGGAGCTCTGGCCACTGCCACCTTCACCGTCGTCGGCCCGGACTACATCTCCATGATCGCTGCCGAGGCCAAGCACCCCAGCCGGTACATCAAGTCGGCCTTCAAGACCGTCTACGTGCGATTCGGCCTCTTCTTCTTCGGCGCTGCTTTGACATGTGGAATCGTGCTGCCCCACAACGACCCGGTCCTCCAGAAGATCTACCTCGGCGGCGGCTCCGGCGGTGGCACCGCCGCCGCCTCCCCCTGGGTCATGGCGATGGAGAACCTCAAGATCCAAGGCCTGCCCCACCTGGTGAATGCCCTGCTCTTCACGACAATCTTCTCCGCCGGTAACACGTACACCTACTGCGCGACCCGGTCCCTCTACTCCCTCGCCGGCGACGGCCGCGCCCCGGCCTTCCTCCGGAAAACCGCCAAGAACGGCGTCCCCATCTACTGCTTCTGCATCACCATGATCTTCCCCATGCTGTCCTTCCTCCAGTGCGGCAGCGGCTCCGCCAAGGTCCTCAAGTGGCTGCTGGCGCTCATCACGGGCGGCGGCGTCATCAACTACATCGTGATGAGCATCACCTTCCTCAACTACCACGCCGCGTGCAAGGCCCAGGGCGTCGACCGCCGCACCATGCCCTACTACGGCTACCTCCAGCCCTACGGCGCCTGGGTCGCCCTCTTCCTGCAGACCATCGTCGTCCTCACCTACGGCTGGTCCTCTTTCCGCCCGGCCTTCGACGTCGGCACATTCTTCTCAAACTACACCATGCAGATCGTGGCGCCCCTGCTGTTCATCGTCTGGAAGGTCGTGAAGCGCACAAAGTACATCAAGCCCAAGGACGTCGACCTCGTCTTTGACCGGCCCCTCCTCGACAGGTACGAGGAGCACCTGCTCGCCCGCGAGCCGCCCAGCAGCTTCTGGAAGGAGATGGTGCAGATGGTCGGAATTGGGCGAAAGAAAGTTATTGACGGCGAGAAGGCGTGAAGCGCCGTGCTGGTGTGATGGATGGCTATGTACGAAGATACCCGTTTTGCTGCAAAGTTGGTTTCCATGGGATGAATACATCACCTCGCCCACCACTGCCCGAGCTGAATCCAGGTGATTGTCTCTGATGATTTGATTTCTCGATGTTTCGCCATTCGGTCTTGTTGTTCTAGTCCGAAGAATTTCGCTCCATCAAAGTTCCAGGGGTGTAAAATCCAACGTGTGCACGAATATACGGTTGGTGATGATCCTGGAGTCCAGTGTCTCGGATGTCCAATCGTAGAGGGGCTTGCTCCTGCAATCCTGCACTCGTTGGGCCTTACATTGGTGATGAAACCAGGAATGCACAACTCATTTGTTAAGCGACGTGGCAGTGTAGGCGAAGGATTCGTCCTGTGCAGACAGGGCCCTGTACCAACAGACGGAGAGTCTGGCTAGCACGGTCCACATAGCAATGTTTTGAAGCCAAGCTGCTGTCTTGTATTCCAGCCCCGTCCAACATGCCCGACAGCCCACCTTGCAGGTAACGACGAAGACCAATGACTTCGTCAATTTAAGTGGGGATGCAACGTAGGTGTAGTAGATCTCCCGGTAACGCGTTACTGAAAGCTGCGGTTCACAACACATGTAGTCACCGATGTGATGATGTACAGAGACCCATGTCATTGGACTTGCGCAAGACTGGTTCCGAATGCCGCGAATCCCTGCCACTGCATGACCAGATAACAATGTTGTCGCAGCCCAAGTGCTGTTGTACAATAGGACTTTACATCCCTGCTCCCATTGTCGTGGACGGAGCTTCCCCTCTGACTAGTTAGTTCCCAGGGCATTTGGCACTTCATTTACCTTGCCTTACATTTCTATGGTTGACTTTATCTACTAATTATATTTGCTCAGTCCGTCGTGATTGTCGGGTCTGCTAATACTGCCTTTGACATCCTCGAGGACTGCCATGCCGCCGGCCTGAAGACAACCATGGTTGTTCGATCGCCAACGTACATAGTACCACTTGAATACATCTGCGACAAGCGCAGTCTCGGCGCGTACGACCTGGGCGTGGAACTAGGCGATAAGCTCTTCCAGACCACGCCCACGGCTGTCGACAGCCAGCTGGGACGTGGTCTCTTCGGGCTGCTCGCGTCGCAGGAGCCAGAGCGGTACCGGGCCCTCGCTGCGGCGGGATTCCCCGTCATCGATAGCTCCCATGCGGATGCGGACCTCCTGCACAATCTCGTGGAGCGGGCCGGTGGCCACTACGTCGATACTGGAGGCGTAAACCTGATTGCAGAGGGCAAGAGCAGCGTGAAGGCGAATGTGGAGCCCGTTGCGTACACAGAGTCTGGACTAAAACTCAGTGACGGCTCAGAGCTGGAGACGGATGCCGTGATCTGGTGCACGGGGTTCGCTGACAAGGACGTGCGGGAGACCTCTGCTGAGATCTTGGGCGGGAACGATGAAGCCCGTGATATTGCATCCCGGCTGGACGCCACATGGGGACTTGATGCTGAGGGTGAGATCCGGGGCACGTGGAAGCGGCATCTCAATGTTGAGAAGTTTTGGGTCATGGGTGGTTTCACGTCGCAGCACCGCTGGCACTCACGTACTCTGTCGCTCCAGATCAAGGCTGCGATTGGGGGTATCCTGCCAGCGGCGTACCGTGCGACGCCAAAGCTCTCAGCCTGAAAACAATTTGTAAGTAAACGGCCGCAACGCGAGGCTTAAAGAGAAGATCTGAGGAGAAGCACCATGGGGGTCGATCGAGGGATGAGGGAGCATTCAGAGAATGACTACGGTAGTTGGAGATGGACGATTGGAGTTGAAAGATTGCCAGACAAAAGGCAATAAGTCATCCTACTTGCGGCTGTAAGTGATGGCAACGGTCCCGTCTTTGACACCAGAGCCCAGTGCATTTCATCCCAATAGCATTGTTCCGCCTCGCCTCCCATCTCCGGGGATGGGATGCAGCTAACACATCACGCTTCTTCACTGTGCACATTGCGTCGGCTCTGCCAGTCAAAGTGATTTTGATTCAGGCGGTTGGCGGTCGAGAACGAAGAACAGTGAGCAGTTTCCAAATGTCGTAGTAAAATGCTCGTCTCCCAGGTCAGACTCCATTGCAAAAGTTCATTTCCCAGCGCTTAGCCTTTGAGGAAAGTGAGCATAAGTAACAATTCTTCATGCACCCATTCCTATCCGGCGTAGTCCCCTTACTCGCAGTGATGAATCGAATGGTTAACCTCGCCTGAAACGTCCTCTCCCCGGGATCATCCCTCTATTGCAATCGATCCCAAGAGCGTATGTCTGCTCATACCAGGAGTGGGCAGGGGCAGCTGGCGGAACCTCAACCTTTTGGTCATCGTCGTCAGCAGAAGTTTGGAGCCGCTTGAGATCGACGATGCTGTCAACAAAAGGCTGCTAGCTTCGGGATGCCAATCGCAACGAGGGCGGCGTGAAACCGTATAGCAAACGTCGGGTCTCCCTCCAGAGGTCATACGACTTCTTGGCACGATTTTGTATTAATTCATGCTCGGTTGAGAGAATGATTTGCTCGTAGTGGCTTTGAAAAGTCACGAAGGCCGTGGGAGACGGTTTGCGGTTGCAGCAGTCGTGGGATGTTTCCGCTGTGTAGCTGTTGTAGTTGTAGACAAGGTGGAAGATCACATCCGCGTGGAAGTAAAGTGGTTGTCACTCAGCTAGTTACTTAAAATACATCTGTTGGGTGGGTTTCCCAGTAGGCTTCCTGGAGTTTTTCGGCCTCTACCTCAGTGGCATAACAAACCTCATAGAACCGCGTCTCACAAAATGTTCCGCGCATGGTGACTCTGAGACAGTACGGCTTGAACGGTTGCCTAGTCACTAAACGTACTCATTGTTCGGAGACACCCAGGAAGATAACTTTCATGTACTTTTAATGCCTAACACAACTGGAGCCTAAATATCTCTTATGAAGAGTGTTCTACATTCGTAAACTTTTACAATGTCGCGTGTGTGGGCCTTACACGGGCTGCCCGTTTGCTTACGCATCAGTGAGCTTTTCCGTCTCCTGCAGACTAGACTCAGCAAAGATGAAATTTTGCAGAAACCATAGCTCATAGGTGAGGAGCCTAATTTCGTGGCAAGAGCAACTTGTTACATCTTCCGATCCAGTTACAAGCCATATGCCATCCTTTATGTGCTGCCTGGCTCAACACCACCTTGGCTTAGAATTATCGGTTCATTTCTGGGTTGTTACTAATTCCGAGCAATTTTTACAAATGACCGCAATGCCTTCTACAAGCCATGAGAACATGGAGAAATCAAACAGGTCGAAGCCAACAACACACATTTTTGAACGATTCCACTGTATCTAATGGGGAAGTAGTATTCTTAGGTATTGTTTTGGGGAACACTGCCTTGATTCACGGCTTTGAATCCCTTCTTTATCCGTTTCCAGTCTTCCTCAATATCATGGAAGTAAACCCAGTTCAACGGCCCTCCGGGGGTTGGTGACCACGCGGCATAATCAACCTTGCCGTCCTTCGGTTTTGCGTCGAGCACATCGTAGATCTTGTGGTAGTATGGAGAGCGAATATTGTCGAACAGGTCAAGAGTCTCTTGAAGAGCACGGGGTTTGTCCTTCTTGTGTTGGTTCAAGGAGAGCTCAAGTATCTGCGCAAGCAGCCATCCGTCCTCCATTGCGAAGCCTGCTCCCGTGCCGAAAGCGCCTGGGAAGCGATCAGAATGGGCTTCTTCATGTCATCACAAAAGAAACGTCACAAGATCTATAATACCTAGCAGGGGATGGGACGCGTCCCCGATGATCGCAGTATTCCCATTAGCGATGACTTGCTGGAGCCTCGGGCCGGAAAAGGCAGAGAACTCTCTCCAGGCGCCCTCAGGTACTCGATCAATCGCTTCACGGATTTCGGGTGAGAATGCCTACATACTTGGTCAGCTGATTTCCATTTACACGGGGAAAGATGAATCTACCGTGAAATGGCTTGCCACTCGTTCGTTGTTCGCCGGGATGCCCCAGCTGTATTTCTTGCCTCTGGCTTGCGCCGGATCTTCATATGAACGCAGGGTCATTTCCCAAAGCCCCTTTCCTGCCTCGATCTCCTCTTTCGTCGATACCACTGAGCATTTAAACATTCTCTTGGGGCCATGGTGAAACGCAGTGTACTTGGTGATTGATAAATGGTCGACAGCGTCCAGTGGTATCAAGCACCGCCAGATAGTAGTCCCGTTGTAAGTGGTCGCGTGGTCAGGAAATGTAGCTCTTCGGACCGCCTTGATTATCAGTCAGTATCAGCACAGTCGTGGCATTCAGAGGCAATGCGTAAATACTAACAGATCGAATACCATCTGCACCAATAACCAGGTCCGCGTGTGCAGACGTGCCGTCCTCAAACAGTAATGTTACGCCTCCTCCAGGTTGTTGTACCAAGTCAACCAATCGCTTTTTCAGTTGAATTATGCGAGAAGGGACGCGGCTCTTCAGTGCGTCTTGTAACACAGTTCGCCTGATTCGAGTATCATGGTATTTCCAGTCGCCCTCATAGGGCGGATACGTGTACAGCACCTCTCCAGTAACTCCGTCCCTAGTTCTTTTCAGTCTGGTACACGTGCAGCTGGTATATTTCACGTGAACCAGGGTCTTACCGATGTTGGTGGTCGACCTTGATATGGCCCTTGACCTTGTCTGCGACTCCCAGGAGGCCAAGAACTCTCCAAGAATTGTAGCCAACCCTGAGCCCTGCGCCGACTTCTCGCAGCTCTGTGGCTTGCTCGTATATCGTGACCTCGAAGCCCGGCTTTTCCAGAAGGGCTATGGCCGCTGCAAGCCCAGCGGGTCCTCCGCCTGAGATGGCGACGCGCAGCCGGGGTGTTACAGGAGTATCTGTTGAGATCGCCATACGGAAGAACTGACGATACGATTTTCATGCAAGGACAGTGAGATAATTTAGCATTCGTCACATCTGAATTCAAAATCAGTTCAATATCAGCCTCTATTAAGAGACATTTGGCAACTGGAGAGCCTCGGAGGCATCGTCATATGGACGCATTGATGCGTGCTCTTGAATTCATGAGGCCATTTCTGAAAAGGTGCCCATAATCGGGTCAGATCCGGCACAGCTGGCCGACCTGAGTGGTGAGGTCACTCAGATGTGCATCAGCACGTCAACCTCCAGAGCAATGGCGACTTTGTTGATACTGGCCTCGGCGACTTTACTCTGGTCAATCAGCTTTGCCTCAATTGCTTACGTACATCATCGTCCAACAGTGTGGAATGCGGGCGTCTGGTACTCAGACATTGCGGCCAGGAGTCTGGTTTTCCAGGACGATATAACGATGTCCGGATTCGGCGGCGGGTCACAATCTGGACCATTTTTTGTTTCTACTTTGCCTGGGGTCGAGAAATCCTTACGCTGTCACTGTCGAGGCGTTGACATTCTGCCTGGTCAGGCTTTTGACGGTGGCGCTTCGCGAGCCACGGCGGAGATAGACTTCATGTTGTTATTTCCGCTCGCAAGCACAGCAGCAGAGTTCCGGCCAGTGGCTAGCTCCCGTGATCGATGTCTCACTGCCCCCCAAATGTTGAAACAGCGCGGTTGTTGTTCCGCGTTAGTGAAAGTGACCGTGGCTCAGGCGCTTAATAACAAAGTTGAAATAAAAGGGTCGATGTCTCGCCTGGCAAAGGAACCGACAAAGCGAAACGCTACCCTATTTTTGAAGATGCCTGTCGGCTCGTAGCCTTTGTTTCTGCTGACTAGAAGGGAACTGCCGGCTGGGCGAGTCGATTGGCCGGCCAGGCGCGACCGCGCATGAAGTTGTAACAGTCGAGAACCATGCAACCGCCAACCAGAAGCAGACAAGGGCCACGCCTCCCGCGCCTATCACTGCCACATTCAATGCCTACCCCCTCCTTATTTAGGCCTGCCAGAGGCCACCCATCCCTTGTGTCAGGTAGAAAGAGGCCAAAGGCCACAGGCAGCACTGCGTCATCTTATTTCCAGCTCGCCCTCATTCCTTTCCTGCCCAACCTCGGGGCTGTCAAACCCATCGACTTTTGACTTTTTCTTACTGTTGTTCACTGTCATTGCGATGCGGCCGCGCCGCTGCTCGTGAACACTTTTTCCAATTTCAACTCACTAGCGTCACTCTTTTAGCAGTCATCTCAGCAAAATGAGTTCTGCAAACTGCACAAATGCTCCGGCGGAGACGCCGTCCAACGCCGGCGTAGCAGGCATTGGTGTAAGTGACTCCTGACCGTCCGTCCCTCTCGTCGCCACTCTTGGTTACGAGCGTGTTGAGATCCACACGCCCACCCCGTCCGTAAGATCAAGATGCAGGCTCGAAATGTGACCGTTCAGGTCTACGACGAGGCCATCGACTTGAGCTCCAGAATATTACGGGGCTTACACATGATCCCTTCTGAAGATCCTGCCCCGCCGCCTTGCTCCATACCTCGGGCATAGGGCTGCACTCGTACTTCTTCAAGGTCAAGATGCTAACATTGCCAAGGTCATACTCGGATTCGTCATCCCCGCCGTGCTCGCCGTCGCACTCTCCCTCTCCCTCATCCTGCAGGAGTCCTTCTTCAACGCCCACAAGCCCGCCCTCGGCCTGATCCGGCGGAAGCTGCTCTATGGCTTCTCAGACCAGCAGATCCTGTACGGCATCGGCATCCAGGCCGTGGGGCTCGCCCAGATCAACACCCTAGTCCCTTACCACTTCTTCATCATCTGGATGCTGGCCCTGCTGTCAATGGGCGTCCACAACCTGACCCTCCTCGTCCTCGTCGCCTCCTTCCGCTCCGACACCGTCCTCCGCTGGCTGCGCCAGGTCCTCATGCTCGTCAACCTCGTGCTGAGCTGCGTCTACGGCATCTTCATGCTGCAGGTCGTGCAGAAGGACCTCGAGACCACGACGCTGCCGACCACCTGCGCCTGGCAGGTCGAGGGCGAGAAGGCGGGCAACGTCGGGCTTTCCTATGTGGGCACCATCGCCGTCATCGCGGGCAACTGCATCGTCTTCCTCGCGTCCACGTGGTACCTCCACGACAGGAGGCAGAGGGCCTTCAAGTGGGTCCAGCTGGCGGGGTGGGCGGTGATGACGGCCATCGCCGTGGGTGCCACCGTCCGCGTCGTATACACGTCGCAGGCGTTCGGCCAGCCCACGACGCCCCTGTCGGACAGCGGTGAGAGGCAGTGGAGCTTTGCTACCATGGTCAGTCTGTTGATGTTGGCGTTGCCGCTGATGACGGTCCTGGAAATCTACCGGGGGGAGGTGCACGTGAACAGGGACGCTTTGGAGGAGAAGGCGTGACGGGTCTCCGAAAAGCGGTCTGTCGAAGGCGTGAGCATTGCATGATACTATGAAGCATATACCAAGGAATCTGGCGTCCGGCAACTACAAGACTGGACTCGTGCTTGAATTTACATTACTTTTAGCCCCGTACGCATACCCGGGGCATATTGGGGGCCAATAATAATGAGACATCTTCAACTTTATAGCCAGTCTCCTGCTTGAAAGTGTGCCTTCTAGACTACTGATTTAATCTCCGACGAGTTACTTCGGGCTAGTGACATAAGTGTCTCAGTCCCTGGCGGCTCGACGGGCATTTCTCATTTATTGTTCCCGATGCACATCCCCGCGAGCCGGCGTCTCGGGTCGGGTATCTAATGCCAAGGGGTCTTGGACTCGTCAAACTATTTCAGTATACAATGCACACGGTACGAACCGCCAAGTGACCAAGAAGTCTTGGGCGGCCCCTTCATGTTGATCCTAACATTGACAGCCACAGGACTGGCCTGTCCCCTTTCAAGTCAGATGACCAACTAACTGTTCACCATCCAATGTGAAAGGTCACCGAAATGTGATGCGACTTACTGCACCCGGCAGCGGTTACCCGACTTCAGAACACGAAGCAGGGGCGAGTGTTTTCGGTTTAATATCATCACAATATGAACCACAACAAGTGCTTATTAATAAGTCATATTTAATCGTGACTTCTTCCCTACTATGATATCCGAGATATAGACCTGAATGCGAAATCCAGGACCTTTGTCCAGTATCTACTGTACAGAAAGTAAGGGTAAAATGCTTCATCCAAGTGAAGCCCATGGTAACAAGCCGGCCCCGCCCCAAGAAGATCATTAAATACAAGACCAAAAGGGTATCGGCGAGCGCACTCCAGCCAACCTCCATAAATGGGAAACCCGTCTAGATAGATACATTACTTTCATGGAGAAAAAAAAAAAAAAAGAAACATAGCAGAGATCCCGCCATCATTGAGCGAATCCAAGCGTCAATGATACATCAGCCCAGGCATTATCATAAGATCAGCACACATGTCACTTCTTCCCCTTCTTCAAGCAACGACCTTGGCGTACTTCTGACCCTGCCACCTCCGCAGGACGGTGCGGCCGATGATGAGACCAGCCGCGGCGATCGACCCAACGGCAGCAGTCCCGGCACCAGCAGACACGGCGGCCGTCTTGGAGTCCTTGTCCTCCTCTGCCTGCTCACCGCCGCTCTCGGCAGCAGGGCTGACCTTCTGCGTCTGCTGCAGCTTGCCAGACGGAGCCGTGGCAGCCTTGCGCGCCGCCTTGATGATGTCGGCCCCGATCTCGGCGATGCCGTACGTGGCGGTCATGAGGTGCGCGCTAACGCTCGTGGGCGCGATGCTCGCGTCGACAACCCGCAGGTTGGACGTCCCGTACACGAGCAGGTTCTTGTCGACGACTCCCCCCTTGTCGCGCGGCAGCATCGAGCACGACGACGACGGGTGGTACTCTGTCCCCGCGTTCTGGCGGATGAACCCGTCCCAGCCCGCATCGTCGGCGACGGCGGCCGCGCCGGGCTGCGACTCGGCGCCGAGCACGTCCGCCATGGACTCGCCGATGCGCCGCGCGAGCTTGTGGCCCTCGCGCAGGAGGCGCAGGTCGACGTCCTGGGTGAGGTAGTTGGGGTTGATGGCGGGCGGGGTGAAGGGGTCTGCGCTCGTGACGAGGATGGACCCGCGCGACAGGGGCTGCTGCAGGGCCACCTGGATGTTGACGGTGCCGAAGATGTCGGCGAGGAGGATCTCGACCAAGCCCACGGGGGAGTCGTAGATGTTGTCCACCTGGCTGGTGTATGTGGTCTTCCAGGCCTGCTTGACGGCGTCCGGGATCGGGGCGGCGTTGATGGCGGCGCTGACGTCGGCGCGGGCGCTGTCGAGGAGGGCGCCGGCCTCGGCCGCCCCGACGAGGGTGGTCAGGTTGATGTAGGCGATGGCGGACTGCACGAAGGAGTCGGTCACGACGTCGCCGGTGATCTTGGCGGGCGGCTGCTGGTTGGGGTCCTTGGGCGGGTAGAGCAGGGCGGCGCTGACGTGGTCCTGGACGTTGTGGCCCACGCCGGGGAGGTCGACGGTCGAATTGATGCCGAGCTGGCCCAGCTGGCCGGCGTCGCCGATGCCGCTGTGCTGCAGCAGCTGCGGCGAGTTGATGGTGCCGCCGGAGACGATCACCTCCTTGGCCGCGTTGACGGTCAGTAGTGGAGAGTTGGCGTCGGGGGCGTACTGGACACCGGTGGCCTTGACGTTGTTGGGGTCGGAGGTGTCGAGCAGCACCTTGGTGGCCTGGTGGCCGGTCAGGACGTGGATGTTGGAGCGCTCCGTGTCGATGGGGTCCAGGTAGCCCGTCCTCGAGCTGGACCTGTGCCAGTTCTGCGCGTTGATGGCGGAGGTGGCCAGGTACGCACCCCAGTTCTCACCAGCGTCAGGGTCGTCGTTGACGGGCGTGCCCGTGTTGGAAACGGCAGTCAGGAATGACTGGACGAAAGGGTAGCTCTTGCCTGGCCACCCCGTCTTGATGTTGCCTCCGGTGCCGTGGCTGGCTGGGTTCCACTTGAGGCTGGGCACGACATCCCGCACGGCCTGGACGGGCTCCTGGAAGTCCTCTGACTTCTTCATGGCCGCGAACATGCTGTCCCAGCCCCACGTCTCTGGCGCGCCGATTAGCGAGCCCCACGAGTTGAACTCCCGGGCAGAGGCCCGGACCATGTACATGCTGTTGACTGAAGAGCTGCCGCCGAGCACCTTGCCTCTGGCCCATGGTGTCGTTCGCTGGTTGAGCCCAGCCTGTGCCGTCGTCACATACTTCCAGTCGTACTCGGTGTTGAGGAACGAATCGTACAGAACAGCCGATGGCGTGAGGAACCTCGACTCATGTGCGCCATAGATGTCCTGGCCGGCCTCGATGACGGCGACTGTCACATCAGGGTCCTCGGATAACCTGGCGGCTACTGTGAGGCCAGCCAGGCCACCGCCGACGACGATGTAGTCGTAGGTCTTGCCGCTCAGATCATCGCCGTTTGCCGTCACGTCCCGGCTAGAGAGTGGAGGGAGGATCGGGTCTTCAGAGAGGGGGAAGGCGGCGGCCGTGCGAAGAGCCCCGAGCCCGGCCACGGCACCAGCCACCGCAATGCCCCTGACGGAGCCCGAGACTGCCTTCATAATTAGGAATTTGGAATACCGCTGGTCCGGAAGCGACAGACTTGTTACGAACACTAAAAGAGAGAGAGAGCGAAAGAGGGACTAGCTCGCTGGGTCAGAAGCAAGCAAGCACAACGAAGGGTCGCAGCAGATCTGCTTTCATTTTATTTTACTTTATTCTCCGGGTATTTCGGCCCCCTCCCATGGGTCTCAACGGGCTTTTATTAATTAAGGGCCGAAACAATGGGGGAGGTCGGCGGTGCAGTCATCATAGTATGCAACTAGGTTGCTAGGGAACCGACCGGCGCATGTGGTTGCTCCACCACACGCGCCCTGCTGCCAGGGCCTGCGGGCGATTCGAGGTGGTCAGGGCGTGTGTGTTTTGCTGCAGGCTGCAGGCTGCAGGCCGCAAGCATGTGGGCAGTACCGACAGCCGCAGCAGAGCGAGCGCGCACGACTCGCCCAGCCCCTCTCTCCCAGGAGCCCAGGACCAAGGTTCGGGATCCCAACGGATCGGCATGCAGCATGCAGCCACAGGTCCACCCCTGAGGTCGTGTCACGGCACTTGGCGGCACTTCATTCGAGCAGCCAACATGCCGACTGCGACCGACTGCGACCCGGCTGCAGGGATGGACGCAGCGTGTAGTCAGGGGAAACTGGCCAAAATAGCAAAGCTTGGCGTATGGTTTTTGATTGTGATTTGCTCGTGGCGTTCGGAAACTTCAGATGAAAAAAGCCATCGGTAAGATGTAATTGTGCAATTGCGGGCCATGATGTATTTCTAGGTAATCCTAGGCAAACCGAAATCTTCAGGGCGGGCGGTTGGCTGGCTCGCAGTCGAGATGGCTTGCGTCATACAGCCAAACCATGCTAGCGAGCTGCGGTGCCGGCTTACTCTGATCTCGCGTTTCTCGTGTCGAGCCTGGGGCCGTTATCGTGCTGGTTGGTGTTCACAAGCCCGAGAGGGCCACAACATGATCTATCACAGTCCCCGCGTCGCGTAAGCCCGAACAGCTGACTGGTGTTGATCTCTACCTTTTTTGTGTGGAAGGTTCCTTGCCTCTTCGACGTAAACCTTGGTACCCTGTATCCTCATCGGTCCACCCCGAACGAGATCGACGGGTATCCGCTGCGAAGGGGAGATGTGAGAACCACGATTTTGTCGGTGTGAGCATTCCCTTCAAAAGTCGGTCTATAGGGTCTATAGGGCCATGGAAAAAAAAGAGCGTGCGTGCATCGGGTATCTGTAAGTCATGAACATCGCGCCATATCCGCAAGTCCGGCGGGAACCGACAGGTCAAGTCTCGATATCACCCAAGAACATGGACTTCTTGACTGGCCCGGCGACTGTCGATCTCCACTCGTCAAGCATTACTCCCAGCTCAACGCGTACATCTTCAACGATGACATCCTGGTAGAAGTTATGGTCAGTTTTCCATCGAAACGACATGTGCATACCCCAGGAGGCACCTTCAGAGCTTCAGAGCTCCAAGAGGGTGGAATATGCTTACCATCTTGATATCATTTCGATCATACCCAAACGGGTCCTCGAGCTGGCACGCGATCCCCTCGATGCCATAGAGGGTAAACATCACCAGCGCAACGATCAGCACTGACCACCAGTGGCTCTCATCCACCACGGCAAACGGCAGGACGCACCCAAACAGCGCCAGGACCTGCCTCTGGTGAATCAGGATGGCCACGGGGAACTGGGTGAGCCGGATGGTCTCCATCCGGCCAAAGCCATCGATGAGGGTGTTGAGCTGCACCGTCAGCTGCGAGGCCTGCGGCGCGTGGAACCACCCCCTCGCATGGCCCCTCGCGATGAAGGCCTCGACGAGGAACGTCAGCTGCACCGGCAGCGTCAGGCCCTCGTCCTCGTGGGCGCGCATCTCGCGCGGGAGCAGGCCCTGGCCGTACTGGTCCGCCGCCGTGTTGAGGGAGCCCCACTCGGCCCGCAGGGTGTTCTTGATGCTGTCGGGCACGGCCATGAGCACGCGGGCGGTGCGCTCGACGTCGGCCCGCTCGGCCTGGGACAGCTGCGCGCAGCCGTTGCCGCCGGGCCCGCCCGAGCACGCGAGGAAGGACCGCATCAGGTTGCGCACCGAGGTGATCACCGTGGCGAAGTTGTTGCGGCCGTCCCAGAAGCGCTGGTAGGCCGTCTGGTTGCGGAAGACGAGCATCAGGCCGACCACGATGGAGAGCGACGACACCACGCTCGAGGGCAGGCCGTAGTTGTGCTGCAGCCGGACGTGCAGGGTCACGATCACGGTGGTGAACAGGGCGTGGAAGAAGACCGGGAGCGCGATGTCCCTGTGGATTGCGCCCTTGACGAAGCGGAGCACCAGCGGCCATCTAAGGGGTTGTTCACCGTCAATTTGAGGCTCCAGTCAATCGCATTTCTGCCAGGGACATGGCGCTACCTTCTAGGCTTCCTGTAGAGGAGCTGGCTGTGGGGGCATGTCACTTTTCGCCCTGGTGTCGGGGGCAGATGCTGCGACTGCGACAATAATGTTGTTGGTGTGTCTTGAAAGGGCGGTGACGGCGACCTGCTCCTGTTGGAGTCGTCACGGTATCTCGATGCCATTTGTGCGGTTTCGTGCTCGGTAGCTCAGCCTGGGATTGCTTCTTCTGCTGGCCAATCTATAAATTGGACACGGTTGAGAGACGAAAATCATTGAAGACTAGGCACCGGCAACGCCGGTGAAAAAATGAGGTCGATGAGGGGGTTGCATGTGAGACAACAAGGCGCGCGTTTGGCGCGACATGCGGCCTGAAGCGACCTGTACCCGCGGGCTGACCCACTTTCATCTAGAGCACAATGCATACATCATGCCGCCACTTGCCACTAAACTGTCCTATGAGCATCTCGATACGAGGACCCTTATCTCGATCCAATCCGATGCAATTGCCAACCATCACTGCCATGCCATTCATCAGCCTGATTCGGGCACATGCTTTAAGGTCAGTGAATACACTAGATATTCCAGATAAACGGACGATGCCGCATCCGGGCGGCCATTATGCAGCCTGCTGGCGAACAACAAATCCTCTGACAGAATGCGACCAACACAGTCGAATCATTGAGTCTGCACGAACAGGCCATGCGGCACATCACTGAGGCACATCGCCCTTTCTGCAAGCACAGGATGGATTTTCTGATACAGGAAGATGTGCATGGTTTATCTCAGTCGTTTATACGTCAATGATACAGACATCCGCCTGCTGCCCGTTGCCAGGAACATTCCTTATAATTCACAGCATAATCAATCGCGCGACCCAACGCCGGAAAAGATGGCTTGGGATAAGTTGATGTCAGAATTGTCCATTGGAATCCTGATTGTGCCCAAGGGCCTATATTGAGAACACTCACCAAAGATGCACCAAAACACATCGTAATCCCAGCTCAAGAGTGATCTTACTCGTCTGGATGATTTCCAGGACTCATTGTGCGCATCTCTGTGTCGCTGACGGATGGCGATAGCGAGAATCTTCTGTGTCGAAGGCCTGGCTCTGGCGAGGCCTGCTGTGCCCAAGTCCTCTCCAAAGGGCTGGGTTCCGCCGACGAAGTTTCTTCGTTTACTTCTTCTCGGGACACAATCCTGCTCAATCTGCGCATCATCGACTTTGTATGGCCTGAGTCCCCCACAGCAGCTTTCCATGTGCTGGAGACAAAACTGCTGAATCTGCGCACGCTCATCAACACATCATCGCCAAACTGGCCGTTCTGGGACGCCAGGCCAACGGCCGGAAACGATAGAGGCGTGAAGCTGGTCATTGAAATGCAATGCGATAAGTTGTTGATAAAGAGATGTCCGCGTGGATTACAAGAGGATACATGATGAGGTGATGAGTCCCATTCCCTACCTACCAGGGGGAGGGGGGGTTTTCGTCAACATCGCACTACTATATCAATGGCATAGCGACATAATAGTGATATGCAATCAAGGTTTTGATATGCTTTTTTTATGTGTACATTGCATTATTTACATGTCATTAATATATAGTCGTTCCTAATATGTTATGATATTATGTTAACTCTTTAACATAGGGGTAAAAAAAAACCTCTTTTTTTTCCTTATTTCCAACCTAACTATTTATTTATTTTTTATTAGCTTAATTATTTATTATAAAAGGATTTATGGAATTACGGAAATATTTAAAAATAGAAATAGATTTAAAGTTAATAAGATTTAAATTAAAGCTTTTAATATAGAATTATAATAATATTAATTAATATATAGTTAACGGTAATATAAAGTTAATATTAATATAATTTAAAGCTTTAATATAATTTTATTTTAATAGTGTTTTAATAGCCTTTTATTAGCATTTCACTAGAATTATGAAATTTCAATTAAATATCAAAACATGAGTGTATTGCGTAACCCAGTCAGAAACCCCCCTCCCCCCTGGTAGGTAGGTGGTGTCCACATCTATACTTGTAGCCAGACTGCATGCAGCCTATCGCAACCACATGCTCTCGGACAGTTTGGCTCGAGAACCGAATACTCCGAACTCATTTCAATATATCTCGGTAATACAATGGCCTTGCCTGGTGTATGCGGCTCGTGATGTCTCGTGGCGGCTTCGCAACATATAGCGGTCATTAATGCACGCCTTCGCCAATCCCCTTGCCATTCTTTGTTGACTCTGTTATGGAACACTCTACGACGCATTTTAGAACACCGTTCATTCATTGATACGACTTAGCGTTCCTAGTTCAATCTTCCACGGCCGGGTCCTATTTGAAGAGCTCGGGTTCGCCATGCCGCAATGACACTCTGCTGACGCTTAAGCCATGCTGGCAACTAATACTCCGAGCACACTGCACCCAGGTGTGATTGGCTCGGGGCATTTCGCCACATGTCTTAAACAGACAATCCCCGAACGAAAATGTGACACGAAATTTCTAAAGATCCCATCACTTATTTATAATATTGAATATTTCCAACCTGAAGTTCCAGCGGGATGCAATCCCCAGGTTAGACATTCCTACCAAACCAACAGCCTTCTACAGCAATGAGTCGTTTCTGATACCTGTGATTCAAATCAGCGTATACATAGTATGGATGAGTTAGTCTCTATGTGGTGCACGGTACCTGGAACGTATTACCCTTTCATTTCTTCGACAATATACCAAACCCTGGCGAATAGACTCTGTCCAACACATTGTGGGCAATGACTTGACTCGTTTTCGGACAGCTGGCCATTCGCATAGAACAAGTCGATGGCATTAAAGACTACATGCAGACTTGGCCAGGAAAATACCCATCGATAATGAGTCTACCCGTGTTGCCGTGTCCAGCGATTATCCACCCCTGACCCCCACCCGGAATGACAACACAGCTTAGTCCAATTATATCTTCAGCGGAGGCGAGATTAAAGACGTGGCAAGGCGGGATTTGCCAACGTATCTAAATATATCACACGAGGTTTCGTTGAACTACTCGCCCTCCATCACCAATATAGGAGTTATTAGAAACTCGTTGGTTTTCATGCCTGCTGGATGAAGACAATTTTACATCACAGCAAACTTTTTTTTTTTTGGCAAGATCTGCGCCTGTGAAATAACTTGGCTAAAATGAGGCTTGCAGGAGATGTGTTGACAGATCACTAGTGTGGGGATGAGGCGAATGTCCACGGTGGCGACGCGAGCCGGGAGCGGACAATTACTCCGTTTCTGATGCAGCGAGGGACCTATATCCTAACCAACGACGGGGCTTGGCTTTAGAGCTTGAATATCAATTGCCCGAGCACTTCTGTGCAAGATATAGCAGGTATGGCGAGAACCCACCATATTCAAAATGCACGACGTTGCAGCAGAGACACTCATGCGCAGAGCCTTGTATGGGCCTTCAGATGCCATTGTCGCACAAAAGTGACGCCTTGATTGGAAGTTAGGCAACTGGGAAGTCTTGAAGCCCTCGGGAGCAAGCGCCGCACCTTTCCTCATCGCACTATCCAACTGCGACCAGTCCTCAGTTCGGTAAAGGCGACCCGGCAGCTGAGCTTCCACCGAATTTGGGCGTAGAACAGTTGCTACCTACGCTTGAATTCTTGAATAGCGTGACCTGAAAGTTTGTTGTGACCTCGAAAGTTCTATTTTTTTTCAGGTCATGCGAGAGAAACATGGACTCTTACTAACCCAAGTTGTGAACTGGATGCCGGAAGGAAATGTCCCTAGAAGCTCCCCTCCCCCCCCCCCCGGTTATGAGACATCACGGTGGCTTGGCCTCGTTGAGAATATGAAGATGAAGGCAATCGACTAGGAGAGGGCGGAGATTTTGCCAAAGACGGATGTGGAGCGATTCTGTGCCTATAAAGGGAGGAGATCACCGATATAGTAATTCGTCTAGCTCATGATGTTGAAGTGGAAAACAGCATGGAGCATGGCTGATGGTTAATGAATATCGAGTGGAAAACAAATACTTCTTGAGTGACTAGGACGTTACTCATCGCATAAGACAGCAGGTACTACGTTGATCATCTTTGTAAATTAAGCGGGGTTTGGATACTTCATTTGGTGTCCTTCACCTGACACTTCTAAAGGCACTTCACCTTCAGTCAATTCACTTTCCAGAACACGTCCCTCTCTTGGAAATCCACTGGCACAAATGGCTGACTAACCGCGCGTTTGTCGTCCCTACTTCAAGCCAAACTGTGCCATCGGCAGATACCGGCACCTCTTCATTTGTTCACTCTTACATGTTGACATTCACTGTCTACAGCATTGATAGGGAAATTCCGGAGAGTATATGGCGCTAGGCCCCGCTACCAGTTGTCTTGTCTCTGTGTTGTCCGCAGACTGTATTAACAACTTGCACTGTAGTTGACAAGCTCTTCTCACATCCTTCCGACAACCTCCATACCATCACCACGCTCACAGAATACCCAAACATGGAGGCCGACAGCCAAGTCACCAGTCACTCCCTCCTGGGTCTCCCCAGAGAGATACGAGACCACATCTACGGCTTCGTCATCTGTGACTTCCCACTACCTCGCAAAGTGGTCTGTTGGCCCTACCCGGATTATCTCCATGCCGCAGTACACAGTCCTCCCGTCTATGACACCACCAAGAACATCACCGAGACATCCATCCTGCGAACATGCCGCCAGATACGCTCCGAGGCCTACGTTGTAATGCTCAAGAAACATCAGCTCATTCGGATCAATGTCAATAATGTTCTGCTCAGCCCGCACCTTATCGGTGCTCTGCTTCACATCGTTCCCTTGAGTGAGAAGGCAATGGAGACCTACCCTGGTTTCATCATGACACACAATATCGAGGGGGAGCAAGACCCGGAGGCCGAGAGCACCTCGCAGCCTTGGAGCTTCGCTCTGCCCTGGCGCGACTTGGGCATGTTCTGCAGGGCTGTCTCTGGCGGCCACGTTTTCAGCCTGGACGCAAAGGCTGAGACTCGGCACCAGATCATTGTGCATGATCCTTTCGCCACCACCTGTAACCCGGAGTACATGGGCGTCGAGAACCAGACCAAGTTCTTGCAGCCGTATCAGGACTATCTCAGCGGCTCCGCACATTTCAGCATCATTGGCAATGTGGACACCAACTTGGCAGCTTCGGTAGTGGCCGAGATCCGGAAGATGCCTCCGATCGATGTCACCAAGATGCTGAATAAATATACCCGCCAAGATGCCACCGGCCAGCGACAGCTACTGGGCAGAGGGTTGGCCAAGTTCTCACGGTCGTGCCTGAAGGCCCTCGTCGAGGTCAACCGGCTCGTAGACACAGACGCGTGGATCGAGTCCGGACCGGGCGGCCGACCAAATGAGCACGTCAAGGCGGTACGGGACATCTTCAACATCCTGAGCCGCGAGCATGGCGCGGCGCAGTGGGAGGGGACGCAGGAGGACCGCACGTGGCACCTCAGCCGTGCAATCCAAGCGGCCGCTTCCCTTCTCGCCGAGCGGGCTCCCTCTCCAGCGCAGAAGTCCGGTGTCTACTACCTCAACGCAAAGGCCCATCGATACTTGTCGGGCTCTCCTGCCGCGGCTGAGTCGATGCTCCGGTTGGCCTTGGACATGGTCGCTGGGGAGGCATTCGACGACTGGAAGGAGCAGTGTCTCGAGGAGGGGCAGGAGATTGCACGGTGGAGAGAGATTCGCAATGGTACGCATTTCACCACGAAGCACTAGACAACGCTTCTAATAATCTTTGTAGGACTGGGATAGCAGCAGATGTTGTGGTTGTGGCGGGTCGCAGTGGTGGGCAGCACATGGACCGCAGGATCGATCGCACAATGAATCTCGCAGGGAAGCAAGACGGACCGCTGATTGTAACGAGCAGTCCATAGGATGGTAGGATTGAGGAGTTCCTCAAGGTATAGTAGCTATTATTATACAGGTCGTGTTGGCTGAGTTGATTCGTAGTGGCTTTGGTAATAGGCAGAAGTGTCACCCGACAAGGTCGAGGCTAGGGAATTATCAGGGCTTCTGTCAAGCTCCTCTAGTTAGTCAATGAAAAGGACTACTGAAACTTTGATTGCGAGAAACGTCCACCGTATTTTGTCAAGGACATTGGTAAAGGACTTGCATGACGACTGGCAGTCTTTGACGCAGCTCTGCCTGACCGCACTGTTTCTGGGATCCTGGGCTTCCTGCTGTAAATGGGTCGTGTCCTCGTATTCGTGCGATTGAAATGATTTTTGATGAATTGTCAGGTAAACACAGGCCAGTGGATTGACCCAGGAAGACGAAGAAGGTCAAACTTTCGTCACGGGTGCTACATTAGAAACTCCACGAGTAAATGTTCACCTCTAACTATGGCGGGCTTCTGCAGAAGATTACTGAGTGACTGTCTCGCCCTTTTGACTGGGCCCAGTTGACTCCCATCTTCATGAGAGACTTGTTCCATTGGCGGTTGCATAGTATCTGCCACAAGCATGTGAGAATGATTTGTAAGTTACGCGGTCGAGTTAAGATTTACCTGACAGTATTTGTCTGGCTTTGATCCGTTCAAAGCCAGACGAAAGACTGGCGTGTTTGCACGGGGTCAAGAGACGCTGGGCTCCTGGTGACTGGCTGAATCTTAACCTCCAGCATGCAAGGTGCGCCCCTCCTCCACCTGTCCTTCCAGGGTTCGGGTTTCCAGTCCGTCCAGGGTGCAGACTGGCCAGCCAGTCGACCCACTTCAGGCAGAACAGCCACCTTGATGTGGGTTTCGCTGCTGATTGATCACCTCGTTCGCATTATTTCGTGCCGAAGCTGTCCTCTCTCTCCATTCATGCTCCTCTTACTAAAGCGCTCGACCAATCAAATGCGCACAGACTCAACGCCCGTCCACGGCCAGGACTCAGCAGGGCCAAGCTCCATTGAAGCGACCAAGCCAAACGCGATATCCAGCGGCAAGCTTGAGGACAACACAGCAAGAGGGACGGCGGAGAGCACCGCACCTGACGAGGAGCCATCGGAGAAGCTTGAAATGACGCAGAATGTCTGGATATTCATTTTCAGAGGGTATCCGTACGACACCTACAACAGAAGACACGTGCTCTTCTACCTCGACTCACCTGACGTGGAGGACTTCCACATCACGGCACATGCCCAACGCCCCACCGAGGAGAAGCCATTTGAATACACGGAGAACAAAGAGGAACAGAGATACCCAATGAGCATCGACCTCATACACGGACGTGTCGTGGGGAGGGTCCCGGTGGATGCGTCTCAGCCGCGAAAGCTCGTGGACGTGATCGCCTCCACGCCCGTCGGCGGAGAGCCTGATTGGAACTGTGCGCACTTCGTCTTCCATGCGCTGGAGAGGCTCAATGAGGCTGGCGCTATATCCCCCGAGCAGCTGAATGATACTAAAGACTGGATGATGGATTCATTGCTGGATGGGGCTATCGGGTAATACCACCTGGCCACTGTACCTGTAACAAGATGGGCCCAACAGTCGGCTGGCTGGCCGACTACCTGAGTGCGGATAGAGTCCTTGCGTCTGGCAGATTGAACCCATGCATCGTGCTTTGAATCCCAAGGCGATGAAATCTCAACTTGCTGTCACAGCATTGTGCAGCGTCTGCGATTCCGAACACGTTTTGTGAGATCTCCTCAATGCCGTCAGAGCTTGACTGTGCACCCACAATTACTTGAATGGTGCCGGGGTGGACAGAGCCCAAGATGAGGACGCTCAAGAGGACGGAGCATGCCTCCTGATGACGGGTGGCGCTTAGCTGACGCTCTTTCTCAAACATCCCGTGCTTTGATGGGAAAACCTAGCTAAGAACGGCCCAATTTCATTGCATCAGCCACAAGGTGCATGCTCGAGACTCACTTTTCACTTTGTAAAGGACATGGGATACAACGGCTGAAGTACGCGAGACGCCGTCCGTGATTCACATACCAGCGCCGGTCAATGCGTCGGCGACAGGTTATCCAACGAAGAATATGTCATGACCAGCACACAAACTGGCATTCCTCAGGCCCCGCCCTCTCCTGATTCACTTTCGCAACATGATGACAGTACTGGGTAAGGAAATGGTCAGCTGTCTCCCTCTCTTCTTGCGTAGCAGCTAGATCAACTAACGCTATGACTTCCGTTCCAAGGCTGCCATGACCAAACTTTGCGTACCGGATGACTTAGATTCTAGCCCGTCCGTGAGTCGGACTCCAGAAATTATCAATCATTTTCACCCTCAGTTATCGTGTTCCCCTCCCTAGGCCTTGCATTGATTCTTCTCCGGATAAGCCATGATGTTGCCGTGGATGTAGTTGTGCGTAGTTGTACTCGTGCCCTTCTGTGCCAACATAGGCCTCGGCCCAGATCGTGCCGCCCTTCTTCGGGCAAATACTCTTCACCTTGTACGGGCAACAAAGGTCAGCTCCCAACTCCTCAGAGCTGGCAGAACTGAGTTGAACGTCAGAGCTTGCCTGGTCCAAAAGCCTTTGGCACACCTCCTCGGCCAGCTTGACATCTGATGTGCCGTTCTCGGGCTCCATCGCAATCTCGGTCCTGGCCTCGATGTGATTCTTCCCAACATTGATGCACCCACAAATTTGCTCGATAGCTGATCAGAAATGTACTGAATATCTCCCGGGTTCAACTTTGCTTAGTCTATACTCACCATGCTACCAATCTCGCAATCTCCGGCCATGCCGGAACAGGCGTCTTTGAGGGCAGCCTCGACTGTGGTGTCATCTCCTAGGTCAGACCAAGACCTGTCCTTGCCGTTGCACTCAGTCTCAAAAGTTCCAGTGAGGGGCAGCAGCGCCGCGGCAGAAGTAATGAAAATCTTGAAAAGTATGTTGGCTCTGGTTGGTACGTGCGTATAAGATATGAAGCCTTGCTGCTTGTTCGTTGGCTGGATATGGTGGCGTTGCTAGGGCGGGGAGGCAACTTTGGGTTGGATGTCTGCTATTAAATTTGAAATTCGGTGACAAGGGCTCATCTCCATTCTCCATAGAAAATTTCCGCCAGTCACGAAGTACTGAACTACTGGTGCAGACTGACCACTGTAGCGTCGCCTTTGGGCCCATCGCGAGCGATGTCTAGGTCAGTGTAAGAAGATGCATGACCATGGACCAACCTTTCCTTCAATATTCCGCCTTGCGTCTCGGGCTTTTTCATTGGCGCTTTTCAAGAAGCAAACAAATGCTTCGATACCAGCTGTCTTTTCAAGAGCCCGGATTCTGTGATATGGAACACGGCGAGGACGACGTCTATCAGATAGCACAGTTGAACACCGGCTACTGGCCCTGGAGTGTCAAGAGAAAAGGCATAAATGAGCTAGCCTCGGCCGGGTCGGGACTGCCAATCCTTGATTCATTGCCATCATTGCCTGTTGTTTCCCACAAGGCATGTGGAAAATATAAGAGCCAACCTTGTCAAAGGCTGATCTCGAATCTCGTTACTTCTGGATCGTGGTGGTCCTCTTTACAGATACCTCTCAAGTCACTCGTAGTCGCGGCCACCAGCATTGCACATCAACCTTGGATTGCGAGAAAACGCGTCTGTAGAACACATCCAGCTTTCTGTGTCCACCAATATTCACTGATAGATGCAGCTAGCCAGTGACATTGTGTATGTGGGCGGGCGCAAAGACGGGCCGGAAAATTGACAACATAGCAAAGTCGAGCAGCCGCTGCAGCATTCTACCACGTCCCGGCTTCCAGCCAGTCACCGGAGCATAGCAACTTACACCCGATCAATAGAAACCACAGCACACAGTCCGTCACGAAGGGATGTTGGCTCTCTCTGCAAGCACAGTCACCGCCTCTCTAGAGAACTATATGAAGCGCCGTCCTTACCGCTTTCAACTACTTTATTCCAGAACACTGTACTGCCAAAGCATCTTTGAGAACTCACCAGCCCAACAGAAACTGCTCTCTTTAATACCTCATAGACAAACCAGACAACACAACACCGAAACTGTCCCCGGAACATTGGCGCCATGTCGAATCAGCCCAACCAACAATTCTACGTCGGTGATAAAGTCATCGATACTCAACAGAAACTTATGGGTACCGTCATATCATGTGAACCAGTTATGCATGATTATCTGTACGGATACAAATGTACATATATGACGGATCAACTTGAGGATCCTCGGTACGTTGTCCCCAAGCGCCGGTGGTCGCCGGAGTTTCGCTTACAACACACAGGTCCAACACCAGTTGGAATAAGGTCGTTGAAACCAAAACGCCACGGTTTGCATATGGGTGTGATTGGAGGCAGCTGTCAGCTACCCGGGTTCTGGTCAGGAAGGAGGGGCGCGTTCATGAGGCCGGGCCGGCATTGCTTGCTGTTGGTGGAGCAGTCCTGGGTGTGGAGATGAAGGGCTTCTAGATCCGGTGAGGGATTCAGTTGTTCGGAATGATCTATTTGTGAGAACACCATACTGTATGCCTCTTCCTTAGTGATCTTTTGCGATGACCATTGAACCTGAATCCAATCTGCCACCATCCACCTTTCTTGGTTTGCTGCGGCCGACATGACCATCCGCATTCCGGCGAGAGACGTGACAGCGGATTCTCTTCAAGGCCGTAGACGAGCATGATTCAGCAGAAATCAATACATTTCCCGCGCTGTAGAAGCGAAATGCGTGGGGCTATCTCTGGGCGGGTAGCCAAACCTGTCCGGCTAAGCACATGTCGCACATACCCCACGATGCGCAATCCCCTTAGTCGCCAGGTACAAAGTTTGGGAGATGAGTCAACCACTGCTAGTAAAGTGGCAGCATGTAGCAAACTCGTCAAGCACGTGTTGGTATCTCTCTCCCTGTCGCCGTGACAAGAGATACACTTTCAATGATCAAGCTGGTTTCTTCAATCGGTTAGTACAGGCCACGGACTGGTTTGCTCTCCAGAAACCTTTTTTATTACTCTATGCGGATGGAACGCTGTTAGATGTGTGACAAGAAGTTCGAGGCTGAAATACAGACATGGCAGTAAGACATCATTCTGATCACATGTCTGCGTGCGACCGTGGTAACAATTGCGCATGAACATAGCCATCTCATCACATGAAAAATTGTAAGGGAGATCGTTCCGTTTAGTATTTAGACTTAGGCCAGACGCTGCATGCTTGACGGTTGCCGTATGCCATGAGCTCGAGGGTCTTCCTCATCCATTTCAGGAATCCGCTGTCACCGCCTCTGTCTACCCTACCAGGTACTGCTCGGTCTCGACCAAAATCCAGGCATCATCAGTGCCTCCGGCGCCCATTGCCTTGCTGTCAAACTAGCATTGGTTCTTGGTGCCATCCTCAGGATCAGCCATGACCAGGGACTTGATGTAGTCGCCTCCGTCGGAAGCAGGGTTGGTTTCGAGGTTGTCTATCTCACCACCGTGGTCGGGGCAACGGCTCTTGATCTGGTGCACAGAATCTTGTCAGTGATTCTCAGGAAATAACGGTGTCTAAGTCGATGGCATGGAGAACTACCTGGTTCATGTAATCAACGCATCCCCCCGAAGAGAGCGTAACGTGATTGTAGTTGTGGGTGTCGCCCGATGAGGGCCAGATGGCGGCGTCGATGTGGTGGCCATTGACGTTGACGCAGTTACGGATCTAGATGATTTTGCTAATTAGCAAGATGCTCTTAAGAAGCAGTCCTCAAATAACCTTGACAGGCCTGGCTTGACTTACGTTGTCGTGGAGTTTGTATTCTCCGGCCATCCTGTCGCAGAGGCGGTTAAATGCATCAGAGATAGCGGCATCATCTCCTAGGTCGGCCCAAGTGGTGCCTTGCGAGTAGCAGCCATCGCCAGCCAGAGAGGTGCCAGTGAGAAGGAACAGCAGCAAGGCCAGAACGGCGGAGATGTTGAACTGCATGTTGACTCTTAGTGTCTCTGGAGTATGATAGAAGACTGTCTTATTCCTTTATATTGGAGAAAACTCTTTGCTGGGTAGCTTGAGTCGATGTGATCCAAGATGATGTTGTCAGGAAGAAATACTGTTGTAGATCTTCCCTTAAATGTTTGAGTGATGGAGACCCCCTCCCTTCCCATTGACGGTGTTGAACATTCACTGGCAGTTGGTGATAGAAGACTGAGTCACTGTCGTTGAAGCAGTAGCTGTGGTGCCCGGCGACCCACCCGCTTCGCACAAACGCTGCTACTTCCAGACCAACTCTTGCTCATCCGATACCACTTGGTTTGCTTTTGTCAAACATATTAATTCAGTTTCTCGGAGCAGAACCTTTCTTTTCGAAAGATTCTGATCTATCTGTTGAATCGAATTGTGGTTCTGTCTCTGCCTTCCGAGATGCAGAGCAAACGGCGAAACCCCCAAGATAACAGTACCCTTGGCCACAGCAAGTACGTTTTCGAACGTCTGTAGCTGCAAGCTTTGGCCAAGAAGTGCGCCGAATACGGTGAGGCTTGAACGATTAGACTTTTGAATGCTATCTTGGAGATCAAGGCGAATCCCTTATACTAATCTCAAATTTGTCTCAATGGAAAAGCAGCGCAATAACTTATTGGTCTGGCCCTCTCTTCCTTCTCCATAACGATAAAACGTGCCAATTTTAAAAATGCCGACTCGGCGTGCTGTCCTTTGGTGCCCACCCGGCTCACCTCCCAGCCATTCGACCAACAGCACCGACGCCTCTTCGCTGTCGAAGCGGAGAAGTACTAAACTGCATCTTTCTGATACAAGTTCCCTACACAGTTCCTCGTTAGGTATCTCAGTTAAGCAGCGCGGTTGAGAATCATGAACGTGTCGTGCGCGGCCACTCTCATCAGTCTGTTGGTAAGTGGAGGCAACGTCGACATGTGCGGTTATACGCAACGTTCCATAACCGATTTCGGTGTAAGCATCTCCAATAAACGACTCATAGCTGTAATCCAGATACTCCGAGGTGAAGCGCGAAAAGAGAATGCGAGACTTGAAACACAAGGCTGTTGGGGTCCCATCAAACCGAGCGAGCGGCGTCGGGTTCCGGCATGCTTTTGCAAATTCAGCAAATGCATGTAGCTCCTTACTGCCATTGAGATCAAACTCAATGTGCACACCGTGCGCATGATAAATAGCTTCGGTCAAGATTGGCTCGTGTTCCTGGTCATCGCGGATCCAAGTCACATTCCACACACTGGGATTGGCCCAACTCCAGGACGGAAATCCCGGGTTGGGAGCCACGCCACCGGCTGTCGATTGCCACGCAAGTCCGCACAAGAAGCTGTTTTCGACCAAGCTATCTTCTGCCCCAGCCTGATCCGGCACAACAAAAGGAATGCCGCTGATACTATAAACCGGATGGTCGAAATGTTGCAGTGCATTGGCCGCGCCACGAAAGGCGTCAAGTGCGTCGCTGTCGTGTGACAAGCTTCTCGTGGTGTACTGAGTCACCAGGCTGATGTAGGTAAGAAATGACTCCAAAAGACCCTTGTGGCTCACCGGCTCAAAATTGTCTTCACCAAGGTCAACCAGATTCGACAATGTATTCGAACCGACAACAGACTGAACACCGGCACCGTCGGCCCTAGCACGGCTGTATGGTGACTATGAATCTTCGGATTGTGCGCACTCAACGCCTCCGAACAGTTCACTCTGCCATGCTCCGTCGGTGTAGCCCATGCACTCGTAGTACATGGCAGTATCCGAAAAGACCAGCCGCCTTCTTGAAAGGAGAGCCTCTTGGAAAGTCCACCCGCGGGTATGCCACCTCCCCCTCTTCCAATATTGACGGTCCTCCTGAGGATGAATCCCAAAGGTAAAGACATCATCGACCACAAAGAGGTCCAGAACATCCCGGCGGCAGGCTGACACCCCTGGCAGGCCATAGTTGCAACCATCTCCAGCGGCAGCAATAATGGTCAGAGCGGCGCATTTGTATGTACGATCCATCTGTTGGATCTGCCCGTGTTTGTCCTTTGGGTCTCCCTGATCGATACAATATTGATCGACCCAAAGATATTGGAAATCGAGGGCCTTGGTGACTGTGATGGCATCTTCGATGGTTAGGGGTACATTCATTGAAAGATCCTCTGTTAGGGTCTCAGGCGTATTGTTCTGGCCAGTCCCCCAGACATAGCTTAGCGCAACAAAGCTAGGTTTCGGATTAGAATGAGAGTCCGTTGAGACAAGTCTTCGGGTGTGGCAGTCGATCAGCCATGTCTTCGGTATCTGTAAACCATCCTCCAAGCGACATGGCGTGTGTGTCTCTACGCACATGTCAAACCGTGACTTGGCCAGTGAACCATCGAAAACTGGTGAGACGATCTGTGTAGTACCCGCCTACCTAACGGGCCTGTTTCGATGACAGATAATAGTATTTGAGGCTGACCGAATCATGTCAAAGCTGTATGTGCCTGGTGAATGTCCGAAGGTTGCTTCGAACTGGTTTGGTTGACTGGAAGACGTAAACTCCGGAGATATTGGAAGATACCAATAGCCGTCCCGCGAGTTGAAAGGAAGAACTTCGATCAACACCTCGTCATGATGGGATTGAAACTCGTTGTGGAACACAACGGTGTATTCGCTCTTTTTCGGACTCGCATGCACTGCATTTGCCAGGTACCGACAGAATTGACAATGTGAGTTGACGGGCCAATCAATGCCCTTCGAATTTCTCACAGTCTGGGTAAACGATTGAGTATCCTGCTCGTGAATGTGTATCCACCGCTGACGTGGAAGGGGGTAAATCCTGGGTGCAGTGAAAGCTGCTTCGAAATCGACAGCATGGCATGGCGTGCAGAGGTCCGAACGTCCAAGTCGAAGATCTGGCGGCCACCACCCAAGCCCTGGTGGTTTTTCTGTCGGATTCTGCCGCAAGTATTCACGGATTGTGTCCCTCTCGAAACGTACGTTGTTTGCTGCAGCCTGTGCTTCGCGAACGTGGGAAGCTTGTATGAGCAACCTTTTTTTATTCTGCCTCTCAAACTGCAACAACGGCTCTTGATAGCCACGCAGGACAGAGATGTCGCCGTGAGCATTATCCGAAAGCATTGACGAGGAGTTAGTAGATCATGAAATCGTATTTGCCATTGTGAAGCTGTTGACCTTGATTGCTGGCGGCGTCAAATGGAGGATTTGTAATTACCGAGGGTTGGCGTGTGATCGGAGGCAGATGAAGAGGATAAGGACAGAGGCACGATGAGTGATATTGGGTGTTTTCCAGTTATGTGAAAGGGTGTTTAATGTTTCCCCAATACGTAAAAAGAGGGGAGAGGTCACGTCGCCACGTACGCAATGAGTTCGGCCTGGGGAGGAAGCTGTGCTAAGCAACTGAAGCTCGCTTGCTTAAGAAGATGGAAGGGCTGGACTGCTTAACAGTCATTTCAACGTTTCCACTAGAATTCTTGAGAGCCCGCTGTGGATCGTCGACACTGCATGTGGCTATTACAGGCTCCAGTGGCGTGTACATGCATTTGAATACTCCAGGACGACGCCCGAGTGTAGTGTACGCTGTGGCGGCGACGGAGGCGGAGCCTGCTTTGCTTTTGCAACTTTGTTTTCCTCACCACTCGTGGGCCCGTTTGTGCCTAGGACTGCGCCTTGCTCGTTCACCATTTACCGTTCGTACGTCCGCCGTGTCTATCCTCTCATATCGATCCCCTGCTCTTGATCAACTTATGCCTGGGGCGTTGTGGTCAGCGCTTGCTTGGCCGCGGAGGGAAAATGGATGCACCCACATCCTCTGAGCGGCAGTCATGCTCTTCTAGGCAGACACATGCCTCTTCCCTCGGATCTTTTGGAAATTTCGAGCTGGAGACAGGTAAGTCTAGCTAGGTCAGGCTCTGGCCATGCTGTCCTGTGCTTTTCCTACTGTGCAAGTCATTTTGCTCGGTTCAGAGTGTCTCAGATGTCCCATTTTGGCACGGCTACAGTCATACTCAGGAGAATGGACTTCAGGCTCATAATCATCTGGCTACAGAGAGAGAAAGAATGCCCCCTCTCTCCCTGGGTGTTGATGCATGCTTGTCTAGCTAGGCATTCAACTGCCCTGCTTGATCATTCCAGATTCCACAAACCATCCATGTCCATGGCGCCCTGTGCCCTTTGCCTTGGCTCAACAGCCGCCCGAATCCGGATCAAGGATGACATTGGCCCTGAACCAGTCACCTCCGTAGTTGTTGGGGTGGGACACGAGTCGTCCACGATCGCCACCGTGTGGGCACTTGTCCTTGACCTGATACACGCCATCGTATTAGTACCCCCCCGAAGAATCAAGATATCTGACAGGCGGGTAAAAGGACATACCTGCTTGACCACATCCATGCAGGCTTCCCGGCTCACGTCCGCGCCGAGTTTGCCGTGTGGGCCATCTGTAACGAGGATGGAGCCGTGGATGCCATAACCGTTGACATTCTGGCAGTGCGCGTTCTGCATGGTGATGTGGATTAGAAATGTGATTCTCATGTTGGAAGTTGAAACCTTTGGGCTGCTGGTGCCTCTCTTACCTCGACGTAGAACATGTAGCTTCCAGAAAGCTTCCCGCAGAGGGTAGCCAAGGCGTCGTTGACCTCATCGTCGTTTGCAATGTCACTCCAAGTCTTGCCGCCGCCATAGCAGCCGTAGTTGGCCAAGGCGTTGCCAGCGAAGAGGAGCAGCAGCAAGGCCACGATGGGAGAGAGCTTGAACTGCATGATGTTTGCGTTTGCTGTGTCTGGTGTGTAATGGAAGGTTGGTTGCTAGTACAGATGAGATGCTGGGGAGCTCGAAAAGTTGTCTTGGTCCAGGATGATGTTGTGGTCAGGTTGCAGAGATGAGAGATTCGGCCCTTAAGTAGTTGGGAACTGACGTCCCCATGTCCCCCACACCCATTCAATGTGGTGGGCTTCACTGGTATTGATTGAATGAGGGCGCAGTTACTACTTTTAGTAACACTTGTGTGTTTACGGCTATCATATGGAGAGCCTCCAGGCACATCCGCTTCTGAATCCAGGCTCAGTGTCACTAACCTGAGTCAATGGGACTCTGTGCTCTCTGGTCACACTTGGACGTCAGAAATAGTCCCTCCCGACCTGACTACTTCTTGATCTATGTTCACACCGGTGCCAAAGGTTTGCTCAGGACTTTGGAAGACTGAACAAACACGTACAGAACCGAGGGTTGAACTGTTCGTTGTCTCGGCATCCAAGTCGTCCTCTGACCTTTACTCTTTTTACTTTACGGCCTTGGTATTCATATCCAATAGCGTTTAGAGAGTAGAGGTGATAATAATTGGAACAAAAGAAGGAACCGACTTTATGTTACCAGTCCGGGACAGGGCTCACAGACATCTTCCATCCAATCCTGGTAGGCCCAAGAGCGGTACTTCTCTATCAACTTGAACCAGGCTGAACATGTATGAAATATCCAAATTGCTTTGAGTCAAAATGAGGCGCCTAGAGGTCTTATTCATGTCCACCCATCATGAACGAGCCTTGACAACGGTAGAGTCTATGGAAACACGTAGGAGCAAATAAAGTCATACCCCCGAACGGCCGCCTGCCATCCCTTTGAATCGGGATTGCTGCTTAGATCGGTGATGTGTGGAGCGCTTTCAACAAGGGCCAGCTCGACGGGGATTCCTTTCTCCACCATGGCCTCGTATGTGCCCTGGCTCTGTTGCCAAGGGATCAGATCATCGGCTGTCCCATGAATCAAGAACGTAGGCGTCTTGTAGTTCCCCGCACGAACGTGAGCCATCGGACTGACAGCCCTGATCTTTTCCAGCGATGGCTGGGGGAGAGCATGCCAATTGGTCTTGTCGGGAGACTTGTTGGCCTCCTTCCTGCTCGGAAGCCCGCCGGTGATGATGGGGAGCGTCTGGGCCTTCCAGTTGATATGAAGCACGATGCGGCAGCGCGCGTCTGTCAAGATTCGTGGATCGGAGAGTGGTTCCCAGGCGCCTACGAGGCCGTAGTTTGTAATAGGCTTGTCCTGCACGGCCTCGAGCACGTCGTACTCCATCCCCGTGTCTTCGGCCCCGACGGGCTGGATCGGATTTCTCCACCATTCATCCTCGTAGTTCGTGGGGCAGTAGAATGCAAGGATCGCCTCCGGTGGGCGCAAGCCACGCTGGGGTGCTGTCCATGCCGTTGACATGGCGAGCTGTCCGCCAGACGACCACCCCACTACCACTACCCTGTCGCCGTCGACCTGCAGGCCTGCCCTTTTCAGTCGGATATTAGGCAGCGTGTTACGGGCCCATTCGAGGGCGTCGCAGACGTCCACCATCGGACCTTCGGAGAGCGAAACCTCAGGGCAAAGTCTGTGGTCTAGGGCAACTGGGATGAATCCCCTCTCGAGAAGGAGTCGTGTCTGGGGTGGCCGTACGTCCTTCCTAGTGAACATGATGTGGCTGCCACCGTGGATCATCAAGGCTTTGCAAAGTCAGACTCGAGTTGTGCTCAGCATGCAGACGGGTAATATGGCTCATACGTACCAACTGGCATTTTCCCCTTGGGGAGCTCTCCGGCGGCGGGATAGTACACGTCGGCGTGGACATCCAACTCACCTATCCGCTTGTAGACAACCGTCTCGAGGGCGGCCTTGATATTTGCCGTCTTCTTCACAGCCTTCTTGGACGGAAATGCACCGATGAGACGCACCGTCTTTGACTCGGGGCATGCGCCGTCCGACCACTGCACCTCGTTGAAACCAGCCGCCCGCATCCGGCTCTCCCACTGCTCGTCGATCAGGGCGTGGGACCTCCCGTCTTCAAACAGCCACCACCCTTCGAACTGGCCGAATACCACGTCCAGCCAGAATACCTGCCTCGTGATCTCGACGAGCGTCAGCGCCCCGTCTTCACGGAGCATGCTCCGTAGGTTGCGGAGGGAAACGTCGAGGTTTCTGGTTGCGTGGATGGTGTTGGTGGCGAGGATGCAGTGGAACGCGCCATCATGCTCTGGCTTCGGTGCCTGCTCGATGTCGAGGACCTCAAAAGACATGCCCTCAACTCCCTTGAATTGCTGCCTCGCGGCGGCCACGAGCGACGACGACACATCGGTAAAAACGTACTCGAATGGGATCCCATGGCTTTTGAGATGGTTGATGATGTATCGAGTCGTGCCTCCCGTTCCGGCTCCAACTTCCAGGATCTTGAATTTTCCGCTGCCAGTCGCGCTGGTGAAGGCCTTGGTCATGAAGTCCCCAAGGACCAGAGTTGGCGTCCGGAACAGCGGCCAGAATTCGTATATGTCTTCCAATATCTTCTTGGCCTCTTTATTACCAAAGACCGTCTGTATTCCATCCGTTTCGCCGACCAAACAGGCAGCTAACTTGGATCCGACGATACGCACCAATTTGTTCACGCTCGCGTGCTGAGGATAGAGGTCAATGATCTGTTGGTAAATAGATTCGGCATCGAGAGGATCCACTGGTGTGTCTGTTCGTGCGAATGATTCATCCGTGGACGGGAAAATGAGCTTCCCGTGCTCGAGGACCCGGAACAGTTGGCGGATGAGCCGTTTGTGTTTGTCTAATGCCCGCACTTCAGGAATGTCATCACCCGAAGACAGCTTCCTCATGTCGCACCCCAGCTTCGCAAACGCTTCCACGACATACGCCAGGACTAGGCGTGCCTGGTGTGGGTACGCTTGAGACCAGAATTCCAGGGCTTTGGAACCCTCGGCAAGTTGGTCGTAGCGGAGCCTTATCTCCTGAAACGCACCGGCTGCAGAAGTGATGGTGGGCCGTTCCACATTCATCGCTGGCCCTGACTTGGCCGGAGTCGAGGAAGCTAATGAGGTGGCGGTCGAGCTTGTCTTGGGCGTGTCTTCGTCCGACTTGATCAGCTCTGGACTCGAGGAACGCGTGGAAACCATGTCCCAGGATGCGGGCGTCGGAACGGCGTCCGAGGCATCGTCCTGACCGGTGAGACCCAGCTTCTCGTCGACGTGAGCGGCAAGAGCCCCAAGATCGGCGAAGAACAGGAAGCTGGTCAGGTCGATGGTCACACCGAAGACAGATCTAATATTGTTGAGCACTTCGGTGGCCATGAGCGAGTCAATCCCGAGGTCATCCAGCGTCGTGCCGTCCTTCAGCTCTTCCAGCGGAAAGTCGGTGATACTGGATAGGAGCTGAAATAGCTCTAAACGCTTGCTGGAAGATTTCTTGCTCGATGCAGCCGGAGTAGGCGTGACTGGCACGTCAACCGCAGTTGCCACACGCTTGTGAGGGCCTGTTGCGGTTGGTTCTGCGGCCTTGTTGACACTCCGCAAGATCCGTGCAAGTGATGCCTGCGGCATCTTGTTGAATCGCAAACCAAACACTGCCATGACCATCTTCTTGCTCTCAGCCTCGAAGATGTACGCATCAGCAGACATGTCAGTCTCGCCGCCCTCCGTCATGTTGGCGTACACGACCCATTCCCCTGCGTCCGGGTTGAAGCTACCGCCTATTTCGATGTGTTCGATCTTCCCGCAGACGAGGACATCTTCCAGGCTTGGGTTGTTAAAGTAGTTCACCAGGAACCCGGCGAACTGCATGAAGCTGTCAGTCATCGGGGTGTCACAGAGACGCTGGTCTGCCGGGCCGTCCATGTCAGGGGTGATGACGACCTTCCCGGCGGCTTCCATGCCCACGCTGGCTATTTGCTTGATACCCCGGAAATCTGGTCCGTAGTAAACAACAGTGGTGAAAGCACGATATATGTGCTTGCCTTGCATCTTCTCGGCATCCGGGTGCCTAAGCACCTCTTCGACTCGACGACTGCCCGTCAAAGACTCGAACCTCTTGAATTCGCTGACAGCCTGGGCGTCATCTCTCCTCTTGAGGGAGACTTGGCCCGTGGTAACCTCGAAGGGATCTGCCGAGGGATTGACGCTGGATCGGGTGGTGATTGAGAATTGCCACGAGGGACGAAGCCCATCGACACGCTTCAGCTTGAGTCTGATCTCAACACTGGCATCTCCGCCGATAGGGGACTTCATGGTAAGGTCGTTGACAGTCGGCACATGAGTTGACACCTCTGCTTCTGGTTCGAGGAACATGGCTGCCCGGGAGACAAGTTCATAGTACAAGGACGCTGGACACAGCCCCTGCCCGGCCATGACATGCCCGGCCAGCATGACCTTGAAGCGCTCGGCTTCGGGATCGATCCGGAACACTGCCTCTTTTTGCAGGCTGTCATCGAAGCGGATGAAAGACAGAATCTCGTGCGCCTCTCCTGGCTTGGTTTCAGGCACTGCCTCCACTTTCTTCTCGGCGCGGTTTCCTGTGAATGGAAGCCAATGGCGAGTCTTTTCGAATTGATACGGTGGGAGGCTCAGGTGCGCATACTCTTGCTTCTGGCTTCTGTGGAATGGCCAGTACTGCACGGAGTATCCAGCCTTCCAGAGGTCGACCGTTACATTCGTCAAAGAGCCAGGCGCGTCGGGCGTAGTCAGCTGTGGTGATAAGAAGCTGTGCCCCTGGACGCTTGGCACAGAACCTTTTGCCAACTGTATTACGGATGAGCCGCGGCCAACCTCAATCCATGTGCTCTGTGAGAACCGGTCGCTGAGTCTTTCAACCGCCTGTTTGAAGAAGACGGGCCGTCTCGTGTGCTCCGAAACACTCCTAAAGTCGGGCTCCGAAATGCTTTCGTCCTCATCGCAGGTTTCAAGGTGGATTTCTGGCCTCCTCCATGCCAACGTCTTGGCCAAATCACTCAGGTGAGGTAGCATGGGCTCAGTAAATCTTGAGTGAAAGCCGTGCGTTACTTGAAGCCTCTTGGTGCGAACTGTATCCCGAAGTGCAGGCGTGTTCGCAATGTGCTGTTCCAGTGCAGAAATCGCTGTTGAAGAGCCCACCACAACGTGGCTCTTTGGGCCGTTGCAGCAGGCGACCTCAGCATAGCTATCTGCATTGTGGTCGTTCAACGACTGCAGCGCTTGGTCGACGGTCTGGCGATCTGCCTGCAAGAACATCATGCTTCCTGGCTCATCACCCCAATGTTTCATCATGAGTGCCGCTCTGCCCGCGACCAGCGTGACGGCATCGGGGAGAGAAAGAACACCAGAGATGCACAGTGCGGCCAAGTGGCCGAAGCTGTGGCCAACGACGGCGCTGACATTCAGCCCACTGTCCATCCACGCCTTAGCAGAGGCGTATTGGGTGGCAAAAAGGGCCGAGTGCAACGTGACCAGGTTTTGTATGGGTTTGTGTTGGAATATGACAGGGAGGAAGCTGTCCAGACCCTTGGAAACAAAGAGACTGTCGCAAGTATCCAGATGGTGACGGAACACCTTCGATGAATGGTAGATGTCTTCTGAGAGGCCGATGAAGTCGCTCTCCTGGCCTCCGAACACAAGAATCACAGGCTTAGGGCTCTCCGTGATCAATGAACTAGTGGCAGACTGTGATGCCGCTGCTTCAAGCTTAGAAGCAAGGTCTTGGATGTTGCTCACGGATGTCGCGAGGGTGTGCGGCAGTGCATGATTGGCCCGATCAGCAAGGTTGAAGGCCAAAGATGCCAAGAAATCCTGGGTCTTTACTTTGCCGTCCTGAAGCCAATTAAGGAGCTTTCCACTGTACGTAGCAAGGCTGCTCGCAGAACCGGCTGAGATCATCAGGGGCCATCGAGACGCACTAGGGAGACTCGTTGGAGTCTCGCAAGATGGCTTTTCAAGGACCATCAAGGCCGAATTCGATCCAGCAGCTCCATAGCTGTTGACGCATGCAGCACGGAACGGAGAGTCCCATGAGACAACGTTGCGGGGAATTACCATCTTGTCCGGGCCAAGCGGTGGTATTTTGGGATTCATTGTGCTGTGGCTGGCTTGCATGGGGATCAAGTTGTGCTTCATCATCAGCAGCACCTTGATGAGGCCGGCGACACCAGCGGTCCCTTCGGTATGTCCTATATTCCCCTTTATAGACGCGAAATGGAGGACCGAGTCTCGCTGAGGGCCGCCAAAAACATCACGGATGCTGCGAGCCTCGACAGGATCGCCCACGCCCGTGCCGGTGCCGTGTGCCTCGACGTACGACACAGACTCTGGGCGAAGGCCGCTGAGCTTCAACACGTCTCTGTAAAGCTCAGACTGAGAGCCTGAATGGGGGACCGTGATCAGGCTGTCGTTGTGATTCTGGTTCGCCGCGGACCCGGAGATGACGCCGAGTACGTTGTCTCCGTCTTTGATAGCATCGGACAGCCGCTTGAGAACCACGACTGCTACTCCCTCACCTCGACAGTACCCGTCAGCGGCCGAGTCGAAAGGCTTGCACTGCCCAGTCGGGCTGAGAAAGCCTGCCGCAGACAGGTTTTGGTAGTCGAAGGGACTGGAAATGACGTTGGTGCCACCAGCGACGGCACGGGAGCACTCGCCAGACCAGATTGCCCGACATGCGGTGTTGATAGCGACGAGCGAGGATGAGCATGCGGTATCGATGGTCAAAGAGGGGCCTGTCCAACCAAAGTAGTGGCTCATGCAACCGCTGATAAAACCTCGCGTTGTTCCCATGGTAGCGTACGCGGTGGGAGCATGACAAGAAACGTTGTCGTAATAATTGCTTATGCACGCTCCAATGTAACAGCCGTAGTCCTGTGGTTCATTTGTCGAAGAAGGCCCGAAGTATCCTGCCGACTCCAAAGCCGTGTAAACGACCTCGAGCAGGATCCTGATGAACACTTTATGTTAGCTCGGCATTCACAGCTCTGGTTAATAAGGGAATAGTATGCGGCTGTCCGAGCTTGGGATAACCAAAGCATAGAGGAGGGATAGGCAGACAACTGCGTACCTCTGTTGTGGGTCCCAAGCAAGAGCTTCACGAGAAGACTTCTTGAAGAAGCGGTGGTCGAATGCATCAGGGTCCCGGATGAAGTTGCCCCACCACTTTGTATTTGCAAAGTCGCCAGCTTGCGATAAATTCAATCGCTCAACCGGTGCTGGCTCGACTGTCGTCTTTCCTTCGAGTATCAGATCCCAAAGCTCGTCGACCGAGTCCGCACCAGGAAATCTGCCGGCCATGCCCACGACAGCGATGGAGTGCGGAGGATATTCGGGCCGGTTATGGGATCCATTAGGGAGCCCATTGGCCTTTGTCGCTCCCAATTTGCTCAGAGTGAAGATCTCGAGAGATGAGTCCAGGGCAAGAGATGGGGGAATATGATGCCCAAACCCAGCAAATGCCGCCGTCTTCCTGTCCCGGCCCAGCTGACCAACGGAAGATCTGAGTGTTTGATTCCAGTCCACAGCCTTCAGGAGCGTGTTGTCCAGGACATGTTGGACCAGGGAGCCTTGGGTGATGACTCTGCCGTCAACTGCGGACCGTAGAGGTGCAGAAAGCATCTCTACATCTGGCAGTCTCAGGTCTTCAGACTGCAAGACCAGCTCTGCGAGTTTTGCCGCCGCATTCGAATGTTCAGAGGTGTGGAAACGGCCACGCACTGAGACGGTCTTTGAGCGAAGGCCGACGATGCGAGCCCTTTCATTCAACTCATCCACATCAGCCGATCTCAGAGTTACCGTCACGCACGCTTCATCGTTGACACTGGATATGTAGGCCTGTCCATATGGCTCACCGAGTTAGACACGGCACTAAAACAGCCATCATGTCGAGGTAGGTCTCACCTTTGGAAACGACTGAATGATTCTGGCGACTTCAGCCTTGCTGTCAGAGTCGATCTCCTTCCAGCGAAGAGCAACACACGAGTATTGCTCGTGCTTTTGGGCGTAGATGCCATCCTGGTCAACATATGCGCCTATACATACAGCCAGTCTCAGTGCAACAGCCGCAGTGACGCCAATGTCGGCTTCAGTGGCTGCGCTTGCCACGGCGACAGCACAGAGGAATCCAGCGCAGAACCCCTGGATTCCACCAGAGTTGACGCTTCTTAGGATCTGAATATGGCTATCATTTCCTAGGTGGTCCAGGTAGCGGGAATACTGGCTCATCTGAAGGAGAACAGTGACTGCGAGACCGTAATGGTTAGGTGCGTCGCCATGGTGGTATGGAAGGGAGCCGCCGTCTCTTAGCCACTGCTTGAGTTGGCCTAGGAAGCTTTCCCCGGGAACCTGACGCAACTCCGGGTCGAAGTTCAGAAGGCTTCTCCAGAATCGGGGCAGGTCGCTCACGGCATCTCTCAGAGCTGCTAGTCGATCATTGGTATTGAGCTCTTGTCGTAAGTCTTCAAGTATCCCTTCAGGGGGAAACTCATTGTGCGGTCCAAAGACCAGTGTAGAAGGAAGAGTTGAGAAAGTTGTCATCTTTGGGTAGAGGAAAAGTGCAAGGCAGTCATTCGCAGTGTAACTCAGGCTTGATGGATTTCACAGACTGCGGAAGTGATTTCAGGTCCTAGAGCATTGACAGTTGGTTTCAGCTATGAGTCCATCTAGTAAAGAATCCTACAAGTATATACGGAACCTCAAGCCACCACGAAGGATCACCGAAGCCGTCATCGCCCCGAGCACGCAAGCGAACTTCCGTTGCTTCGCGGGACTTGAACCGATGAGGGTAAAAGTCGCTTCAGATCCTGCTCGGCTGGAATTCCGAGATCGCGCTCGCATCCGATTTTGAGGTGGTCTTATCGTGGTCCCAGTCTCGGCAGGATGCTGTTTGTACTGTGTAAGAGAAGGAGGATCACTCTGCATGATTATAGCTGCGACCAGTGAGCTTAGTCCATTTTGCCCGTTTGAGGAACGTGCAGAATCCTCAGCTGGCGCCTCGTCTGCGCTGAAGGAATTCGGCCTCGCCAAAGCCTTGGTTGAAATCCTGAATGGATTCAAGAAGTTTTGAGCAAAGTGGAGGGCAGTATTCAGAGGGTAGTATTTAAGGCTGTCAACGTGCTGTCGTGCCTCTCGACCATGCATGTATTCTGCAAGAGCCCATGAACCGATCTTGGCAACTTAGCACCATTCGCGTCTTCAAAATTCGGCAAAGCAAAATCAGCAGCTATGATTGATTCCACCCTCTGGTGGGCCTTCTTGGGAGGCTGCACAACATATGCACTCTATGTGGCATACTGGCGCCTTTACTTGAGCCCCATAGCCCACATCCCGGGGCCGCGGCTCGCAGCCGTAACAATGCTGTGAGCATCTATCTCCACGGACATTTGGATTGATGTCCGAGAAGGCTAACCAGTGGAAGGTACGAGATGTACTATGATACCTGGCTTGGCGGACAGTACGAGTTCAAAATCATTGAACTGCATAAACAATATGGCCCCATCATTCGAATCTCGCCCTGGGAATTGCGTAAGGAACCCTACCATTCTTTGAAGCTGTTCATCCATACCACTCATGGCATTCAAATTACAAAACACTGACTAAGAATATTGCAGATATATCTGATCCCGTAAGACGGCCTGTTATCTCAAAATCATATGTCCTGTATTAACTCATGCACAGGACTTTTACGACACACTTTACGTCGGTCATTCGGCTCCACGTCGCACGGAGAAGTACTGGAATACTGTGAGGTATTTTGGACTTGACCTCTGCGTATTTTCCACGGTTGACCACGATGTCCATCGTATACGGCGCAACGCTCTTAATCCTCTTTTCAGCATGGCAGCTGTCAGATCGTTGCAGCCTATCATCCACGAAAGAATTGACATGGCAATGAGACGTATGAAGGATTTCATTGACGAGGACAAAGTTCTCAATGCCACTTACATGTTTTCTGCTTATACAAATGGTAAGATTACAATTGAAACAAGTGAAGAAAAAGACAAGCTGACACACAAGCACTCAGATGTTGTCGAGACATACTGCTTTGCGCGATGCCAGCACCGTCTCGGTAAGTCCCGTTGCCAAAACCCAAAATCCATTACACGCCAGACACTGATGTGACCGAACACTCTAGAGCACCCTGATTTCGACCCCCACTCGCGCGATGCCGCTTTCGAAGGTGCCACCTCTGTCCACATCATGAAGCACATATGGTGGGTATACGATATCATGAACCATTTCCCCACCAGCATTGTAAAGGCCATCAACACCGGGGCCGGGCTTTACCTTGAGCAGAAACGGAGCTCGCGCGCCGCGGTCGAGAAAATCATCGACGGCGAGAATGAGGACTGGCGCGGACAGGAACAGCCAACCATCTTCCGCGTCGCGCTCGACTCGAAGCTCCCCGCCCACGAGAAATCCGTGGGGCGGCTCGCGGACGACGCCCAAATGGCCGTCATGGCCGGCACCCTGACGACTGCCATGACCTTGGACACCATCATGTACTGGCTCCTGGCCCAGCCCGAGACCCTGCGCAAGCTCAAGGAGGAGCTGCACCGCGCCATCCCCGTGGCCAGGGACATAGGCTCCACTCCCCTAGCCACGCTGGAGGGCCTTCCTTATCTCACGGGCGTCATCAAAGAGGGCCTAAGGCTGAGTTACGGCGCGTCAATGCGCCTCCAACGCATCGACCCCGACAATGCCATCATGTTCACCGACAAGAAGACCGGGAAGGAATGGACGATCCCAGCCAAGACTCCGGTCGGCATGTCCACCGTGCAGATCCACCACGACGAGGACATCTACCCGGACAGCAAGAAGTTCCGCCCCGAGCGGTGGCTGGGCCGCGACAGCACAAGCCTGGACAAGTACTTCGTCAGCTTCAGCAAGGGCAGCCGCAACTGCCTCGGCATGAACCTCTCGTACGGGGAGCTGTACCTTTTCCTGGCCACCGTGTGGAGGACGTGGACGACGCGGGAGGTCGGCCCTACCGAGGGCGAGGCTGGCGTGCTTGAGCTGTTCGAGACCACGGCGCGCGACGTGGAGATTGCTGGGGATTATTACATTCCCGCCGCGCAGAAGGGATCCAAGGGCGTCCGGGTCAAGGCGTACCGCTTGGATGCATGAGCTCGGGCCTGGATTGCATCATGACGACGGGGCAGTGTCTACGTGTGCTGGTTTTTCTTTTCCTCTTTGGCAATCGATCGATGCCTATGCATGGACTTTTGCATGACGTATCTGGTTTCCCATTTCCATTCCTTTGGTTTCAGACATTATAGGAAAGATAGTTCAATTCGCAAGATGATCCCATTCAACAACAGTTACATTAACCTTTCAGTATATCGGCGAATTTGTACCATCTATTGTCTTAAAAACAGATTCGCTTTATGCTATAGTGTGCTCTAGACTTTGATGGAATCATACCTGCTCGCATGCCCACCAATCTTCCAGCTTCTGCTCGGCACCTTAGGTAAAGAGTGTATACTGGTACGACCTCGCAGACTTTGTGGGATCTACGAGTTCTTCGTGTAGGGCAACGTGCATGAGCCTTGTTTCATACTAACTGCTTGCAGAGAGCCTCACCTGCATCGATTGGGAGGCTATGGCCCCCAAATGCAAGGCTGCGCCGGTCAACTTGGATGCCTAGCTAACAAGAGCCTTTCAATTTGCCCCATACAGTGCGTAAGCCCGCATTTGTCTCTATTATGTGCCTAGTATGTAGTCAGCATCGAAGAATGAATCCTTCGTTCGCATTTCGGTCAGTCGGCCGAGCTCGTATTACTTTGGAAGTTTTGCAATCCACATGCATGTCGCTTACCAGATATGTATGCAAGATGTGTTGTACGAACAATCCTCCTGCCGCGGCCGGTTACGCGAGCATCCGCCACTGTACGGTACTAACACTACAGCCGATAACGCTCGGAGGTTGTTGCGCGTTACAAGGGTGCATATGGGGGCCGAAGTCTGGTCGTAACATATGAGTGACGGTCCAATTCTGCCGCCGTCACACATCTAGTTCAACACAATTTTGGACCAGACCGTCTTCGACACCTGCCCTTTGGGTCATCCAGCTGAAAGTCCATAGCTTGACCTGTGTTTGTGATTGCAAAATGTCTCACGAGATACTTTCCGACAAGAAAATGTCTATCAGCTCTCTGGGGAAGCAGGTTTCTTCCCTGTCTTCTGACGTCGCTGCATATCTTGCCAGAACTCCTTTCCCCAGCCCAAGCTTCGAGGCGGACGGGGGTGATGTCCCGGAGGACCCTGAATACGAAGCCCTGCGCGCGTCTCTGAACGACGCAGCCCTCGATCTCCTCCGCCTGGTCAACGGGCCCAAGACCACGCTTCGCGATCTGTTCTTCTCGCACTACGACCTCGCAGCCCTACAGATTGCGCTCTCCCGCAGATTCTTCAACCACGTGCCCCTCGTCCCCGCCTCAGCAAATGGTAACGGTGTGGCTGGGGCGAGCAGCAGCGCCGCCGAGGTTGCTGCCAAGGCGGGCATGGACGAGGGCCGCGCCGGCGCCCTGCTGAAGCTCCTCGCGACCCGTCGCATTTTTGAGCCAGTCGACCACGGTGATGGGGTCGAGCGCTTTAAGCACACCGCAATTTCGGCCTCGTTGGCACGAGATGCTGAGTATCATGCCCTGGGAGACATGCAACTGGACGACATTTTCAAGGCGTCGTCCGAGTTATCGACCCTCGTTGCTCGATCGCCCCATGCTTCCAGTGCCACCGAGTCGGCTTTTCACCAGCGCTTCGGCGTCCCGGTGTATCAGTACTACGAGCGGAACCCGGAAAAGGGAAAACGCTTCGCACAAGCCATGAGCAGTTGGTCCAAGGGTGAGTTCTATGCACTTCTCCCATTGTAAACTCGGTTGTGTATTCACATCTTTGGCGTATAGTTAATGAGAGGGGGACTGAGCTCCGTGATAGCTTTGCGTGGGCGTCTTTGGGCAATGGAAAAGTTGTCGACGTTGGCGGGGGAAGCGGGCACATATCCATCAGACTTGCCCGAGTAAGTCGAACGTTTCTTGTGTGGTTTCTCCACGCTCCCCTACCCCCCCCCCCCTTTGCATATATAAACATGCCATGTGTTGACCAAAGTTTGTAGGAGTTCCCTGAATTGCGGTTCGTTGTCCAAGACATCTCTCCCCTCCAGCTCTCTCATGACCAAGAAGACCTCGAGGGCCGCGTGACTTTCCAGCAGCACAACTTCTTCAGCCCGCAGCCTGTCCACGATGCGTCGGCCTTTTTCCTTCGACAGGTCCTGCACAACCACAATGATACGGATTCGCTCAAGATCCTGCGTGCCCTGGTGCCTGCTTTAGAGAAGTGTGGCCCAAAGACGCCGGTGTTGATCAACGATGTCATTCTTCCCGAAAGCGGCACGGTTTCGCGGTTTGAGGAGCATCTGCTGAGACAAGCCGATGTTTCGATGCTGGTGATATTTGGTGCTAAGCAGAGGAGCCAGCGAGACTGGGACAAGTTGTTAAAGAAGGCCGATCCGCGGTTTGTCATTGTGGACGTGCAGAGGAACCCGCTAGGTGTGGGCTTGTTACAGGTCCATCTCTTGAGTTAGATCTGTTGCAGATATCCATGCAGCACACGTTCTACGCCCCGACTGCCGGGCTCGTGTGATACACTTAGCATTTGCTTACCTTATGCTGCCCCAAGTAGTTGACGGCAATAAAAACAAGAATTTTTGAACTTCTGAAATCACTATTCATGATTCAATTGAAATTCTGTGGGAGAGCACGAACATACATTCCAACTTGAAAGCCCACAGTACTTTTCGCGGCAGCAGATCCATGCAGTCCGAGGCAGAGTGAGTAGAATTGAGTATGGACGCCGAGTTTTGTGTCATACTAGATTCCCAGGGGCAGAGCATTGAGAAAAGAGTTATAACTATCGATGTCAATGGCCGTTCATCAGCGATGTCTGGGCGAGGGGGCCTCGGTGCTACTGAGTATCTGTCTACGCGTACATAACAATCATGATTTCCACATATAAACAATGCGTATTGCAAATCCCGCGCAAGATGACAGTTGCAGAACTTGTTTATAAAGTCGAACTTGCATTTGAATTTGCTGTATTGAATACTGAATGCCACGGAATTTGGAAAGAGTTTCGCAAGTACAATTCGATTCGTCTGAGCTCCGGAGGACGCACGGCGAGACATTACAAAGCTTTGGGGCGTTTAGTCTTTGCTCGCCATTCGCACCGAGCCCATTGTTGCCATTCTAGTTGAGGTTACACGAGGCAACCAACCAGTGTTGTGGCCGTACCACGTCGAGGCTCGGGCTCGGCCGAGCTACCGAGCCAAACACCAGACAGCCCTGCAAGCCGACAAAAAGCTGATCATCCTTCTAAAGCCATAAAACACCATCTTTTACACTGGCTCCATCTTGGCAGGGAAGCTACTACTGCCCCACGAAGCCGTTCATCCAATCCCCTCACGCCCCCGCTCTTCCTACTGCAGTCAATCCATTAGCCCTGTGCCCGAGTTCTTCTGCAGCACCGCCATGGCTGATATCTTCCGGGACGCACCTGCGGGGCACCTCATCCGTTTCCTCACCGGGGATAGAGGGAAACTGCTCACCTACGCTGATGAGAGGCCCGGCTTCGAGCCGCCAAAAGTGTCCGGCCGCTCAACACCACAGCAGGACGAGAGCAATGGCGACGTGGAAAAGCAAAGTGCGGGATCAACGCCGGGAGTGTCTGAGGACATGGTCAATTGGTACGATGACAACGACCAAGACAATCCGCAGAACTGGTCGCTGCGGAAGAAGATATTTGTTCTCTCACAGATTATGCTCCTGAACTTCTCGGGTGAGTCAGTTGAAACCACTCAATATGCTCTCGGAATCATGTTGGACGGTCTGGCTGACCTTGGTGTGCAGTGTACATCGGATCATCCATCATCGTTCCGGCTGAACCCAGAATGATGGAAATGTGGGGCATCTCACAACAGAGCGCGTCACTGTCGCTGTCCATGTATGTGTTGGGATATGTACGTTGCGGCTCCCCTTCTTCTTCTTTCTCGTTTCAAAACACTGACCCGTGTCGCGAAGGGAGTGGGGCCGATGTTCTTCAGCCCGATCTCAGAAATGCCGCGAATGGGTCGCAACACTCCCTACATTACGTCCCTCTTCCTGTTCGTCATGATGACCGTCGGGGCCGCTACGGTCAACAACTTCCCGGGTTTAGTCGTCTTTCGGTTCTTGCAGGGACTGGTCGGAGGCCCGGTGCTGGCAACGGGGGGTGCCTCGGCGACGGACCTCTTCTCCATGGTCAAGGGGGCCTACGCCGTGTCGGCGTGGTCGGCGAGTGGCTTCGCAGGGCCGGCCCTGGGGCCGATGATCGCGGCTTTTGCGGTGGCCGAGTCAACCTGGCGCTGGCCCATGTACGAGACGCTCATCCTGAACGGCTTCACCTTCACGCTGCTGCTGTTCTTCCTCCCAGAGACGAATCCCGACACCATACTCCTCCAACGCGCGCAGCGGCTGCGGAAGCTGACGGGGAACTCCAAGCTGCGGTCGGATTCCGAGATCCGACAAGGCGAGATGCATGTTCTTCGGACGATGGGTCGGTACCTCACGACTCCCTTCAAGATCACTGTGCAGGATCCCTCCATTGCCTTCATTCATATCTATACGGCGTTGACATATGCGATATATGTAAGTTGGATGGCCACAGAAAGCAGTCGGAGATTGTCCCCCTCTCCAAAGACTGTACAACTTCCTGGAACTCGTCTGATATAATGGTAGTATTCGTATTTTGAGTCATTCCCCTTGGTCTATCAAGGTGTCTACGGCATGTCCTCCAGCTTGGGGAGTGTCGTTTTTCTTGCCATCCTGGTAGCAGGTATAATCGGTGCTGCCCTCTTTGCGTTGCTGCAGTGGTTCATTTACGAACCCTACACTCTGAAGCACGGAATCGGTGTCCCGGAGACACGTCTGGTGCCCGGGATCTATGCTGCAGCGGCAGCGCCCACCGGGGTGTTCATCTTCGCATGGACGGCGAGGCCGGAGATCCACTGGATGGTCCCTACCATTGGTGTGGTGATTTACTCAGTGGCACAGCTAATAGTGAGTTGACCCGTGGGAGAGGTGCCGGGTCGTTTCGTCTTCTGACACATTGCAGCTGCTGAACTTCATCTTCATCTACCTTCCAACCAGCTATCCTCGGTATGCTGCCAGTCTGTTCGCGGCGAACAGTGAGTAATCAACCTCAAGCAATCGTTACGGCGTGAGATTACTAACGAGAAATGATTTTGATAGCTTTCCTTCGAAGTGCGCTGGCTTGCGCAGCAGTGCATTTCTCACATCCGCTCTTCGAAAACTTGGGGATCGGCGCAGGCTGTAGCGTGCTAGGTGCCCTGACTGGTGCATGCTTTTTTGGTATCGTGGCCCTGTGGCACTATGGTCCTCAGTTGAGAGCGAGAGGAAAGTTTGCGGAGACGTACTAGACGGTTACGTAGTCACAGAGCAATTTGAGATTGCGCAGTGAGAAATTGCAGACTACAAGGTCAAATGATACGTATGTAGGTGTAAATTGTTACATTTGCGCCGAACGGCTGCACAGTGCCAGTGTCTTACGGGGAAGGTTCTGGGAAGTCATTACGAGGGCGCAGGAAAATGCTTGGGACTGGTCAATGTTAGTGCCATGGTTTGTACTTACTCGAAAAGGAACTCGGGAAATCGAGGCCGCTCTCAGCCGACTCATGTTTTTAGATGCCTCTTATTAGTCCTCGGGCACGAATTGGAATATTGGGAAGATTGAATCGATACAACGTTGAACCCCGAGAAAGGGCATGAGATCACTGCCACAACGTGTTTTTAACCACTGCTATGCTAAAATGCCCAGTAAACCACGGAAAGGCTATGGAATACTTTCAAACAAAATTTACCGCGTGTCAAAATACATTAAATCCCTTGTCCTACTTCAGAAAAAGGCCTTTAATATAGAATGATTGGTTTCAAGGAGCCTGACGCGGATGTTTCTTTGGTTACTGCAGATGGGCATGGATCTATCACTCACAAAGCAAAAACCTATGTTTGGTCAAAAAACTTACCCCGCACAGCTAAAATTACACAGTAGATACCGCCCCCGCCCCCAAAATGCCCAGCCCAAAAAAACCCCTGTTTACGCATTCCCCCTCGCCTCCAGGCCCTTCCCATCTGTTGCACCGTGCAATCCGAGCTTTAGCGAGCCGCAGGTGTCCAACACGGCTGGACGGCCAACGTAGGAGTGCTTTTGCAATCCTAGTGGACACGCACGCCATCATCCCAAAAAAAGAAAAAGCGCAAAGCCCGTACTCACGCTCTTCAACACTCTACAACAACACTTTCGCTTTCCAGTCTCATTTCTTTACCAAGAAATTTCCTTCTACCAAGGAAGTATCCATGCATGATATACCGATTGACTGGTCTAGTGAAACTTGATAGTTTCTAACAGGAACCTCTGCTTAAGCGCTGTGAAAATAGTGCTCTGTTTGCGAATACACGTCCTTTTGTGCTGGGCGTGCCCGGCTGCCCGGATGTGCTGCTACCTTAGCTGTTCCGCGTTAGACTCTCTGCAGCCCAGACAGGCTTATCTCAGGCAACTCATTCCTTCCGCAAGAACGAGGCAGTTTGCCACGCGGGGGATACGGGCCAGCCCAGGACCTGACAGCTGTATGGCTACTAGATATTGTGTTACCATCTGCAGCCCCCTGAATCGCTGGGTGGAAACCGTACTTCGCATCCAAAGGGCACCAGTCAGCGACTCGGACCCCTGGGTGGCTGAGCCTCATCCGACAATTGGTCTTTTTGTCTGTGAGGAGTTACTAAGTATTAAATCCAATTCTTTCCCGGCCCGTCTGACGCAGCGGAATAAAGACACATTGGACGTGAGCCGCAGCAGTTCTCTCAGTCGAGCCTGTTTCGTGTAACCCAGGAGTTTCTCCGACATCACAGAGCACAGCACAATCTCCTCCATCAGGACTGTCGTACGGCTGATAAGCGGGGAATGCGAAGGCCGCCTGAGTACGACGTTGGAATCCGCACCAGCCCATACCGCCGTTCTACATCCACAGTCCCCGCGCCATGGCGACGGCAGTGAGGAGCACCGGAGCGGACCCTTGGGACAGCACGACCGCTTCTATACCCGCCAACCTGCCCGCCAACCCGCAGATAAGCACGCTTCGGCGCACGACATGTGATGTTTGCCGCGAGCGAAAGGTTCGGTGCGACCGCACGAAGCCCGAGTGTCTCCGCTGCAGACGCTCCGGCGCCGTCTGCGCCTACCCTTCCCCAGACGCGGATGCAGCGAAGATTCAGCAGACCCTGCAGAGCCTCTCCAAGCGCCTTGGTGAGTCTTGTTTGCTGCTGGTCCCCCCTCCCCCCTCCTTGTCTGCGTTTCTTGGAAATGCTTAGACTGCTTACACTTCTACAGAAGATGCTGAGAGCAGGCTCCAGTCCAGCCAGCCTCCGGCACATGGTGCGACGCCTATTACGGCCTCTGGGGGGCAGATGATGGACTTCAGTATCGTCGACTTTCCTGGCCTCGGGTTCTCGGCCGAGGGAGGGGATGACGCCAATTTCCAAGCCTGGTATAGTACTAGCGCCTCCTTCGGGCTCAGAGCCGAGCGTTGCTGATGCCTGCTTACCTTAGGGATCAGCCAATGATTGATGATTTTGGGGGCCATTTCGGTGGCTCGGGCAAACTGAGCAGCACCGTCAGCGTGTCCCCGCTGCCCTACGGCACGCTCTCTGACAGCGTTCCCACCCCGATCGAGACAGGAACCACAACAGCAACCACAGCCAACTCGTCACGAGCCTGTACTATTCCACAGGAGCTGGGCCACGGGCAGGTCGACCAGCCGAGTCCTCCTGAAAATGGCTTTGGCACTTTGCCCGTATCTCCTGAGACATGTGCACGACTGTAAGTAGCTGAGCCTGAACTCAAGTGCTCGCTCCCCACGCCGTCATCCCCCCCCCCCAAACCCCCGGAGGTGTTAGTGCTCAACCCAGTCTTAACTTTAATTTAGCTTTGAAGCCTATTTCGACGTCGTCCAAAAGCATCTGCCCCTGATGAGCAAGAGCGCTTTCTACCGCACCTTACAACAGTCTCCAGACAAGCACCAGACGTTGGCCCTGAAATATGCCGTGTGCATGGCCGGGGCCCAGGCAGAGAGGGATTCGTTCCAGTTCAAGGAGCAATGCTACATCGCAGCACGGCTCCACCTGGAGCAGGCCGAGCTCGGCTCCGGCGCCTCGTCGTTCTGGAACGCCGAGGCCGCGCAGGCCCTCGTGCTCGTGGCTCGTTTCGAGTTCGAGCACTTCACCTCCCCGCGCGCGATGGTCACCACGTCTCGGCTGTTCGCTCTCATGTCCGTTTTATGCCATCAGGATATCTCCGGCTCGGAAAAGGAGCAGGGCGAGGATGAAGAGGAGCCGAATCTGCTCAGGATGGTGATGCTCGTCAGCCTGTCTATGAAGTTCCGGGAAACAGGGGTCCTTGGAAACAGCAAGTTCAAGGTGAGTCACCGTGCCGCTCCGCAACCCACAGGCCCGGACAGAGTGACAAAGGCAAGAGCCAAGCGTCACTTTATAAACTAACACAACGTTAATTAGCCGCCCTCAGTGTCCAACATCTATGATGACATCGACCTGGACCGCCTCAAGATCAACCTGCTCACAACATCACGCAGCGTCCCAGAGAACGACGCATTCGGCGTCCTGTGCGTCGCCCTGAAGATCGCCAGCGACGCGGAGCAGCACGACCGCATGACCACCACGGCCGTGTCCGGGGTCGACCTGCCGGCCTTCAACTTCTGCCGCACCCATGAGCGCCTCGAAACGAAGATCGGGACTATCGTGACGCAGTGGCTCACCTCCTCGCCCTCCTCCGCGCTCTCCTCGGGCCCCCACTGCGAACTGCGGGTCTTGGCCCTGCTCGTTGCCCTCGGAACGAGGATTCAGCTCTTCAACACGGCTGTCTACCATGGCGGGAGGTCAAAGTTCCTGCATACCATCACCTACGAATGCCGCGAAGAGAGCGTCTCCAGCGCCATTGACATCAGCGACTTGTTGTGCTATGCTGAAGTCCTCCGCCCAGATAAGGTGAGCGGCTCCCCTCGCCTTGCTCTATCAACATATTCGCAACATGCCAGATGTTGACAAGACCCAGATCACGATATACCGAGAAGCAAGCTTCTACATGATGCCTCCTCTCCGGCTGGCCGCCGAGGCCCTCGTGGCCGTCCTCCAGGCGCGCGGCCAAGACAGCGCGAGGCGAATCCCACACGGACACCTCGAGGTCCGCCAGTCGCTCAAGACGATACTCCAGGTGATGGACGCATGCAAGAACGAGGCTGGCTCGTACAACGACTGCATAGGGATGGTCCGAGCCTACCTGGGGAGCTTGGAGGAGACGTCCACGCCGCTGCGAACGGGGTTCTCGGCAAGCTCCTCCCTGGGAAAGAAGTAGACACCTGGCCCAGAGGTGGGCTAGTTGGAAAATCCCAATGCCCGGGGCTGCGGGCTCAGGGGTACCTCTGCCCCCAAGGGTGCACGGCGCCGCTCTCATGCCATGCCGGCACGGTCTACAGCTGACCTGTGTAAATTTAAAGCGAAAAAAAAAAGGTTTCATGATAAATATTGAACGCAAGTTTTAGGGAACATTCGAGAACATAGAAGGGTACCCAGTACGGCCTTGGCGTATAACAGATCCATGTGGTCAAGACAACGCGGCATGGAGACAGTGATGGAGAAGATTCCCCGAAGATAGTGCCATGCATGGTCCGAACATAATGTCCCCCCCGGCACCTCCCTGATTCTCCCATCAAGAGCACGCATATCACGCTAGCCACTTTCTGCTGGCCATCTTGGGGCCATTTCTTTAGCCAGGCCAGATGCGAGCAAAAGGAATTGGCAATGAAACATCATTGATGATTATGCATCGCCACCGGACCACCGCAGAGTATCCAAACCATTCCATCCACCTGGCAACAGGGTACAGATGCTCGCTTCCACCGAGTTCCAAAAGACGTGGGTCGACATTACTGTGCCTGCGAAATCAGGTGTGATTCGGATGTTTCCGGGTTTCGGACACGATGAATATTTTTTGGATACTACCGTGGGGTCTCAACAAGCAGCAGATGAGCTCGATCAGGATGAGCTTGTCGAGGTTGAGGAACACTTCAACTGTTGGGGATCAATCTTGACCCAGCCATGGAAATCATCGGTATTGATGGTGCTACTGCTGGTGGGCGGAGGACTGCTGCTGGTGGCCGTGATGGTCTCGGTGGTGCTGGCGTTCGCGGTAGTGCTGATGGTTTGGGTTGTTGAGGTGGTCTCGGTCTCAGTGGTCTTGATGATTTTGTATTTCTTTCCACCGCTGGTCTTGTGTTTCTTTCGCGTGGTGGTGGAGGTCGTGAAGCTCATCATGGTATTCGGAGAGGTTGAGATAGTGGTGTAAGTGCTTGTGCTGCTGGCTAAGCTGATGACGGTCGTCGTGGTAGCGATGCCAGAAACGTCTCCCTGTACGTGTTTATCGGACAAGTCCCCGGTTTCTCCCTCGCTATCGCTATCCGAGGTGCCTTCATCGTCTCCCTCGTCATCGGTGTCCGAAAAGGCTCTATCGTTTCCATCAATGGGCTGGTCTCGTCTGCTCCTTCTCTTCGAAGAGCTAGTCTCATCGTGGATAGCGCCATTGACGCGAGAGAGTTTCAGATTGCCACCCAAGTTGACACATTCAGTCCTTACCTTTACATATCACAGATTCAGTACAATGTTCGCATGACTTCTGGGGTCACTATGGTACTACTTACATGGGTTAGGACCGCAATACACGTAGCATTTGAGAATGTGACATTTTCTGATGTGTAGGGGTAGTCTCCTAACTGGACGTTGATGACCAAGCTGTGGCCATAACCTTCCGTACACCCGTAAAGCTATGTCATTTTATCAGCTGTTACTTTTTATACCCCGTATCATTCCAGACGTTAATGTACTTACAGCTTTGCCATATTCGTGAGATCCAGAATTATTACCACAAAAGCCTGCAATGGTACCCGTGATATCACCATTCGGTTTGGCTATATCGGAGACTCTTTCACCTGAAGGGTAGCAACCAGGTGGGGTATCGGTAGCTAAACTGGTCCAAGTGAAGTAGAACATCAATGCGTCTATGATCATGACATGGTTGAGCAACATGTCGAAAGGTTGTTCTTGTATGTGTGTTGGGTGGTAGAAATGTTCTCGGTAATGGAGAATATTTCATAGATCCGGGGTCTCAGAATGCACAGATTTCTTTTGCGTAATGGTGGTGTCCTTTGAAGTGGGTTCCAGAAGGGAGAAGTCGTGTTGCGCATGCGTCTTTAAATATTTTGGCGGGAGACATCAAGTCCCGTTCACCTGAGCTTCATGAACGAGTGACCGCCTCCGTCGGCCTTGTCTGTGCTTGTAGACATGCCATGACTAGGTCCCAGATGTGGTAAATTCTCCCTTCAATTTTACTAATGTCATTGGCATTCGTGACTATGACCGCAGAGAAGGGACATAATGAACCCTCAAGTCTCTGTGTTGAACAGCATACTTATGTGTGCACCGCTTCTATTGCCAATCTGTTTGGTAATCAGGGGTGTCGGACACGAGGTTGTAACGACGTTGCTCGAGGGCATCGGGCCTCGGAAGGCCACCCCAAGACCTTCGAGCTGATGACCTTCATTCACAGCGACGTTGACATTGTCGCAGTTAGCGCGGCTTTCGCCAGCGAGTGGTTGTGGTGCAACACCGAGCTGGATCTGCTGAAAGAGAAAGGTATCGTCAAGGGAGGCACCATCGCCATTCGCCATCCGCCATTCGCCGGACTGCACCGGATCCGGTCACTTAACACTGTGAGTGGTGAATGGTAATTATCTTTACCGTACCCCTGCTGTGCCTCTCATCTACCTACATAAGCGTGTGTTACCAGAGTCCGACGTACCTACCAGAAGATGGTGTACTTGCCCCGCGGTGACTCACAAGAAGGGCTTATTACTTAGTCAAGCATTTTCACAAAGCATTGCGTTGCGGATACCTCCTCTTTCATTTGGAATCCCTAATCTATGACTGACTCTGACTTTTGTTGAATTCGTCGTTACACCATTGGTAAGAACAATTTGAGGTATGTATACCACTCCGTCCGTTCCAGCAAAGCCGCTGCCAAATCGCGGCACATCCTCAGTCGCGCCCAGTCGGTTCATAAACTGTGTATTAGTGGCTGACAATCCAGTTGATATTTTGGCCGAGGACAAGCCCATATCTCGGTAGGACTGATAGCATGGCCCCCCTGCAGTAACAACAGCTGGCGCTATCAACCGCCGCCACCCGTCGCTGTTCGTCTCACTTGGCTTCAAATATTGTCTTTGTAACCAAGGGCGTTCAATGTTTGATACACAAACATTCCGCATCGTACATTTCAAGGCCCTTGTTCATACAGTGAGTCAAGATCGAGCTCCGTCACATTTCGGCCTTCCCGACGTCGATGTCCCAGCGCTGTCCCCAATCGTGTCAATGCAGGTGATTGTTTTATGTCCACCAATGACATGTCCACTTCGCCCTTGCCGAGCTTCACTCTCATCAAACTCGCTGCTCGCTCCATTTCCTTGGTAGCCGACAGGTGATGTTCAGCCACGATCTCATCACACCTCGGTGGACCATGGAATAACAGTGGCAGAACTGACGCCTTCCAAACAGGTCGATGCTCACGGTCCCTCGCGGCCTTCCAGATTGCACACACTAGCAAGACTGCCGTGCCAGCAGTCAGAGCAGCGGGGAAAGCGATCCACGCCCACTCCACATGTGTGCATACCATCGTCTCCCAGGCGATGCCGTTGATGGTTCCCGGCGACGTCACATTTTTACTGTTGTAATCCTGGAGGGACTGCGCATCATGGACAACTGCACCCGTGTTCCTCAGGCGATTCGTCATGGCAAGGGTCATGTTCTCAAAGAAACCCTCGATGAGGTTGAAAGTTGTCGCGCCCCCGCCAAACAGCGGTGCCATTGTCCAGTTTTCCTCCGGGCATATCGTCTCCGCTGGGGGAATCTGCGAAAACGCGGATGTGCCACAGCTGCCGTTGAACATACGCTGCGTGTCAGCTGTGATGGCTTGGCCGTATGCAGGGTTCAGGAAATAGGTGCACTCCCAAGGGGCGATCAAATGAATGCCGTCTTGCCAAAGGTCTGTAAAGTTCCGTGAGGGGAGCGGTGGGACCATGGAGATGTTGGTGGCGTCGTAGAGCTCCCCGTCCACAATGCATGGCAGCTTTACGACCGGGATATCTTTGGATGGGTGTGCGGCAACATGAGAAAGTAGGCCGTTCGATTTATTAGCCCTGACAGCTGACACCACTGTTTCGTGAAGCCTGCCGTTGACCACGCTCGAATGGTAGTTGCGCAGACAGGGGAAGATGTGACATTTCGCTGCCATGATATTGGCATCTTGAGGAAGGTTTGGCAACATGCTGTGTTCCGGTGTTCCGGTACAATTTGCAGTTGTTGTCAGGTCCGGATTGTCGGGAATCAGGCATCCGGCCAGGGTGAAGGCGATGATGCCGAATCCAGTTGTCCCCGTCATCATCCTCGAAGCTGCCAACTGACATCCTCGAGTCTAGAGAATCATAATGATAGACAGAGGCGTTGGTTCCAGAAGACATAGACAAGCTGTAAGAATAACAGCTGTCTAGGTACGGATATGCAGTGCAATCATCCGGGTCAATGCGTACCTCCTCGATCGATTCCGTCACATCATCGCAAGCACTACAGTACGCGATCGAGGAAGAAGTCACGCCAAGCTGCTCTTTAAACGTACAGTTTCCCGTCGGGCAGTCATAAGTGATGGACTCTGTGGTGGAGCCAGGATCCATGATACCCCCGACGATAGCTGCTCGCAGTCCTGGAGACGCACAGAAACTGCGGACGCCGCATTGAATGAGATCATTCATTGGAGCGCGCGTCGCGATAGCCAGTGTGCCTAGAGATGTACCCGACGGTTTTTGACATACTGATGTCCGGAGGGTCTGTTGCAGGAAAGAGCCGGTGGCCAACGACACAACCATTAAGATTGCAGCTAGGGAGGCCAGGTGGCTGTAATCTCAGATGTGAATGTTAGTTTCTGTATCCGATAGGGTCGCAGCCTCCGGTAATGCCAGTACACATGCACTTACGCAGTCCACGTTCTGAACAATAAGGTAAAAGAGCCCCATGGTCCCTGTGACGCTTGCTCAAATAGTTCTAAATGTCGCAGAGGACGTACGCGGTCGAACCAGATCCACTTTTCCTGGCCAAGCACTGCGTTTAATCAGCCAGATTGACCTCCCCAAAGCCATGTTAGCAAAGATCATCCGCAGATCACGAACCTGAGGCAATGACTACGACCAGCAGTGTTCTCAGGGTTGTCGAGAACATCGATACTATAGTGCTCAAGTTGATCCATTCCGGCCATTCAGGCTGCCTGATACCGTCGAACTCTAGTAATAGAATTACAAGACCGACGAGGACCAGCACTGCAGCGATCAATGTCAACACTTCAAAACACCAAAGTTTGACCACCTGTCCAACAGTTTGCGGCCTTCCAGCAAGTCCTCGTTTGCCACGAGGGACCTGTTGGTCGCTGCTGTCATCGCGAGGCTCGTTTTGGTGGTCGGTGGTGCCTAGAAGCTGGTCTTGGGAATTCCCCCTTGAGGCAGATGTTGCAGATGCCGGCGCTGAGCTGTAAGAGGGCGGCCCCAGGTGTGATTGTAGAATAGGTTCAAGTCCTATACCGGATTGATCAGTCGCGTTGGCACTCATGATGCCAGTATGGTGGGGAGGGCGTCAGTCTGAGAAACTAGGAGGAAATGCAGATTATCGGTGCGGTGTAAATATGAGTGATGTCGTAGCACAAGCTGAAAAATCAGGCAGCAAGGTTCAGGTGTCACACAAAATCGGATTTCTTGATCTAGATTGGAGCTACGTGGTTGTACAACATGAAGATCTTTGATTTAGTAGATCTAAGTATAGAAATGGACATTGTGCAAGTAAAGAAAATAAATAGTGCGTACAGCAGTCTTTTATGCATTTTAGCAGGTATACGCACATAGGCCGAACATCACGTAAACAGTCTAAACAGCAACGCTCATAGTTGCCTACATGCTTTGCATACAAATAAAGTTAGACAGTGCTGCTGAAACATGTCGCCCGCTAATAATTCGAGAACTGCTGGCCAATGACCGCGGTTCCATACAGTGATAGCCAGTCGAAGATAGAGACATCGATGCATTATCAACGCCATGCCAGTGGTGCATAGCCTCTACGGTACTCCATAAAATCTAGTGCTCCTAATTTGTCGATCCTCTTCTACTATTCACTTACTACTACGCCAGTCAACCGCTGTGGAACGAAGCAACTATACCACGTGGTTTATCAAATCATACAGAGACCTCAAATCATGGATACTGATGGCGAACGACACGAATTTGACGTGTCTTGTATTACACTACGAAACCGATGAGAGTGTTTCGTGTCCAACTCCACGGAATGTGGCTCCATTGCTCGGTAAGTTAAAGTGAGATGTGAGACTAGAGACCTCCAAGACCTCGGAACTTTCGCCAATACAGCTTGCGACCTTCATATCTCCAGTGTCCACCGTTTCTATCGGGAAGGGCCCCTGTCGCAGCTGCATTCCACGGAGTTGGGCAGAAGTAATAATTGTAACGTGATTGGCTTGACTCAACCAACTGATTCAGTGCACCCGAGAAAGACTGGAAAGTGACGAAGAAGTCCATAGAGACATTATGTCTCCAAGTCTAGATCAACTCACATCCTCCTAACAACTATGCTCGGGCAAAGTGGTTTATGCATTGTTTTTCACTTTTGGTTTTAAATAAATCTTTGGAGAATTCCTTAACTTGCGCCTACTTTGCGTGCAACAGCTGAGCTAGAATCAGGCTCAGATGGGAGTTGTCAATTTGGCCGTTACCTAGGTACGTATGGCAAACACTTCCTCAACTTGCTGTGGCCAATGAGGCTCGCGCAAAGCTAAGCGAGCCTGTCCTGCGAATTTGCGATCACAAAGGGCTTTCAAATTGTAAGTATTGCTTAGAGGCTTCCTAAGGTAACGCCCAGGTGCCCGCTGCTTTGCTACCATGAGAACAATCCATAGCAGATCAACCGACTCTACTAGTATCGCCTTCGACTCCATTCAGGTACCTTGAGTTCAGTTTCCAAGATCTGCATCACACGAGATACGCGTGGTTCGGTACCTAGACTAGTACCTCCCCGAGCTGCCACAATCGAGGAGGAGCAGTATTGAAAGGTAGCAAGGAAAGCGGGGCCAGAATAACCCACTTCATTTTTCAGCCTATAGTCTTCCCGCATGCTCTCAACGGGTCAAGTACGTCATAAGCGCTAGGTTATTTGAAGAGTCCAGCCCCGTTGATGGTGTCCTGTTGCCAAGGAGGGGTGTCAAGACTGTAAACGAGTCAACGCAAGTTGGAAAAGTCCACGCACTTGAGGGGTGGACCGGGGCGGAAACCCGCCGATCACGCCGATATGACAAATGCAGTGAAAATGCACGAATTGTACATAAAAGACCGCGATTAGTAAATCTGTGCATGTTCACATAGACTCTCAGTCTACCAGCCAGGCGCATCCGCCAAAGTTCAACATGAAGGCGTCACACCTGCTTGGCGCCGGTCTCTTCACCCTCGCCACCGCAGCAGGGCCATACGCAACCTCCAGAAGAAACAACACCACTAGCCCGCTCAAAGTCATCTTCGACACCGACTTCAACACAATCGGCGACGATGGCCAGGCCTTCGCAATGGCAGCCCAGCTGCACGCAGCAGGGGAACTAGACCTCCTCGGCATAACAGTCGTGACAGGCAACCAGTACCTAGACCAGGAAGTCTCCGACGCCCTCAAGGCCGTCGGGCGCATGGGCATATCCCATGAGGTCGGCGTCTACCCAGGCGCCCCGGCCCCCTTCCTGCACACCTACCAAGCCTACCAGCTCGAGCGCGCCACCTTCGGCAACGCCACGAAGTACGTCGGCGCATACCAGTCCCCACCGGGGTCGCAAGCCCTCGTCGCACCCCCGGACGGCTTCGCGGCGTCTACGGTCCCCAGGACCCAGCATGCCGTGGACTTCATAATCGAGGCCGTCCGCTCCCACCCGCACGAGGTCTCCCTCCTCGCCCTGGGGCCGCTGACCAACATCGCGCTCGCCATAACCCAGGACCCGGGCATCGTGCCCCTCGTCCGCGAAATCGTCATCATGGGCGGGCAGGCCTACGCCCCCGGCAACGCGTACCGCGGCGCGGGCGAGACGAACTGGTGGTTCGACGCCGAGTCCGCGCGGGCGGTGCTGCGGGCCGGGTTTCGCGAGCGCAAGATCGTCGGGCTGGACGTCACCGACACGGTGGCCATCTCTAACGAGACTTATGAGCGCGTCGCGGGCCACGAGCCGGCTACGGCTGTCACGGCGCTGTGCGGACGTGGAGAGGTGGCCGTATGCTTATGACACTGTTGCGCTGGCGTCGCTCTATGATGGGAGCTTGGGCTTGGATGTGCGGCCGTTGTATGTGGATGTGAACTGCGACTTTAGCGCTGAGTATGGGAAGGGGCTTGTCTGGGAGGAGGACCCATATCCCGGGCTTGGGGTTGTGGGTGTCTCGTCTGTGCTGTTTGGGATAGACAACGCGAGGTTCTTTGAGCTTTATGTTGACCTGCTTACCCGCCCGATATCTGGGACTGCATAACTAATCATACGTAGAGTGCAATCATGGAATAGACAGATTAATTGTTCATATCGCCGCCGCCGAGTTGGTGATGCATCTCGAGAGCAGTATCACGCATATTACACGTATGGACCTTGACTGTATTTTCAGGATGGAAAAGCCATGCAGTGATTGACTAGTGTTGCTCTTATTTCATACATGTAAATTGCTACGGATTCGCCTGACAGCATGTACACAGTTCTGAGCCATTCTTGCCACGCGGTTCCATTCTTCGAGAATCACAAGTGTTCTTCATGCCAATCATCAAGTCTGTCCCAATTGCTCGCTGACTAGTCTGGCTCGAAAGAAATCTATGGATCCAAATGCAATCGCTAGAAATCCAAAGTCATATCCCATGATCCTTCTGTTAACCCATGTCCCAAAAGAATCCCAACCCCAGCACCATACAGTAGAGCCCAAAACCCTTCAAGAACGTCAAGAAACCCATAGAAAATCCCATTCTCCATGCTCTTTCTATACATCTAGCTTCTTAGACTCGCCCCAAGATCTTCCTGATCTGTCCACCCCTTCGCGCCTGCTGCGCGGTACCTACCGCCGGGTACCCATATTCATCTCGCGGAGCTGCGACGATGTCAGCGAATATCCCGCGGACCTTGAACCCTGGCGCTGGTGCGTACCTGAAGAGGAGTCACGTCTACTGTCTCCACTGTATATGTCATCCTGCTCCCTAGCCGACCCGGGCCTGACCTTGTCGGGCCTCGGGGGAGGCGGTGGGGGCGGCGCCGATGTTGGCGCGGTATAGAAGTCCTCCTCTGGCTCGATCTCCACCGTTCTTCTGTTGTTGTTGCTGCTGCTTGGTGTCGGCGTGTGGGAGTTGTAGTGCTCGCCGTTCATGCCGTTGGCGTAAGGGTTGTTCGACGCCGGCAGGATGCCGTTGGTGTGGACCTCGGGCCGGCTCGCCTGCTGCTGCGGCGCGGGCGGCCTCTGCGTCCTGGCCTTCGGGGGCGGGGGTGCGGACGCGGTGCTTGGTTGTCGGCTGCCGTTGGCGCTCGGTCGACGCTTTGGTGGACCATCCTCATCGCTTGTCTCCTCGTAATCATCAGCCTCGTTGGCATATGCCCTCAGCTCCTTGCGCATGGCAAGGCTGGCGCATATATCCTTGGCCTCCTCGATCGCCCTCTTCCGGCTTTTAAGAAGCACTCTGCGCTCGCGAGTCTGCTTGTTCTCGGCCGCGATGGCGAGGATAGTTTCCTCGCTCATCTTAAGTACGTGCAGGGACTCAAAGATGTTGTACATGCCCTGCAAAAGATGCCGCTCGATAACCTGCACGATAGTGTTGCGGATAAAGGACTTTGCTGATAATTCGTAGTAAATCAGCATCTTCTCGAGCACCTCCTGTGCCTCGGACCACTGCGGCGCCCCTTCCTCGCTCAGCGACCTCGCCTGCCACGAGCGGAGCTTCTCCTCGTACTCAGGGTCGTATGGCTGGACCTCGAGGTGCATGTCCTGTGAGAGCAACTCGAGTTCCTTCTGGGCCTTGTCCATGAGCAGCTTTAGCTGCAGGTCGAGGAATTCGCGCCGAAGGGGCTCGCGCATTCGCTTTGGCCACGAATAGTCGATCAGCTCGGCCAGGAATTCGTTGCATACGACGCCGAGGTTATCCTTGTGCTCCTGTGCCATCCTGGGCCAATACTCAGAGTAGCTTTGGAAGAGCATGTACACAGCGCGAGGCTTGGCATCACCCGGGAATTCAGAACCACGAATCTGGTTGAGAAGCGTCTGGACCTCCTGGCGGACGTAGTTTTGCTTTTGCTCCTCGGACAAGTCCTTGCCTCCCGCCGGTGCATGCGAGAACCCGAATTTCCGACCGTGTTCCCTGATCCGGCTACTGAAGGCGTCGTTCTCCTCGGCGGCCCTGGCGCGCAGGTTCTGCGCCGGTGTGCCTCGTGGGTCAGCAGTGGAGCGGAAGAAAGTCTTGCCAGGCGGGTTCTTGTAGAAACCGTAGACAGCAGGTATGACGAGTTCCTTGGAAGCGCTGAAGAGCTCCACGAGTTCTATTCGCATCTCTTCTGGGGTGTCTTTTCCCTCGCCCATAGACTTCAGCTCCGTCTCGGTGTCGTCCAGGGCCTTCTGAATCTGTCGTCGTAGCGTCTTGACGTGACGGCCAATGTGTCGCTGCAGTTGCACGCTCAGCTTCTGCTTGAGAGCATCGGCACCACACATGGACTCAGGCAAAGAGCGCCATTTGCCCCTGCCGAAGAACTCCTCCTCCTTCTGGCGCCGCTCGTGTGCCGTAGGCCAGGCCTGGCCAGCTTCGCGGGGACCAGGATTGAGCAGGACATACCACCCGAGCTGGAAGTAGTTGGCCGTGTCCTTGTTGTTCACCAGATCAATAAACTTGTCCTCGAGACCGATGGATTCGGTGAGGTCGGGCTTGGTGAGAACGCCAATGGTACGCGACCCTGTGGGGTCATATTGCCTCGCCTTGGTCAGAATCGGTGCCTGGACGTAATCGGTGTTACCGCCAACCACAGCGAGGATGATTGTGCGCGAGCTCTTCATGTAGCGCTCGCATAGCGTCTCGATGGTTTTGATGTCATCCAGGCTCTGGTCTTTGTTTGCGTTGCGCACAAGCCCGGGCAAGTCGACCAACGTCAGCAGGGGCATATCGGGGCCTCGCTTCTCAACGACGAGGATGTCCCGGGCAGCGAAACGGCCAGGGATATTCTTGGGCGCGATCAGGTCGACGGCATATCTCATGAGCTGCTCAAAATCCATTTGGTGGTCCACATTCCCGCCAAAACTGCGCAGAGCCTCCTGTGCCTTCAGGTCTCGGTTCTTGTCTGGGATGATAGAGACAGTCAAGCTGGTCTCGGGCGCGCGTCGTAAGCGGATCTCGGTAGCGAATCTGGTACAGGCGCCTGCATCTCGAGGGAACGGGGTGCCGGTGATGGCCTCGAGGACCGAGGATTTGCCGGCAGACTGATCGCCAACGACGCATATTTGTGGCAGCTTGACATTGTCAAGTTGTGCGAACTGGAGCTTGTCGATGAGCTCGAGGAGGCCGCGCTGCTCGTCGGCGAGGCCCTGGGTGTCGAGGGCGGAATCTAGGCCGGCTGATCCCATTCTGAGGTTCATCAATGGGGAAACAGCGCGGGCAGTGGACTTGGTGGAGGAGAGGTGTGAGGAAAGGAAGGAAAAAGGAAAGGGTAGAAGCGATAAGAAGCAGGTCAGAAAGTAGGACAGTGACCTAGGAAAAGTAGGGTATGATGACGGTTCTTAAAAAGGACGTTCCACTTGCCACGTCGTTTGGGGTCGAGGAAGATGCATGTATCAGAGGCAGCTTGTTTTTAAGCTTGACCACGGGGCCGGAGGATGGGCAGAATAAGACGGGCCCCACTCCGATCCAAGGGTCCACGGGCAGTGACAGAGCTAAGAAAGGTGTCTGACTGGTGAAATGATGGCATGTGACTGGTCTGTCGCGGTGAGAAGAGGGCTATGCTCATTGTATGGAGGGCCCTGCCATGAGTGCAGAGCTGCGTAATCACCTTGGCATGCTGCAAGACCAGAAAGACTGGGAATACTGGAGAAGCGCGCAAAAGTCGCCACCCACACGGCTGCGCCCGAGCGAGGATCTTGTCACAGGCTGCCTCGCTTGGTGCAGCGTACTCGCGTATTTGGCTCGGTTTGTTTTCATTTGACACACAGAGGTGGAGTGGCGTAGATTGCGTACTCCTCTGTCTGTCTGGCTGGCTGGTCGGGTCAGATTATCAGCCTGCCTCTGATACACCCATCCTCCACGGGCCAAATCTTCTGGCCAGGACAGTAAGCCTAAAATAGAGGCCTGGCCGGGAAATGCAGCCGCGAGGAAGGACAGACAGTAGGCAGTGGAATAAGACGGGATGACGAGGCGAGACGCGTCGCACACAGGCTAGCCAGCCAGATCTCTTCTCGTTGACAATGGCAGGCAGGACTGGGCATTTCTCGGGCCGCAGTGGTAGTGCTGCAAGATGACCCGTTGGGCTGGAGTCTCGGGAGGTCTGAGGAGAGAGCAGAGCCGGGCGGCCTGGCTTACCTGCTCGGGGCAAATGGAAAGTGGAGGCAAACTCTCGAACAGACGGGACGGCGGCATTGGCGGGGTGCAGAAGGTGGCTCAGTCGTGGCTGAGGCACGGGAAGTAGTGCAGTATTCCATAAACACATCGCAATGCAGCCAATCTGTTAACGGAAGACGTCAATCCCAAAATGGAGGTCAACGGCAAGCAAGATGCAGGGACCAGGCCCGTTCAGGGCCAACCACGTCATAGCATGGGATCCGCATGCTCATACGACGCGACGGAAGGAGCTCTGGAGGGCCCCGAGAGCCAGTGAGCAAGTGGCACGAACAAGGGGAGCTGCGACAACTGGAGCTCTCGTCGACGAGAATTTTTGTTGACTGGCCCTGGCTGGAGACCATCCGATTCCACTGGGCTCGACTTGACTCGGCTCCTCCTCGGACGCGACACGGGAAGACAGGACAATGTTGGCGTGGCCGTCGTCTTTGTCGCCGATGATTTTGTCCTGCTGCCGCTGCTGCTGCTGACCACAACCGCATCAACAACCACGCCGACAGCCATCATGGACTTCTACGACCCCAACAAGGGCAAGAAGGGCAGCTGTGACGGCAGCGGTAACGAGTTTGTCCAGCCTGGCGAGAAGGACACCTACGTCCAGCTCGTCATCTCCCTGGCCCTCGGGTCCACAGCCTTCATTGCCTTTTGTGTGAGTCCAGTCGAGACTCCTCGAGTACCCGTCGTCGATCCTTAGTGATGATGCTGAGAGCTGTCCAAATAGGTCCTACGTCCACGATGGAAGTCGTTGTACGCCGCCAGACGCCGCCAGTTCGGCCCCCAGATAGGCCTGCCTCCTCTGCCAGACAGCTTCTTCGGGTGGATGCCCGCCCTCTACAAGGTCACCGAAGAACAAGTCCTGGCCTCAGCTGGTCTTGACGCCTTCGTGGTATGTTTGTGTTCCTCTCTGCACCTCACTCCCCTGTCCCCCGGCCTTCTACCATCAGAGCCAACCCCTGACAAAAGCTCCGCACAGCTCCTCGCCTTCTTCAAACTCTCTATCAAGCTCTTCGCCATCCTCTTCTTCTTCGCCGCCACCGTCCTCGAGCCCATAAACCGGCGGTACTCCCCCGAAGATACCCCCAAGAAGCCCGACGATGATAGCGACAACAGTTGGAACTACGACATGGGATACCTCTGGGCCTACCTCGTGTTTACCTACTTCTTCACCCTCCTCACACTCCACCTCCTCAATAAGGAGACCTTCAAGGTCATCAAAATACGACAGGACTACCTCGGCACTCAGAGCACCATCACCGACAGGACCTTTAAGCTCTCCGGCATGCCTCGCGAGCTGCGCGACGAGGCCAAGCTTAAGGAGCTGGTTGAGAAGCTGGAGATTGGCAACGTCGAGAGTGTGACCCTGTGCCGGAACTGGAAGGAGCTGGACGACCTCGTTGCTGCAAGGGCCAGAACCCTGCGCAAGCTCGAGGAGACCTGGAGCGTGTACCTGGGCCAGAAGTCTAAAAACTGTCTCGATGACAGACACAGGCTCGTCAGCAACGCCGTGGCCCCCCATGATGAGTCTGCCATCGTTGACGAGGAGGCCCAAGATGGCGAACGCGCAAGCCTCCTGGGCGGCGGTCGCAACGGTGCCGCCCATCACCACTGGATTGACCGTCCACGTCCGCAGACGCTCGTCTGGTACGGTCCGTTCCGTCTGAGGCACAAGAAGGTGGACGCCATCGACTACTATGAGGAGAAGCTCCGGCGGCTCGATGAGCAGATTCATGTGGCTCGCAAGAAGGAGTACCAGCCGGTCGATCAGGCCTTTGTGACAATGGACTCTATTGCGGCCTGCCAGATGGCTACCCAGGCACTGATCGACCCCCGGCCGGGCCAGCTGTTGACAAAGTATGCGCCCGCCCCTTCGGATGTCGTGTGGCGCAACACCTATGCTTCTAGGAAGAGCAGGGTCATCAAGTCGTGGATCATCACCATCTTCATCAGCTTGCTCTCGGTTCTCTGGCTGATCCCCGTGGCCACTATTGCTGGTCTGCTGTCGCTCTGTACCATCAAAAAGGTCTTCCCAAACCTGGCCGATTTCCTCAACGACCATGAGGTCATCAAGGCTCTCGTGCAGACTGGCTTGCCAACGGCCGTGGTGTCACTTCTCAACGTCGCCATTCCGTTTCTCTACGACTATCTCTCCAATAGCCAGGGCATGCTCTCCCAGGGTGAAGTCGAATTGTCCATCGTGTCCAAGAATTTCTTCTTTACCTTCTTCAACATTTTCCTCGTCTTCACCGTCTTCGGTACTGCGACTCAGATTTGGACCGTCATTCGCGACTCCTTCAAGGACACCACCTACATCGCTCAGCAGCTCGCTCGGCAGATCCAAAATCTGAACGTCTTCTACCTGAACTTCATCATGCTCCAAGGTCTGGGCCTTTTCCCCTTCCGCCTGCTCGAGTTTGGCGCAGTCTCACTGTACCCCATCAACCGCCTGGGCGCAAAGACTCCCCGCGACCACGCGACGCTCACCACGGCCCCATACTTCAGCTACGGCTTCTACCTGCCCACGTCGCTGCTCATCTTCATCTTATGCCTTGTCTACTCCGTACTGCCACGCGGTTACATTGTCCTTGCGGTAGGAGTCGTGTACTTCGCCCTAGGCTACTTCACCTACAAATACCAACTGCTCTACGCCATGGACCAGCCCCAGCACGCTACCGGCGGCGCGTGGCGCATCATCTCATACCGCATGGTCCTCGGCCTCATAGTCTTCCAGGTCACCATGGCTGGTTACCTTTCCCTGCAGCTTGCTTTCTTCGCATCCCTGCTCGTGGTCCCCTTGCTTATGGGCACGGTGTGGTACTCATACTACTGGAAGCGCCAATTCGAGCCGCTGACCAACTACATTGCTTTGCGATCTATTCGCCACCGCCAGTCCAGCCGCCCCAGGAACAACGACAGCAACAGCGGCAGCGGCGCCAGCTCTCCCGGTGACGAGGGGGGCAGCGTTGTTCATGACGAAGTTTTCGGTGGGCCCGGACGCCACCCACCACAAGACCTGCTCCGTCGCCGGAAGAGCACCGTCGACGAGGACAAGGAAAAGGGCCTGCGGTTCATCAACCCGAGCCTCGTGGTCCCGCTCGAGCAGCCGTGGATCTACCATGACCCACCTCCGCTTCTTGCGAGAGACTCCAGCGCGGGGTTCAACGGCGGGGACACAGACGATGCGTTGTTTAGGTACGAACAGGGGAGGGAAAGTATCGTGGGGGGGCCAAGGGTAGCCGAACCTGAGTCCACCTCCGCGTCGGAAGGTGGGTCAGGACCGGAGCCGGACAACAACAACTACGGAGGTAATGCTGACAGGAACGGAGGTAGCAACTCCAGCTCCCTGAGTTTAGGTGACACGCATATTTGGAGGTCATAACGGTGAGCGGAGCTGGAGATGACAGATCTTATTGGATGTTATCGGTTGAGTCAAAGCCTTGTTTGGGTTTCATCCGCGATTCTCGAATTCGTTTCGTTTTGCATTCATACCAGGAGCGGGCAAGCACATGGCGCTCAATTAGCATGGGATTGTGAAGTATTCTCCCCCTTTCCCTTTCATTGTTTGATAGTAGTTGCAGCAATACCCCCTGAACATGAAATAGCAATTTGAACTTTGTACTAAGCAATGTGCTGTATCGACCGTCGTTCTCCCCCCTCCCCGTATGTGTGCACATTGGGTTCGGGATCAAAAAGCAACCACTCCTGGCAGGTCCGCCACTTCCCGAGAAGGGAGCGCAGCACCTCAATCACCCATGTCCATAGCGTCATAGTCACTGGAACTTCCGTCGTCGGAGATGTAAATCGCACTCGATGCCGTCTCGCCCGGACCATCAGCCTCCTCCCGCCTGGGCGGTGATGAGCTCGCCTCCGTCTCGGATTCCATCCCACCGGCGGGGGCAGCAGCAGCACCACCACCCGCCTCAATGTCCTCCATGCGGGCAATGAACTCGTCCTGCAGTCTCCGCAAGAAATTTCGCAGGGTCTCCTCGCCCATATCACTGTCCAATGCCTGCTGCAGCGTCTCGCGCAGGTGGAGCACCAGCCTCCTCCGGAGCGCGAGCTTGCGCGCCTCGGAGCTCTGCCTCTTCGCCTCGGCCTGGCGCCGCAGGAACCCGGCCGCATCCTCGGCGCGGTCGAGGAACGCGTCCGGGAAGCCGATGGCCCTCGCGAGCTTGATGCCGTAGTTCTCGTCCTGCACGGGGCCGGACCCGATTCTGTACAGCATCGTCATCCTGGGGACGTTATCGGCGGCGACGGTGGTCTCCGTCTCGAGGTGGAGGTTGAGCACGCCGGGCCTGTCCTGCAGGACCTGGGCGAGCTCCGTGAAGTGCGTGGCGAAGAAGACGAGGGCGTTGCTCTGGACCAGTGCCTCCGCCATGGCGATGGCGATGGCCAGGCCGTCGCGCGTGCTGGTGCCGCGGCCCAGCTCGTCGATGATGGCGAGGCTCTTGTCGTTGATGTTGCGCAGGATGAAGGCCATGTCTCTCATCTCAACGGAAAAGGTCGACATGTTTGACTCGATGCTGTCGTCTGTGGATGTCCGGGAGAACAGGTTGTGCACGATCGTGAAAGAGGCGAATTGCGCCGGGACGAAGCAGCCGATCTGGGCCATGACTTGAAGCATCGCGACGGTGCGAATGTACGTGCTCTTGCCACTCATATTGCAGCCCGTGATGATTTGAAACGCGTGTTGCTCTGTCGCGTAGTAGTCATTTGGTATGAATTTGTCGAGAGTCTGCGACAAGTTGATTCGTTAGATGCACAAATTTGGCGCATTTGAGTACATTTGTCCCGAGATTGGGAACTCACAAAGTCAAAGATAGGATGTCGAGCTGCTTTCAAGGCCAGAGCGTCCTTCAGTTGTGGTCTCGAGTAGTCTCGTGTAGTCACTGTTTGCCCAAATGATGCGAGCATGTCCAAGAGAGCGATGCTTTCACAGACCCTGAAGAGCTGAGGTATATCAGCTCTGATCGAGTCCAATAAGTGTCTGACGACCTTGTCACTCTGCATGATGACCTCGTCCACCGAGTCAGTCATGCGCTGATTGAGCTTCACCATTTGGAGCGTCTGGCATTCCAGGAATTCTTTTTTCCGGACATAATTGATGAGGGCATTCGGAATCAGTCCATCCTCGAAATCGGAGCAGCGAAATCTCAGCCAATACCGTCGCCGGTTGTCAAACTTGAGGTCTGCCGCAAGCCCCAGTTCAGAGTTGAGCTCTTCCACATGTTTGTGCAGGTCCTCCGTTGCTTCTTTGTACGTTGTGCGTGCCACATCGAGTAGTCCATGCACACCTGACTTGACTGCGTACACCCTCTGATTTCGGAGATCAAGGGGCTTGGTGACATAGGTGACGTCCTCGTTGATGACTTCGGCCATCCGCTCAAGAATGGGGCTGGTGATGCCGGGTCGGCAGTGGTCTCGAATCTTGACCAGTAATTCGCACCTCGCCGAGTCCAAGGAATCGAAGACGGTAGGTACAGCCGCTACAAAAGATTTAATCATCAACACTTCGTTGATGGCTTGCTCGCTCGCCTCCAATGACGGCTCAGTGGGAAGGAGGATGAGCTTGCTGAGTAGCTTTTCAACATCGCCGAACGCCTTGAGCGCCTTACGGACTTCGAAAAACATGTCCTCCTTGGTGCAGAGCTCCTCGACTGCGTCGTATCGGGGAGTTAAGACGCCTTCTGTCTGCGTGGATGGCTGGAGCACATTACTCCGCAGCATTCGTTTTCCCATCGGAGTCCTGGTCTCATTTAGCAGGCCAAAAAGACAAGCCTTGGATGAAGGGTTCTGGAGATTTTGTATTAGCTCCAAAGAATGAATGGTGGGAAGACTGATCATCATAGATTCTTCAGATGGCTGATATCTGATTCGTAAAGAATGACCAGAAATTCTCAATGAGAACTCCAGTTCGAGATATTTCATGACCTACACTGATCAGATTGCGGAGCTTGTTTTCCTGAACTTCAATGGCACCTACCGCTGAGAATGAGCAGGTCGCGTAGAAATTCCCTTCGATGGCAACCTTGATCGCCTCGACATCTTCCTTGAACGCAAGAGCCTGGATGAATTCCAAGCCCGCCGTCTCGGACCAATACCTCCTGTCCAGTGCGACAATTGGTACGCCTGGCAGCTCTTCCTCGATAGTGGCGCAAAGACTGCTCTTTTGATTTGGTTGACAAGCGGTGGAGACAATGAGAATGCGGCTAGGTTCAAACACCGTCAATTTGTGGGTGGTCTTTACGTAGGATTGATTATCGCAAATTTGGCTGAGAACCGCTTCACCCGTTGAGACATTGACGAAAGCTATGCCTACAGACGGAGAGATTCCACGTGCCTCACTCACGGCGCAGATGATCTGGTGCCCCTCACTTGCACCGATAGAAGATGCTGCACGCGAGCGACGGCCACTTCCCGTCGTGGTTCCCGTGCTGTGGGTTGGAGTGACTGGGGTCTGGGAAAGTCGACTTTGGGCTGATCCATTGGAAACAGAACGAGTAACAAACGAACGACGTCGAAACGGTTCAGAGGTAGATCGATGGTTGGACGAAGTGGTTGAGCGGGATTGGGACGATCCAGCATGGAAGTGAGGTAACCTCTGGGGGGCTGGCGTTATGAATGCCATGTCTTTGACGATGCAGGTGACAGAGGCAACCTTGATAGGACCGGCGGAATTGACCACGTCTTATGTTCGATGCCAACGATGCACAGTATCAGAACATCCTCTGTATTTCCACTATTGAGACAAGCGAGCTCTGAAGGAGCCTAAACGCCTGCCAGGATGGCCGTTGTGGATCCCGAGGTGGTGTGCTCCTTCCCGTCCCTGTACAGGCGCCTTCACGTGGTGTGGTCATCACTGTGCAGCAGCACCTGGGCAGCTGCCTGCCCACCTTCGTACCTCCATTCCAGGTCGGAAGGCACCCGACACGACGCCATTTCCTACAACGTATGAACCTGGCGACCCCTTTTCCCAGTGCGTCCCTGATTCTTCCAAATTCGACCCTCTTTCTCACCCCCTCATTTTCCCCCACGATCACTAGCATACCTTGACACCGACATCAAAACCAGATACCAAGCAGTCGATTCTATCAGAGACTCGTGTCTCACCTACTCGACACGCAGTCCTAGTTCAAACACCTGTTATCCTAGCAATCATCAATATTGTGTCCCGCCCGTGCGAGCACGTCCCTTTACCTCAAGGGTATCGGTCGAGACGCTTGTTCAAGACGTCCTACTGTGCTTCTGTCGTTCTACATTCTCAGCAGTGGCCTGAATCCCCTGCCAACTGCTTTTCCAACATGTGAGTAGTGATTCATCCTTGAGCTTCAATTCTGGCCCAGGCCTTTGACGCAGAGTACAATAGAAAGGGTGACATCGTCCGTCATCACTGCTCGAAGAATCCGACAAACCCGCACCGTCGCCATTTGCCAGCTCCCCACCGGTATCAACCAGACTTTCGTCTGCGGCAAGAATTCACGGACTCCATTGGTTGTCTCCAGTCTACTCGGTCAAGATGAGATGGTCGTAGGACATCTTCGCTCTCACTGTTGCCGTGGTCGATGGCCTCCTCTTCATATGTGCATGGTACTGGATCGGCCATTTCATCAGTAATTTCTGGGACGGGGATGAGTCCGATGCTTCCGATGCGACATGGCTGTTCAGCCTTGTGCTTGTCACTAACGCCTTGCTCGCCTACCTCTGTTACTATCTGGGCTACAGCACAGGATGCAGACGACTGCGACCAACACCGGACCCAGAAGTCCCTCACGAACTCCCTCACGAGCTCCCTCACGAACTCGTCGACTTCCAGTCACCAGATAGACACGGGGATTCATTCACAAATCCGAATCCTGGGCCTTCAAAGCAGGTCTGAAGATACAGTCGATCAGGGTTTACGGTCCAGGCTGACGGAACCTGGACTTGTCCACTATTGAAGAAACGTGCATTGCAACAGAGTTGTTTCGCACATTCATTCATATCGTTGTCATTACTCTGGGTCTCACATCAAGAATTTGGATGGTCAAGACCCAAACTGGACCCGCTCAACTTGAGCACGTTTTTCCCTGTCTCCTTGTTTTCTACCCCTCCCCTCGGCGCCATCTACTGGACAGGGAGACACAACCAGAGACGACGAGTTGATTGACCTCACGCAATCTTCAGCTTAATACCAACGCATGGGTTCTGGTCGAATGACAACGTGATCCGCAATCAGCTTGGGGCACTATTAGCCAAATAAAGTTTGTTGATCAAGCACAGTGGTCACCTCATATGCATCGTCACAACTTTCTCTGTTATTAGCCTCAATAGTACGTCCCCTAGGTATTCACTGAAAATCTTCCTAAGGCGCGCTTCGTTTTCGCGTGTCCGTGAAATACGACAGGGTTCATCAACCTGGTAATTTTCAAGCGATTGGCTGCCATTCTAGCTTATTTCGTACGATGGTCCCTTGCTTCCTTGTAAATAAGAAACCATTCCGCCTTCGACATTTGTACTGATCTACAGGCTCCGAGACGGGCTAACGTCAACGTAATGCTTGCCCTTGCATATCAGCAGTCATAAAGGGATCACCCTCTCCCTGCACCTAATCATATGTTGCAGTAAGCGACCGTCAGAAAGACAAGCCAATTTGTTATCAACGCCAAGCTGTATTTTGCTATTGTAGTTCGACGATTATGAGGACTACCGTCTGGAACCTGTTTCTCAATTCAGAATGGGTTTCATTGGCCTGAAACCCAAAACATCTGTCAATGCTGGAAATCAAAAGTGAGTGTCCTCAAATCCATGAGTTCAGCGCATGGCAATGGATCGCAGAAATGCCTCCAATCAGAATTCCACATTTCATTTGCCGCGCCCCTCGTCAAAAAGCCGACTCAAGAATCAACCCACGTATCTCCATTCCACCCAAGGTCTTCCCCATGCCTCAGTGGCTTCCGCGGCGTGACCGCTGAGCAACCACACATGTCAGCTCTCCTGATTAGTACGGGTAATTGGGGTTGCGAGAGGAAAGAATCTTGTTAGCACGTGCCCGCAGTAGAGTATCGTCAAAGGCAGCACCCGCAGAACGCTTGACGGGGCCGGCCAGCACGGGCTTGGGGTAGATGACCTCGAGGACCTTCTTAGCCAGGCCCGGATATGCGTCAGTCATCTCAACCCACGCGCCGCTCTCATGCATGACCATCTGGATGTTGTCGGCTATGATCTTGACTACGGTCTGCTCCAGGTGGGTACCTGCGTGCTGGCCAAGCACGATGTGGCAGATCTCTTTGAATCCGACGAACCACTTCTTCTGGGTGAGCGATTGAAGGCTTGTGCCGAGCTCATCGGCAGCATTGGTGCGGAGCGACGCCACCTGGAAGTAGTCAGCGACCATGAATGTCGCGATGGGGTCCTTCTTCTGGCGGTTTTCCAGCGCGTTGAAGTAGAGGTATTTCAGCAGCCCGTCGACCTGTTCCTCAAGGAAGGGGCTGCCCGTGAGGTTGATAGTCGAGGTTTTGGACTCCTGTGGGGTCCATCTGCCTGTTAGAAGCTTCCAAAGTTGCTTTAAGCCCAGTGGCTGAGGGGTCGTGCTTACCATGAAGTCGCCCTCCAGCGCTTTCGCAAAGTACGTCGACTGCTGGCAGATGACCCAGCGGTGAACATGCCAGACCTTCTGTCCCATGACAATGGTGGCATCGGAGAACCGTTTGTCACCCCACAGGCTGCTAATTTTAGCGATGCCGTCGAAGGAGGCTGGATCCAAAGATGGTTAGACGTACCTGACGGCCGAGGGTGGAGAGGAAGCAGCCATTCTTTGCGAGGACGACGTGCTGCTGAGAAACGTATGTGTACCGACGGCAAGCAGCGATCGGGGATGACCACCGTCTGTAGGTCTCTGTGGTATGATGTGATGTGAGGAAGTCTGGAAAGACCTCAGGGACAAAAGAGGGAAGATTTAAGCTCTTCAAGTCCCTGCCGCCATGCGAGGAGCTTGCGTTGGAAGTTGAAAGGTGGAAGGTATGATGCGATATTCAGGGAGAAAATGCTGTGAGACTATGACGTTGCCTCTAGGTGCATGCTGCGTTGGAAGAGGCGATGATATGAGGCGCGCTTTCCTGCCAGATGTCACGCTCGCTTCATCGGTGAAAGCTTGGAGGCGCCATGTTGTAGGTTGGAAGATATTAATAAGCTAGAGAACCAGGTTGTCAAAACGGTATTTCAGTCGGGGCAGCTAGGTTACGACAGATGCTGAGGCTGGAGGACCCAGTCCATGGGAGGGAGTCAACAAGCGCCTGAAACCGCAGTTAGAACAGGGAGACGCTGTTGTCCGTTGACCGTATCACTCGCAAGACCCTTGGCATTCGGTATTTAACACGCCAAATGAGAAATTACGACAGCCCAAACTGTCCAAGGTTGATCATATCGAGGTGGGTTGTCCCAAAGGTCGATTATTCCAAAGCCGATTATCCTATCCCGTCATCCCATGGGAGAGTAGATGGTTCGATGGGTTACGGGACAACTTCACTGCCACAAAACTGGTCTAACTGCACGACGACACTAAGAGGAAGGTCACAAGGCACGATGATGTCTCTAGGCCTCGGCCTGCTGTTGCTAGTGATAGAGAGGGCAAATGCATTACAGCTTTGACACTTGAAAGGTGGCTTGCAAACTATGGTAGAGAGATGTGGACAGTTTGAGGTGGATGTCTTGAAAGCTGGGATCTCGGTTGAGTGACATCGACAGTCCAAGTCCTCAGGAACAGGAAACTGTCTCGGCGTTCAGATCGCAAATGCTTCCCTGACAAGGCTCATGCGGAGTCATGGGTCTCAACTCAGAAGGTTTGCAGCAGTGCAGCTTGAGATGGACTCTCTCGAGCCCGAGTCTGGAGCTGATACAGGATTTAGCTGTGGGAGAAGGATGAATTCTGGGGACGAAGGAACACTACGACGGGATGGTCAGCTTGCGTCAGAGAAGGGACATTCATTAACGGAATATTTGTGCGGAAGAACCACGGATCGTCCGGTGCGCTATGGAAGATATTGAAGTTGTGGAAGACAGGTCGAAGACTAATATCATTGATTGTTGATTGTTGACAGCAGCCATGGGAAACGCGTACTGACGAGATGACGTTGATATTCTGGGGTACGTACCCCCCTGGCTGACTCACTCGACACGGCAGCCTACTGTAGCAGACTAGCCCGCCACCATGCCTGCCTAGAAACCAAAGGCGGTCAAGATCTGGCCGCAGAGGCGGCAGAATAGAGCCTGCAGAAATATTTAAAGGCTGCACATCTCCCGCCCACTCTCCTCCGACCTCCTTTTTTCTTCTTTTCTCTCCATCCTGGTGCACGGGCTTTACGTAATTCAGTGAAGGTTCGCCTGAGAATACGTTTTTGCTAGTTGAAAACTATAACATGACCACTCCTAGTTGGCTTCGGCCGGCTAGGGAATCTTTGGAACCTCATCTTTCTTGACTGATCGTCTTTCGTTGTCCTGGTGTGCTTGCAAGCCAGACGAAGAAGGATTTTTCGACTGATCGCAGACCACAGAGACGTGACTGCCACGTTGATGTTGTTCCACGCGATCAAGCGCGGTCGCCGCGTACACTGTTAAGCATGACGACGGGTCTCCTCTTTCGTTGTCATCACGCAGTCCATGCAAAGAAATGGCCAGGTATTGCGTGCAGAGCTGCTCTCCTAGCCAAGCGCCTGTCGAAACCTGCCCGTGCGCACAGGCCACCTGCACCCAGAGGGCTTCCAGCGCTTGCAAACCCCAGGGTCCTCAGAGCAACCTTCGGTTCTAGTGTCGTCTTGAGCTTGCTCAGGACCCGCCGACAAGGACCAGGACTTGAGCGCGTCGCTTGTCGTGATCTCCCACCTGCGAAAATCCTAATACGCGGATTGCACTGGCCCTGCCTCAACTGCAACTTCTTTCCTGCCGTCGCGCGACCATAGCTCCGCCTTTGACTGCGCAAGCACAAGCGCAGACTACCGTGCCCCGCGTCGTGATACTCCAGAGAGCCAGCGTCGAGACAGTCACCCAAACATTCTCCCGCCCCTGCCCCGCATGAATATGCCCTCGAAACAACATGACGCGTTCGTCCAGATCTCTCGCAAGAGATGACGGCGAACATTTTCCACGTTCGCTAGATGACCGTTTGGGTGCCGTGAACCATGAACACACCCGTGTTGCCTGAAGTAAACGCCATCAGTCCATACACATCGCACCAGAGATCAACAGCATGCCCAGACGTTGCGTTGCTACGCCCACGATGGGTCGTCTGTGTCGAGATCGCGCTCGCCACCGTCACCAGCACTACATCACGCGTTGGGAAGCGGAACCGGGCATCGGAGTTTTGAATTAGATTATGTCGCTTCCGCTCATTTCAGCCCTCGCTGCGCCCGACCCCGGCGCCGTTGTTCGGGAAAGCTGGTCATTTGTCGTGGACTGCCAGGGAAGTGCTTCGCCAGGGCTAGGGCTGGCGTTCATCCTGTGCATGACGTTTGTCATGTCAGGCAGCCAAGTGTTGGAAGGCGACGTTGGTGTTCAAGTATCACACGGGAGCTACCACGCCCTGAACAAGAGTGAGGTTAAAGCTTGCCCGAGAGCTGAGGATCGACATGCCGCGCTATGGTGTTTCCTTTGACCATCAACCCCATTTCCCATTCCCAGCCAATGTGCACTCATGAAGCAGCAGCGAGTTTATTTCACTATGTACAAAACCCGGTACCTCTTTTCTCGTCGTTACCACTACTTCTGAGGCCCCCGCGAAGCCTGAATGATCCCGCATACGACGCCCGCAGCACGGTACAACTGCTCGACGAGACCCTGTACGCGCTCCCTGGAGCCGCTGGTGAGAGATATGCGGATCCTAGAAGAAGAAGCAAGTCAGCGAGTGTCTCAAGATACCTAGGTAGGTAACTAGTGGTCGTCTTGGCTTGAACTCACGAGTCTTTTCTCGGCGTCATGATGGACCAGAAACCGTCGAGGTTACCGTGGAAGAACTTGACAAAATCGTCAATGACCATCTCCGTCTCGAGCGCGTTGACCTGTGCGTGGATGTAGGGACTGCCATTGAATAGCTCGGCGCTCAGAAGCTGCGGCTTGGGAACGCCGGTGTCGGACGGCCACAGCCAGTTGAGCAGCTCCAGGTACCGCACGTGGCTGCGCTGGCCGCGCAGCGCGCCCTGCACATCGGCGTGCATCTGCTTGATGGCTGTTTGCAGGAGGGACATCAGCTCGGGGTTGTTACTGCCGCTCGCTGTCGATGACTCCGCTGCGGCAGCGCAAAAGGCGGCGACCGCCGGCGGGGCGCGTTGGATGACTTCGTTCCTGCCCTTGTGGAAATGGGCCACGCTGACCGACTCCCACGTGGGAAGGTTTCGCCCGACCAGGAGGTGCACGCCGAGCTGGAAGGTCAGGTCGACGATCTGCTTGACGGGCATGTTGGCTTGCAGCAGGAAGTCGATGCCGAACTCGGTCAAGTTCTCGACGGCGTATGCCCCCCTTGAGGTGTTCTCGAGGAAGCGGACCCTAAGCAGCTCGATGTGAGTTTTGTCCCCGCTGGTGGTCTCCAGAACGACCTTCTCGAGGTTAACATTGCTGATAGCAGGCCCGTTCCCGTTGACCAGACTGTGGGGAGTCGCCTCACCATCAGAATAGTCATCGATAGCCTTGGCAATCATTTCAGACAGATGCGCTGGGTTGAAGGCTTCATGCTCGGTGATCAAGCCAGAACGGCCATTGCCACTGACGAAATACTGAAGAGTCTTGTCGAACCAGCGATTAGCACCGTCGCCAACGTAGCCATCCCGCGCCCGCTCCTCGGACGTCTCAAGGCACCCGTCATCGAGGCTAAGCACGAACAGCGCCGACTCGATCACGCGCAGGTACTCGGCGTTGGCAACACTCGACGCCGCCAGCCTCGCCCGCGTCTGGGCCCACGCGTCCCTCCCGTCTGACATCAAGACGCCGTTCCACACGCCTTCGTCGCGTCCGACCCGAAATCGCCGCGAATGTGAGCCTGAGCTTCTCCACCGACGCCGCCGAGCAGTCCTCTCCCCGCAGCGTCACCTTGAACACGCGGCCTCTCCTCAGCACGGCGATGTGGTCGTTCCCAGGGTACGTCACCAGCCTGTCCTTGCCGACGCCTGGCTCGCGCACAGTGTTGAAGAGGTAGACCTGCCGCGAGTTGCACGCGGGCCGGCCGGCGATCCACACCGGCTCGATGGCGGCGCCGCCCTCGCGTTCGCCGTCCGCGGCAAGCTTCAACTCGACGGCCGCCGACGCGATGAGGGCGGCCCGCTCGGCCTGCGACTGTGGAGTCTTGCTGTCGCGTTGCGTAGCCATGTTTGGCTGGTACGGCGCCAGCGGCACGCGGTTGCTCATCCACCGGGCGTCCGTCATGGTGTCGTTGTACCACCCGTTGATCAGCCCATCTAGGGACGGGTTCGCCGCGGTCCACTCCCAGAGGGCGCGGCGGATCGGGATGTCGGCGGGCCGGAGGACCGAGATGCCTTGCTGGATTATGGCGAGCTTGTCCTCACTGTAGAGGTGCCCGCTTGTCTCGAGGAGGTGGTCCAGCGCGTCGTCCAGGTCGGGCAGGTGCTGGGCGAGTACTTCGGTTGAGTGCTTGCAGCAAGAGAGACCGTGTGGAGTGGTGGCATCCGACTTTCGGGCATTTGTGGTGCTAGGAACATTGTCGTCGTGGTTCGGCTTAGAGTCGGATTTGGGCGACGGCTTTGATGCTGTGCCAGGCTTGGCCTCTTTCGTCACATGCTGTTGTTGGTCCCGTCTACCACCGGGCTTGCCCTTGAGGTCCATCCGCGACACGATGAGCTTGGCGAGAGACTTGATGCTAGAAGCATTGCTCATCTCCGACGTCTGGAGCGAGGCCTTGAAGGTGTGCTTGACCCAGTTCTTGATTTCGATCGACACAAGCGAGTCCAGCCCCAGAGACGCAACGGTCTGGTCGTCTGGCACCTCATCTCCTATGAAGGCGGTAAACTTGGCGGCCACTCCCTGGCTGACGATTTCCTCTGCCTCGTCGATCGTCCCGACTCGCTCGACGGCCTGTGATGGGCTTGCGCGCTGGCTCGCATTGGCTGAGCCTCCACTACCGCCGCCGAGGGAGTTTTCCAGCTTCCTCTGGCTGGGAACGTGGTCGAACAGGTGGTCGTCGAGTGCAGACTCGCCCATGGCAGCCTCCATGGAATCACGGTCGAAGGTCATGATGCACTGAGGTGGCCTGGGTGGTTCGTTATCTTGTTTCGGCGCCATGGCGTACTCAAGCGTGGCAAACACCTCGTCAAACGACACGGAGCCAACAATGCGCTCCACATCGCTGTTGAGCTCGAGCGCCCCGCTTGATCTGCTCCGAGCCCTCGACGGCGCCGACGTTGATTGTTGTGTAGCTTGTGATCCCGCCCTGGCCGTGCCACGCGTGGGCGAACGCGTCCTGGAACGCGTTGCCGGCACTGTAGTTGCTCTGTGACGGCTACCCGACGATGCTAGCAATCGAAGACAACATGACGAAAAAGTCTGTGTCTTGAGGGCTGCAAAAGACACTGTGCATGTTTAGGGTACCCTGGACCTTTGGTTTCATGGCAGTGTTCCAATCAACGAGCGGCAAGTACTCCAAGGGATGGTCACGGAGCAACAGGGCGCTCTGGATGATACCTCGCACGGCGGGGAGGTTGAGGTCAGCCATCTCCTTGGCTGCGGACCGGACACTTGCCTCGTCACCAATATCGCACCTGACGATATGCAGTTGGGCTCCAAGCTTGCCGATACCCAGCTTCAACGACGTCTGCTCGGCAGCATCAACATTCCGGCGTGAAAGAGTCACGATGTGGCCTGCTCCTCGTTCGGCAAGCAAGTGGCTCATCCTCATGCCCAGATCGCCCAAGGCACCACCGATAACGTAGGTTCCGTCTTCTCGGAGCTTCAGTGGTTCGGGCTTTGGTCTGGGCGCCTGTACCATCGTGTCCTCGTCTGCGACCAGCACCAGCTTTCCCACGTGCTTACGCGCGGCTATCAGACGGAACGCGTCCTCGAGCTGGCTCATGTGATAGGTCGTCACAGGATGGACCGGTTTAAGGTCGCCCCTGTCAATGATTTCAAGGATCTCGTCAAGCCCCTTTCGCACAAATTTGGGGCGCAGCCTGTACATGTGCGAGGTGTCCACGGCCGCAAACGTGGCCTGCTTCTCGAAGTTGGCCATGTTGAGCTGGCTGCCCTCGTAGATGTCCGTCTTCCCGATCTCGAGGAAGGTCCCAAAGGGTGCCACGCAGTCTCAGCTGTCCATCAGGAACTCGCCAGACAGCGAGTTGAGCACAACGTCAACGCCCTTGCCGCCCGTCATGCGCATAATTCCCTTCTTGAAGGTCCGGGCGTGCGACGAGAAGATGTGGTCGGGGTCCACACCGTACTTGTCCTGTACGAGCTTGCTCTTGGCAACGCTGCCCACGGTTGCGAAGACCTCGATCATGTGCGCAATCTGAATGGCAGCCTGGCAAACACCGCCCGACGCCGCGTGGATCAGCACGGTCTGGCCGCGCTCCAGTCGCGCGATCTGCGCCAGGCAGTACCAGGCCGTGTAGTATATAACGGGGATCGAGGCAACATCCCCGAAAGATATGGACTCCGGAATCGCCGTGGCAGCGTTGGCCTTGACGCGCACCAGGCTCCCGAATGGGTCGACCATGAGACCCACGACGCGGTCCCCCGTCTTCCAGAGCGACTGCGCGTTGGACCCGACGGCAGTGACCACGCCGGCTACCTCACCTGTCATGTGAACGCCGGGCCGCATCTGGCCCAGTGCGATGAACACATCCTTGAAGTTGAGGCCATACGCTCGTGCCTGCACCTCGATCTCGTCGGCGCCGAGGGGCTGTTGCGCCACGCGCGGGTTGTCCACGAAGCGAAGTGTGTTGAGGAGGCCTCGAACCTTGACGTCAAGCTTCAGCGGACGCCTCTGGTCGAGGTAGCGCTGCTCGACCAGGGTGTCGTCCTGGTCGTTGTGGCTGTCGGCATAGGCAGCAAATTGTTGGTCAGGGACCACTCTGGGGATGGTCACTTTGCCACCGCGGAGTGCGTACTCCAATTCTTCGGCTTTTTCGTCTTCTGAGGCTGGCCAGAATGAAGACCTGGCTATTGCTGCAACTGTCCTGGCGACACCATGCAGGGGTGTTTCAGAAGGCTGCTCCCTAGCCCATCTTGATACACAAAAACGATCGCATTTTGTTATTTCATTTTAATTCTCCTTTGAAGTTGGAAGCTATCAGTCTGTCACCAGGATCACTATGGCAGACTCAAGTCCATCCGTTTGAAGCCAAGACGTGTCGAGCGAGAATGTGCAAAGCAAAGAATCCGAGAATACTACCTTGGGGCTCGAACAACGTCCACGAAGCGCCTCTGCCGACGACTCAGACCTAGATGCTCTTGCTGCCGAGTTCAACGAGGCAGAGAAAGCCGCCACTGAGGAAGACCCTTCGAAAACTCTTGCTGATGACGACGAACTCGCCCCAAAAGGCTCCATCTGTGAGGCCAAGGAGATATTTGACACCAAAACTAGCAGCTGCAGCTGTTGTACGGAATGGGTCGACGAGAAGCCCGAGCGAGACCGGACCGAACAGAGCGAAGCCGCGGAAAGTCGACGGGCGCAGTTCTCCGTTATTCGCCGTTTGACACCTCACGGTGCCGGCGGATGGAGGACACACTCGATACTCATCAACAGCCGCAGCATACAAGAAGCTCTTGCCAAGGTATTCGTGGGATACCCAGTGACGTATTCTGACGACCACAACCTGGAACTGACTCACAAATTCATCCCCTTCCTCCACCGTTGGGACAAGCTTCTTGAGGTGGAGCAGGACGAGCCTGACGCCGAGACTAAGAGACATTTGACCCTCCTGCGCTCTACTCTGGAGATTGACCTCGCCGATAATCTTAAGCGGCGCAATCTCGTGGCTCGCACGGGACTTGCGAGTTTTCCCGACATGGAGCTTTTGTTTGAGCCCGGACAGGTTGTAATCTGTGAGAGGTCCGACGGTATTATGACTGCGGGAGTAACTCGTGAAGTGACTCTAGAACCTTCAACAATTTGGTCTGCCCGGCATTACTTGGTAGACGTTGACACTACCGCTTGGGACGGCAAGCGGTTTGGCGTAGAGCAAAAGGAGTGGCGGCTGGATGATTTCAGCGGGACCAGGAAAGTTCACAGCCTGGACATTTACCCATTGCATATGCACCCAGATCACGAGAAGATCCCCAGGGAACTGATAGACAGAGGCAAGAAATATGAGAGACTTCGTGGTCAGCATTTTGTAGCTTACACTGGAGAGACAAGGTCGGAAAATGTGAGTAGCCCTATCCTTCTTCGCAGGCTGACTTGCTTCGTGCGTGTGGCGGTGATCTAACTCATAACTACATCTACATGCTCAGGTCAGGGAACGTGTCATTATCGACGCAGACTTTTACTATCAATCCAGTGATGATGAGCGGCCCAGATTGAAACCCTTTAAGGAGTCATCCACGGGTGGCGCCATTCTGGACGAGGAAAATAGTGCTAATAACGACAACGGCATTGGAAATACGGCTAATGGCGAGGACGCCTATCATTCACACGCTGGAAGCGCTCATTCCGCTCCTCTGACAAATGACCAGCTTCTTCTGGCTTCCTGGAGTATCACTGCTTTCAGGCTCAAAACAAAAGTCTGGTCCGACTTGGCCGTCGAGAAAATCCTAGAGATCGACTGGATACCCGACCTGATGCCGAGGCTCGTTCTCGATCCAGATATCAAAGACCTCATTGTGGCACTAATCGACTACAAGACTACTCAAGCGACGGATGAACAGCAGACTTTCGACGACTTCATTCCTGGGAAGGGCAAAGGCATTGTGATGGTACTATGCGGGCCCCCCGGTGTTTGGAAAACACTCACAGCGGAGGCAGTGTCAGAGCATTCAAAACGCCCACTGTACCGTATCAACATGAACGACCTCGGTGGTTGTGTATCAGACGTGGAGCGCGGGCTGGAGATCGCAACGAAACGATGTTCTCAGTGGAACGCCGCCCTGCTTCTCGACGAGGCGGATGTCTTCCTCGAGCAGCGGTCCGTCAACAGCCTAGAGAGGAACGAGCTCGTATCAAATAAGTCAAGCCCCGCGCGAATGGCTTCTTCTATCATCAGGGACGCCTGGCTCACATCAAGGGGCAGTCTTCCTCCGCGAGCTCGAATACTACGAGGGCGTCATGATTCTCACGATGAACCGCGCGGCGTCGATCGACCCCGCGTTCGAGTCACGCATCGACGTCACACTGACCTTTGAGGCACTCACCAAGGAAGCCCGTAGACGGATCTGGGACGGCTTCCTAAGGGAGACAACACACCCGGCGTAACTGAGTGATGAGGACTTGGACCGGCTGGCCGACTGGGAGCTGAATGGGCGCCAGATCAAGAGCGCCATCAAGACAGCGTCTATCTTTGCCTCCAAACAGGGCGGACCGATGACGATGAAGCACCTGGATGTTGTCATCAAGCTGAGGAACAACTCTGGGGCGATGCTTGGCCCGGAAAAGACGTGATGAGAATTATCGAGGTTGTTGAGATGTTATAGGCGAGGCTCATCACTTTCTTGAAGTCATCGAGTATAGTGGAGAGGGGTTCAGATGATTTCCAAAGATATGTGACAGCACAGCTATGTAACACTGCACTGGTTCTCCAGAGCGTTCTGGGGAATTCTTTTATCAAACTGAACTATAATGCAGCCGCATGAGTGGTGAGCTCGTGTGGAATGTAGAATATTGTGGATTCCCATCCATGAGATAACTCAACCGATATAACTATGCATTTGCACGATGCTGAAATGGCTTTGCGATTCGAGGGAACAAAAGCAGTTGCACTGCCCCATCATTTAGTTAGTTACAATCCAATGAAGATTCAGTATCAGAACAGGGGACCATGTAGGCTGTCCACGAAAGTGGGCCAATCTGAAATATACAACTCTGGTCAGACATTTCTACCTCATCCGAGAGCACCAGTCTTGTTCAGGCTTCCTCTACAGGCTCAGAAAGCAATTTCTGTGCGCCGTAACAGTGATGAATATGTTCCAGAAACCCAGTCGTAGAATACGCCGTCCTGGCCATACGAAGCAAGACGCGATCAGGGTCGAGGTCAGCGTGCGCTATCTGGGCGACAGCGTCAGCCGGCAACCGATCACGCCGGTCGTACACCCACTCGCAGCCCCGGCACCAATGTCCGTACTCAATCCGATCCGGCCTGACGAGAGATGGGAACCGGATGGACGCCAAGCCAAAGTAGCGGCCGACGAGACTGCTGCCCCGGTCCGGGACGAGGACCGCGTCAAAGTAGTCATCAACCCACAGGAGACGCTGCAGGAACCTCGCCGTGTGAGCCGCGGGCCCGGTGATATCCTGCTGCGAGAGGACCTCCCGGAGCTGTTCCGCAGACTCGTAGAACGAGACGGCCAGCTCCATGGAGTGGGCCACGGCGACGAGGCTCATGACCTTGTCGACGAGCAGCTGCCGGGTCCCGTACCTGCCCGGGATGCTGGTCATCAGGGGCAGCTCTTGGACCTCCTCCGCCGTGAGGTCGAGGGCCTTGCAGGCCACCCCCGGGGGCACCACCAGCCGCTCTGGCCTGAACTGCAGGCACTGCCAGCAACACCTCTCACAGGTCGGGAGGAACAGGAACGCCCCGTACCCGGGGCATGTCTCACAGCGCTGCGACTGCAGGACGGCGTCGAGCTGGGACAGGGGGTATCGGTGTATCAACTCGGTCCAGCTGAGGGCCGCCAGTGCGTCTGCCGCGTGGCTCAACAGATGCTGGTATGAGGAATTGGACCCCAGGATAGTATTCGCCCCGGAGCAAGTGCGTGAGAGCCGAGTGAAAGACTGCACGTCGAGATGGCCCAGCACCTCGTGGAGCAGTTCTGCGGGCAACCTGTCGAGCGCGCCGAGGGACGACGGCCGGTCTTGGGTCCGCAACGTCACCGGGGGCCTGGGCGGGTCGCTGATTGTGATCAGCGAGCGAAGAAGAGTCTCCGGTTGATGAGAAAGACGAGCGACGAGCGTCTCTGTGTCTGTCCCTTCGTGCGACATGGCGGGCGTGTAGCTTTGGGTCTGCCAGCTCCGAGGTTACTGGTGTGTCCTCGGGCCGCAGTCTTATAGAAGACCTGGAAGGAGTTTCCTTGTATGCGGAACGGACCAATTAGGTCACTGCAGCAGGCATTCCCGACCTACCATCTGCTGCTTGGGAGCTGTGGTGCGACCATCCTCAAAAAGGCGGTGTGCAGCTTAGCGCTTGTGATCTGATCTATAGCATCACAACTGCCCAGTTCGTTGAATTGAACCGTCGATGGGTCTCTTCTTGCATTGCGAATTCCGGACATGGCGTTCAGTTAACTCACAGAGTACGGATGTATACTGAAACTTGCTGCCATGGAACGGACAAATACTAATATGAGGCCTTGTAGGGTCTTGGCTCGACCGTACAGGTAGAACCGACTTGCAACGGCGGGCACGTCAACCATGTGTAAATATGGGAGTATGCAGTCAGCCTTTGGCGGCGAAGAGTGATCTACTCTGAGCCCTTAGCGGCGCCTATTTCGATGGTTATGTACCTTGTGCGTCCACCCTGGCTGCGTCTGGCTAATCTAATATGTTAATTAAAACCTACTTCAGGGCTATGCTTGAGATCAAACCAGAGCTCTTGAACCGGAAACGGCTCTGCATCATGAGTAGTAAAAGACGTTACCTTCCATCAGCCCCCTGGCAGTCGTCGTCACCACACATCGCTCAACAACAAGCCCCTCGTCCCCGACATGAGCCTGAAGAGACATAAGCTGTAGTTACCTTCCATAACAGCAGTGGTGGTTGAAGTCTAATATCATAACCACTCCTCCATCCATCGCTTCAAATCAGCCTTCGTGACCGGCCCCAGCCTCGCCGCATTGCGGCTTGCCTTGACAAGACGCTCCACCTCGTAGAGTGGCTCGGCCCTTCCATCACCCACAAGTGCCCCTTGGTAGAAGGCAACCAGTTTTGCCCCAGGGTTCTGATCCAGCACGTACGTGCTCTTTTCAACACTCTCTTCGAGACGCTCCACCCACTGACGGACAGGGATAGTCTCTGGTACCTCCGTCTGTAGGGCTGGGAGGACGTCTTCCCATGAGGAGACATTCGGGTTGACCACGTTGAAGACCTGCAAAGGATTTGACTGTTCGTTCTGGGGTTCCCCATTGACGGGTGGAAGGTGAATGTAGGAAATCAGCTCCGTCACGATGCAAGCCAGCTCGTCCACGGGGATCCAGTTGATCTCCTGCCCAATACCATCCGGCGCAACGCCGAGAAAGCGAGAGCTCACCACCAGCGACGGGAACCACTCCCACTTGTTCCACGGGCCCCGCCCAGACCGCGGCCCACAGATCTGCCCGACCCGCAGCACGCCCACCGACCGCGCGGCCTCGGGTGGCGCCGCCGGCCGAGCGGCCAGGCCGCCTGCAAACGCCTCGAGCATGTGCTCGCACACGTACTTGGACTGCGCGTACCCCTGCGGGAGCAGGTCGTCCACCTGCGTGGCGGTGTCGAGGACGGCCTCCGGGACGCGCCGCCTCCTGCCCGACGCGGACATGGCGGTGGATATGCTGGAGACGAACAGCAGGGACGCGCGGGCGTTGAGGGCCAGCGCCATGAGGTTCAGCAGGCCGCGGAGGTGCGGCTCGAACTGCGCGAGGCTCAGGAGGAAGTTTACCGGGTACGCGTTGTGGACGATGACGGTTGTCTCGCGGGCGACGAAGGCGTACTCGCTGGGGCTGAGTCCGAGCGTGTCGTTGCTGAGGTCAGCTTGTAGGAACACCACCCGGCCTTTGTCCTTTGGATCTTGTGGTAGAGGCGGAAGTCTCCTGGTCTCGAGCGCTTTGGCTTGTCTTTCCCGAGAATCGCTTCCGCGGTTTAGGCAGATCACCTGCTTGGTGTCCGGTCGAGCAAGCAGGGCGTCGAGGAGATAGCTACCCAGAGATCCTGTTGAGCCTGTAAGCAGGACAGTCTGGCCTTCACCGTATGTAGACTGTCTTTGCTTCATTGCGTCCACCTCCCCGGCGGCTGGAGTTTTCTCAAAGAGCTGTGGCACTGCTGCCTTGTACTTTTGGATAAAGGCCAAGATGTCGCTTTTTTCGTCTCCAAGGCCACCGTCACTAGTGACATCTTGGCCGGAAGAAGAAAGCGCGCCTGCTAATGAGTCTGCCAGCGACCGAATTGTAGATGCAGAATAGAGCGCTTTGACGCTGACAACGCTCAGACTAGCCTCAGAGACCCCGTGTTGCCGTAACGCAGCCTTCAACCGCGACGCAACGGCCATGATCCCAAAGGAGTCGATTCCCGCCGCAAGCAAGTCATCGTCCATTCCGATCCCATCGTCCAGCTCCAACACGTCGGCATATAAGTACTGAAGAATACCCGCAAGAGACTCTCGGTCCAACTTCTCAAGACGCGGCAGTCCTGAGGTGAGAAGGCCGTGTTCGGCCTTGGCATACAGATCGTTGATTTCGTCGGCGTGGTCCTCGATCGTGAGCCGGCGCTGGATGGTTCCCTTGCTCGCTCTCAAAAAGGGTTTCTCTCGTGAGGTGAAGAAGACGAGCTCCCGGGGGATACGTCCGAATTTGGATGAGGCCTTGTTGGCCTCTTCAATCAAAGGCCACAGTTTGGTCAGGGCGTCCTCGCGCTCGGCGTCGGTTGCTGGAATGGCATCGTCTTTTAGCTCAACAAGCAGGCAGAGTCTGTACCGCCTGTCCCCGGCCACCAGGACACCTCGGACATCCGGGTGGCTGCCGACGGTGCTCTCGATATCGGTCGGGTCCATCTTGAGGGCATTGGACATGATGACCCAGTTGTCAGTCCGGCCACGGTATGTCCACCACCCGTCTTTCCCTGGAACGGGGGAGAACAAGTCTTTTGTGCGGTATTCGCTCAGCTCGGGGTATGAGTGGAAGTGCAGCTGGCACCGCCGTGTCAGTTCGGTGTTTGGGTAGACGAGCTCGAACAGCCCGGGCTCGACCTCCTCCATCCTATGGCCGACATCTATGAAGTTGAACTCGTTCCAGTGAGAGCTGTCTGGGGGAGAGACGAGGTGGCATGCGCCGCCTTCAGTGGAGCCTATGAAGCCACAAAGATGGCGGACGAGCTTAGAAATTCTGTTCCCTTTCGTTGGATTCACTGCGAGTCGATCGGACCAGTGTCAGCCATGATGTCGACTCGTTGGCGTTTGCGCAATCTTGAAGTTCGTGAAACTTACTAGGACCGCCGCCAAATACCACATGTTTCATCGTGCCCAGTGTTTCAAGACCAGGGGGATAGTCTAGCATGTCCTCAAGCAGAGATGGAGCAAGCCACGCGGTGGTAGACTTTGATGATCTCAACATTCCGGTGATATTCTCGGATGTCATCTTTGTGCCGGTTACGGGCATGACATGGGTATTGCCGTACAATATGCTGAAGAAAACGGGGCTTATTCCGCCCATCTAGTATTGAATTGTGAGCTGTGCCGTGTACGACATCGAGAGTCCGGAGGTGAATTTGGGGGGGGGGGGGGTTGGCATTCGAGTAACTTACATGATACAGAGGGAAGGGCATCATCACAACCTCTCCGGGCGCGAACACATCCTGCAACAGACTAGTCGAGCCATCGTCATTAAAACTCTCCGGATACACACCGTATGAGTCGGAATGCGAAGCCATCGCCTCAATAGACCCGTGCGTCCAGTAGATTGGCTTCGGGTGGCCGCTTGTGCCAGAAGTGTGTAGTCCCAGGACAGGCACGTCTTTGACCTCTTCGAAGGGCTTGGATAAGGCGTATACAGTGGTTACCGGCTCCCTACTCATGAGCTCAGAGTACGATGGTGTCATAACCGGTTTGACCTCGCCTCGAGACGCGTCTAGGAGCGAAGCCAGTGCTTGCTCTGCTTCCGGCGCGTAGAACAGGGTCTTGGCGCCTACGGTTTTGAAGAGGCGTTGATTCGCAGGCACGGTGTTTCCGGGAGACGGGAACATGACCTATCAAGGCTTGTCAGCTTGGGTCAACCTAGGAATGGAAGTTTTGCACTTGCGCATCTTTCGGTCTTCATCGCTGCCAAGACCCAGATGAAGTATCGCATATCACTCGGCCCCATGTAAAAGAATGTTGTGCTGTCCTTGGGAAGCTGCTGTTCCAGGAACGCGGCGGCCCTGTTTGAGGCATTCTCGAGATCGCCGAGGAATATCCGCTCTGTGACGGCGTCTGGACTGGTTATCAAAACGCATGGTGTGTTGCGAGTCGACTGGCTGTTGCGTATGCAGTCGATAAGGGTCATGTTGGACGTCGACATTTTCGTGGACTGAGATATCTTGAAAGTAGAGGCAGAACTAGTTCAATATGCGAACGTGATCAGAAAGAACGGCCACTAGAAAACATAATGTACGTTGTGTATTCATCGCATGTGCCGAGTAGCGAGTCTTGGAATTCAAGACTATGAGCATTGTGGCCCAGAGTGGAATTGAACAGCTGGGTCTCGCTTTCCCCACTCTGTGATCGACGGCCAATCGTTGTCAATGAGCGAAAACATTAGTGGGCCAGTACACAGTATCCGTATATCATTTCTAGCCTAAGACCCCTCCCGAGGTCCCCGTACAGGTACGTGTATTTGTGTGTGTGCGTTATTTTAATGTCGCTATCTGTTTGTTACCGGTCTAACCAAAAACTGTCGCCAGTATTTCCATTTGTGCGTAAGCAAAGGCAGCCCTCTAGAAAATGATTGGTATTTTATTATTTCTGATCGAAATCGCTCTTGATAAATCAGATGTAGGTACGTTTGATAAATTATGATTTACTATTGTCCTCGTCTTTATTTTGTGATTCTAGCTGTTGAGCAAATGGAGTCTTTAGTTAGCAGTGTGCCTCATGTACCGAACTTTAAAGTTCGCACTGCATGTACCGGGTGGGTTTGACGACACGTCGCCTGCAATCAGACATTAATTAGTCCTTGGAACTCCACCTAGTGTGCTCCCTTCAGGGACGACACTTGAATCATCTCACCGAGTTGTACATTGGCCAATCGCAAATCGATGGCCCATGCCCCATTCATGAACTCTATTCAGTGGGAAGGGCCGAAACAGGTGCGAGGATTCTCCCGCGTGTGACAGAGCGGATTGTAAGGCGATACCGAATTGGTGTCACTTCTCCAACCCGATATTCTTGAACTTCTCTCAAATTCACTTCCACCCATGGACCTTTTCTCGACCATTTCAAATCAAGCCACAGCTCAAAACGTTCTCCACAATGGCTGCTAACCAAGCGGACTCCGTGGAGAAGAAACACGAGACTACCGTGCAGGAAGCAGAAACTGATGTCAATATCCACCACGACAAGGGAGCAGAGGTTCTCGACACCTACGACGGCGACAGAGAATGGACAAAAGAAGAGGAGAACAGGCTGCGACGGAAAATCGACTACAAGCTCATGCCCATTCTGTGCTTCACTTACGGCCTCCAGTACTATGACAAAGCCATGCTGGGACAAGCCGTAAGTCCCCAAGCGGTCGAGAAGCCATCGTGATGGCTAGGACAGACACTGACACCTCAAACCTGACACGAGACACAGGCACTCTTCGGACTCATCACAGACTTGGACCTAGGAGTAGGCTCGCGCTTCTCCTGGTCCAGCTCCATATTCTACTTCGGCTTCCTCGTCGGCTCCTATCCCGCCATGGTCCTGGCGCAGCGGTTCCCCATCGAGAAAGTCGCCTCGGCCCTGGTGACCGTGTGGGGCATGTGCCTGATCCTAACGGCCGTCTGCACGACATGGCAAGGCCTCCTCGCCGAGCGCTTCTTCCTGGGCTTCCTGGAGGCCGGCGTCAGCCCGATGTTCATGCTCATCGTCGGGAGCTTCTACACCAAGAGCGAGCAGGCCCTGCGGATGGGGATATGGTACTCGTGCACGGGATTCGCGGGAATCTTCTCGCCCCTGATCAATTACGGCTTCGGCCTGGTCGGGGGCGGCGCGTCGAGCTGGGTGTACATGTACTATTACGCGGGCGCGGTCACTATCGTGTGGGGGATCCTGATGCTCTTCTTCCTCCCTCCTGATCCGATTCGCGCCAAGGGGTTTGGCCAGCGCGAAAAGTACATACTCGTTGCGCGGCTGCGCAGCAACAACTCTGGCGTCAGGAACACACACTTCAAGATGGAGCAGGTTAAGGAGCTCCTCCTGGACGTCAAGTTCTGGCTTGCTTTTTTCATGGCTTTGTACGAAGCATTTTCATCACTCCCATCTGTTCCTGTCGTCCGTGTCTTTGGCTTTTTGAAACTGGGATCGAACCCTGACTACAGCCCTGGAAACCTATTTCAACCAAGAACCATGCTGACACTAGATACCCGCAGACTCTGTATGATCGCCAACGCCCCGCTCTCGACATTCAGCACTATTATCGTCTCCCAGAACCTGGGTTTCTCGGGCGTCAACGCCCTGTTGTTGACGATGCCCGTGGGCGCCTACGGTGGATTCATCGTGGTGCTATGTTCCTGGTGCGCGATGAGGTACGAGAACGTCAGGTCATACATCTTCGTCGGTGCCCAGGCGATAGCAGTGCTTGCCGCGTTGCTTCTGTGGCTGCTCCCCAGCTCCGCCGTGGGCGGCTTGCTTTTCGGGCTCTACATTCTCCCCAGCGTCGGCGGTGGGTATGCTGTCCTGCTGGGCCTCCACCTTGCAAACACTTCCGGTTACACCAAGCGCTCACTGGCCTCCTCTGGGATTTTCATTGGATATTGTGTCGGTATGTCGCGTGTCTTATAGTGACCCCACATTTTGAAGCTTCCGTGGGAGTTCTGTAATAGCTACTGAATCCTTCCTTCACAGGCAATATCATCGGCCCGCAGGTCTTCAGATCCCAAGATTCACCTGGCTACGCTCCCGGTTTCATTGTGGTAGTTATCACATCGATCGTGGCCGGTCTCCTTGGTCTCCTCTACCGCTTCGTATGTATAATGGAGAACAAGAAACGCGACGAGATGGGTGTGATGGAAGGGTTTGATGAAGCGTTCAACGATGACTCGACTGACAAAAAGGTTCGTGACACTCTATTCCGATTTCCACATGTCTGGCATTATCAAAGCAACACTAACGAATTTGCTTTAGAATCTACAATTTAGATACATCTTATAAATAGTTAGGATAGATGTCTTGATATCACTTCAATTAAATAGCAGCATTCTTCTGGTTTCTCACAGAGTTGTGCAGCACATGATACCTAGGTAGTGTTTTGAGGCGACATGCGATGAGCATTCGGGACTGGACGTTAAGCGAGATCCGCTTTATAGCACAGTTCATGGGCCTTCAAATCTATTTGGGCAGATGGACGGTCCATTCACATGGCCACAGGGGACATGTAGCTAATTTGAGGCGGTGGTTTTCCATATGATACAGCCCATCGCAGCCCATGGGGATAGATAATTTGCATGAATCAAGCTCTGGGCACACCGAGTGGATCGTAATCTTCACATTGCTGACATCCAGGCAAGGCTATCCTTTCCAGCATAAAGTCTGGAGTTGGGGCTTCCTCGCGCCCCATGACCGAGTTCTACGAGGGAATACGTCAAGCTGATGTTGTACATCGTTGGTCATTCGCCTATGATATCATGGTTGAACCTATCGACACGGACTGCAGTATGCATTTACCTTGTTTGGGAACGCAAACGTCCACCACCACAGTCGCAAAAGTTGGTTCATACCTAGGGAGCATTGCAATGGTTTGGCGAGATCCTGTTTGTCATCGGTCGAGGACAGGGCCTCTGCTTCTGGATGACTTCGGCAACGGCAATGATGGTCTTTTAGCATATCAAAAACATCTTCCGCCCCCCTGGCTGAATCTTTGTGGGCTGCAGCCATGACATTGCTTTACCCAATTTCAGCAACCGTGGGTAATTCCAGATACATCTCCAATCACATGAGCTGTGACACTGAGCTTCAAGAAGTTGCATTTACCACAGCAATGTGATTTTTTTGTATACATATCACACCAACATGTTCATATTCACCGCTCGGAAGGGTAATTACAAGACGCCATTCAATTGCACTGATGAGCATGATAAAACCCATCAGAATCCCCCCCTCCCCCTCAGCTTCCCAAATCCTCTTTCCTTCCTTTCCTCATCATCTGGAAATTTCCACTCAATCTGATCAGCCTCGCCTCCCGCAGAATCGGTTCCTACCCCGCACCCAAACCTGCCTTCCAAGAACACACCCCGAGCCGCCGCCCTTACTTGCGAACATGTGGGAACCACCGGTTTCTCCCTGGGCTGCAAACCCGCCGCCAGGCCAGGAACGAAACGAAGAGTATTACCCAGGGATTTCCACCTCCCTCATCGGAGTCGGCCTCATCTCCACCATTTTGTCAGTGGCTGTGGTGTGTTTGAGGCTCTATTCGAGGCTCTTCGGTGCCCGTGGTCTCAAAGTCGATGACTGTGAGTCCAAATCTCATGCACGTGTCACATAGGACCCAAATAGCCCTCTTGCTAACCAATGACCATAACCCAGACCTCATCATACTGGCAACGGGGTTCCTCATTGGCTTCTTTGCCATCTGTGTCAGACGCAAGTCATTCCAAAACCCATGTTACCGACTTAGGGGTCAAGCTCACGCTTTGACAGTCACGGCTTACGGCGCCGGGACTCACGTATGGGACGTCTACATCACGGACTATACACCCGGCATCCTGCAGGTACGGCCATCAATCACCTGATTCCACAATCACTTGTCAAGTTTCCTAACGTGGATCCTCGGCAGCTCATCTTCTTCTCGGAAGTGCTAGGCTGTTTGATGGTCTCGTTCAACAAGCTTTCTCTCCTCAGCCTGTACATCACCATCACGCCGAACAAGAAGTTTCGAGCCGTGGTGTATTCGTTGATGGGTTTCGTCATCGGCTTCACACTGGCCTACATCCTCGTTCAGATCTTGGATTGCAATCCAGTGGAAGGGCAGTGGGACCTGAGACTGTTCCAGACTACCCACTGCATCGACTCGACCGTGTCGCCTATGCAGATACTCAGCATCATCAACATCTTGGTCGACCTGGCTGTTGTGGTCCTGCCGATACCAGTGATCCTACCGCTTCCACTAGCACGGAAAGACAAGGTCTCATGTCTCCTTTTGTTTGCAGCCGGTGGCGGACTGTAAGAACACCCTATCTGGACTCCATCGCTCTTACCTTGTTTCTAGCTGACAGTTCGCAGCGTATGCATTGCCGCGATCGGTAGGACCGTGGCGCTTACTCCTTTGTTACATCCACGATCTTCCGGCCTGGTCGACGTCACATGGCTGATCGTACCGGAGCTGAATTGGGCCTTTGCTGAGGGCAGCATCGGGATCATCGCGGCGTCTCTTCCCTCCATCAGGCCGCTTTTCAAACGCCTGCTGTCCAGGATACCCGGCACGGGCGCCAGCGAAAACGATCGTTCGGGTGTGACGCTGGAGGAGATTTCAGGTGGAAGCAGAGGTAGCAAGGCTCACAAGCGTTACCATTGGCAACACGGCGGGGGTGGGACCTTGGAAAGCAGCCCAGGAGATGAAGAGCTGGGACTGTGCCCCGGCCCAGGCCGTAGCACACAGGGAAGCGACAGGATTTCCGCCGTCTCGGAGACGCCCGTCTCCGATGCCCCTCCAGATTCCAACAATTCTGGAGCTCGGAGCGGACATGGGGAGGTCAAGGGGACGCCCGGCGGCCGCGTGGAAGTGATTACCGGCGACTTTGCAGTGACACATTGATGGCGCTGGCAGGCTTGTGGAAAATTCATGCAGGAAATGCGTCAGCAAAAGATTAGTGTAAAGTCTGAGCAAAAGCAACAGCCAATTTGGCTGATCTGACGAACACTCGTGCCCCTCAGGCCGTGAGCATCGTCAGCTCTACTGTCCAAATTTGCTTCGATGGAAAACCACGAGACGGAGATATCAACCCGGATGGGTTTATTCACGGAGCATTCCGAAAGAATGTCAGCTGTCACAACCCAAAAGACGGCTTGCAAAGGAGTCAGCGTACGCCCACCCAGCTTTTATAGTACGCCCACCTAGCTTTTAACGTTGGCCTACCTAATATAAGGAAATTGGCTGCATGCATTAATAAAATATAAGTATACCTTAAAAGCTAGCTTTTTAAAACTATAGCTACCTCGCTACTTTATTATATTTACCTTATTATTTTTTATATAATATATTTAATTTATATTTATTATATTAATATAAAGCATAAAAAAAAAATTTTATAACTTTAAGTTAGCTTACTTACTTTATTATTACTTACTTTATATAATATTTAATTTATTTTATAACTTTATTATAAAACTACTTTTTACTTATCTATTTATATATTTAATTAACTTACTTATAAAATAGCATTTATTTTTTCTTATCTTCTTAAATTAATTATTTTATAGCCTTTACTTTTAAATATTATTTTATTATTAATACCCTTAAACTTAACCTTAGCATAATTATAAATAATTAAAATAATAACCTAAAAATAATAATTTAAATATTTAAAATATTTATAATATATTATCTTTATTCTTTAAGGTAATTATAAATATCTTTTAAATATAGCTTATAAAATTATATTTAAATTTAAGTAACTTTGCTATTTATTTATTAAAATATAATTTAATAACTATAATTCTTATATTAATACTTATAAAGTAAAGTATAATCTTTATTTTTAAAATGCACTTAATATTTAAATTAAGTTATATAAATATATAGTTATAATTATATAAATTAAAAAAAACTTACCTTACTATTAAATTATTATTAAATATATATTTAATAGTAAAGTAAAGTATTATAATAAAAAAGTAAATAAGATTATAAATAAGTTTATTAATAACTTTAAATAATAAATTAAAGAAGTAATAATAATTAAGTAAAAAAGGCTAAAAAAGCTATTAGTTTTATATAAAACAAATTGCTTATTTAACTTTATAATTAAAAAGGATATAAGCACTTTAGGTAAATATATTTAACTATATATTTTATATATATTTATTAAAATATATAGGTTTTTTTTATATTATAAAAACCTTTTCCCTATATAATTATTTAGCATTTAAAATCTTTAAAGAATATTTCTTTATTAAAATTACCTTCTTACCTTATTATTAGGAATAATATAATGTTTAGCTATAATAATATTTATTAAGTACTTTTATTATTTATTCTTTTTATATAATCCTATATAAGTAAATAATCTTTAAGGATATTAATAATTAATGCAAATTACTTAATAATTAAGATATTAAGGGTTAGCTATTAATTAAATGCCTTATTAATAATTTAGTTAAAAATAGCTATTTAGTTAATTTATTAATTAATACAAAACATTAAGTTAAGTATATTATATTTTATTTTGTAAAAATAATATAATTTAAAAGCCTTAATAACTCTTCCTTTTTTATTATAAATGCCATTTATAATATTAATTAATATAGATTATTACTTATTTATATAATTAAGATAATATCTTAATAATGCTTATATACCTACTTACTAGCCTTAATAAGCAGTTAAATAATTAAGGATTTTACTTAAATGCTTAAGATATTAAAAAGCTATAAAGTTAATTATAACCTTTAAATAATAAATATTAAAATCGTTAAAAACAATATTATTTAAGCAATATTTTTATAAATATAAATCATTATATATTAATAATACTTCCTTTAAGCATTTAAATATAATGTTTATATTACTTAATATATCTTAAATAATATAATATTTAAAAAAATAAAGGCAAAGTTTTTTATTATAATTAATGCTACCTATATTAGCAATTTTAAGAAACTTTAAAGCCTATTTTAATAAAAGTAAATAAAAATTAATAAAAGCATAAAAGCTATTTATTATATTAATAAAACTTAACTTAATTACTATTAATAAAGCATTTATTAAGCATACTTTTTATATATAATATACTTTAATATTCTTTTTATATTTATTATAAAGAATTTATATTACTACCTAAAAACATAGCTTAGCTATTAAAAGCATATATATATAATTATAATAAATGCCTTTCTTTATTTAATAATAGCTTTATTTTAAAGATTTTAGGATATTTTAGCTAAAGAGTTAAAAATAGCATTAAGCATATTACTTTATTTCTTTATATCCTTAGCTAATTTATTATTTATAATATTTTAAATTATAAGTAATCTTTCCATTAATTATTATAATAAGTTAAAGAGTTTAAATTAACTTAATACATTATACATAAAATTATTTTAGCATATTATAAAATATTTATATATTTATAAAGTTAATGCTATAATATAAAAAGATAAGGCGTTTTACTTAATTAACTTTTATTTATATTAATATTAATTAAAACTTTTTATATAATAATTGGCATAAGAATTTATTTATTAGCTATAGCATTATATTATAAAGCTATTATTATATTTTTAAGGGCTTTTACCGCTAAAAAATAGTTTAATATTATAAGTTAATGCTAAAGATTTTAATAAGCTTATTAATTTTAAGCTTAAGCTTATATAAAAACTATACTTTACCCCCCTTTTATTAAGTAATTTATTGCAAGATATAAGTATTTTTAATTATTTCCCTATTAATAATATTACCCTTAAAATTAGGCTAAATAATTTATTCTTAATCCCACCCTTAATTCCATTCAACCCCATTAACGCTGCATATACCTCCTTAAATAAAGCTAAGCTTAATGCCCTTAAGCTTAATCTTAACCAATATATTTATATAAGTATAAAGATAAATACTAAGCCCTTTAATAAAATAAAACCCTTTTTATTATTAAAGAAAAAGAAAATTAAGTAGGTTAAAAATAATTTTAAAAAAATAAAAGCAAATTATTATACCTATAAGTTAAATGCATTAACTATCTTAATTAAGCGGCTATTAAGCTAAAATAAAGTAATAAAGAAAAAAAGGGCAGCCTTTAAAAAGAAATATAAGCAATGCTATTAACTTAAGCATAAATGCATAAATTTTATTTATTTAAGCATATTATTAATTAAAGTAATATAGATATTATTAAATCTTATGCTTAATCTTAATAAATAGGATTTAAAGCATAGCTTTATATTAAGGCTTGCTTAAAATATTAGCTTTTTAAAAGAAATAGCATAAGGCATATTAAATATAATAAGAGTAGGTAACTTATTAAGATATATATCCTTATATTGCTTAATAATATTGCTATTATATTTAAGCAATATATTAAAGCTTATTCATTAATTCCGTTTATTATTTCCTTTAAATATTTTAAAGCACTCTTTACTACCTATCCTTAATTTCTTAATGCTTTAACTTTAAACCCTGCCTTTTAACCTTGTAATATTAAGTAATTATTTAATTTAAGCTTTCCTAAACTAAGTAATATATAAAAAGCGCATTAAAGTAGCTATTGCTAATTATAAACTAAATTAAGCTTAATAATATGCTAAATAAAGCATATTTAAAAGACTTAATAATATATAATATAAAAAAAGGCATAGGCTTTATTATTAGCCCATAACTTACATTAGCATAATTTATATTAGCTAGCTTATAGCAAACTAAGCTTTATTAAATAATTTATTAATATATAGGAAAAGCTTAACCATAAGAAATATTATAAATTATAAGCTAATTAACTAAATTAATAGTAAGAAATATATATAACTAAATTATATAAAGAATAATAGTAATATAAATAATAATAAGTATTATAAAAGCTTAAAAAAGTTTAATTTTATGCCTTTAGCTAATAAAACTATGATTAAAAAGTAAAAATAAAGTAAGTTTACTATTAATAATAATATGCTATTTTATGCAATCTAAATATAAAAAATGCATAACTATACTTTATTTATTATAAACCTTAATAATTAAACTTTTAAAAAGATTTAGGAAAAGTTTAAGGCAAAAAGAAATTAATTATTTTATAAAACTCTTTACTTTAATTAAGATTAATAAAAACATTATATTAAAGAAAGTATATTTCTTAATATATTAAGAAAGTTAAGTAAGGAATTTATATAAGATTATATTATTATTAAGGGTAATTTTTAAGCGGGAAACATAGCATTACGGCATTTAATTAAACATATAATATATATACATAACGATTCTTAAATAAGTTTACTTAATATTAATATCTTAAACCATACTATATTTATTTTAAACTTATTTAATATCTTTAAGCATATTATTATTAAGGCTTTTAAGCTTATTGCTTATAATATAATTCATTATTTCTTATTAAGAGATTTACACTCCTTAAGTTCCTTATCTTATTATCTTTTAATTATGCATCTTATTAAAATCTTAATTAATATCCCTTTTATATTACTTAATAAGCTAACTAAATATATTATATTTAAAGATATAAAGATTATTATTAAATACTTTTCCTCCTTAAAATAAGCAGCAAGAGCAAGGTTTAATTTTCCTTTTTCCTTATAATTATAAAATAAGCCTTAGCATTTAATATTTAATTAAATATATTATAATATATAAATATTAAAAGGTATAACCTATTTATTTAAATATTCTTAAATTTTCCATTTATTTATATTTATACTTTAGCTTATTTACTTTCTTTATATCCTTAATTAATATTATTAAAATGCCTTTTAAGGCCGTTAATAAGCCCGCCTTTAAAGGCCCTATTATCACTTTTAAGACTCCTAAGAATATAAATGCTAACAAGACCGCCGTTTTTAGCAATAAGAAGCGTATTAAGATATATAAAACTTACTCCT